GAAGGATTTACATGCGAGCATTAGTTGCTTAGATATATTAATTAATACGTCAACGAACGCGCCGAGACACCATATTCTGTGATCGCTCTAATAATAAACTTTGTTCTCTCTCTCTCTCTCTCTCTGCCTCTCTCTCTGTCTCTCTCTCTCACTCTCTCTCTCTCTCTCTCTCTCTCTCTCTCTCTCTCTCTCTCTCTCTCTCTCTCTCTCTCTCTCTCTCTCTCTGTCCCTTTTTCATGGCATACACCGCAAGTCCGCACCCTTGTGGCCACGCCGCCCCGCGCTTTTACGACTGTCGTGCATCCGATGCGTGTGAACGCCTTTTTTTCAGCCTCAGCAAATGCCGTTCCACAGTCTCCGGCCTTAGGGGCCCTCACTTCTGATCAGGGGGGTGCCTCTCCTTCGGTCGAGCTATCTGCCTCCAGGGCAGCCCCTGCAAACTCCGAACCGCAGGCCGATGCAGCAGCACCTCCAAGGCAGCACCCGCAGGCAGCTGCCGCAGGAACGGAAGAGCGCACGGGGGAAGTGAATTCAAAACTCCCGGAAAGCAAGGGCTGGGGCCGCCTCAGTTCAAAAAAAAGAGAAAAATCACAAAACGTGCAGCAGGAGGGCCAGAAGGCGGGTCAGACGCCGCTGCCCGCGGCAGCAGCAGAGGCCGACATGAAGAATCCACCCAAGAAGAAAAAGACATTCTCGCTCTTTGGAAAGCGAGAGCAGAAGTAAACACTAGAACTCAGAACCAACAGACCCTTCTAGCGAGAAAGGGCGAAAGCAGCCGCGTGGCGGAAAACGAAGCAGCTGCGCGTATTGTGTACTCAAATGCGCACTTGCATGCATGCACACATGCGCGTCTACAAGCAGTCTGTAGAGCCTTCCTACGCATGTCGTATCTGCCGAAGGGGCATCCGACTGCGGAAGTGTCTTCCTTGATAGCGTGGGTAGAGAGGCCCCTCGCATGCACCTGACGCGATGCGCAAGTGGGCGTGGAAGCGCGCGCATACCGGGGTCTGCAGTGGGTGCGTGTAATTAGTGTTCAATGTACGGCTGGTTGGCGAATTCGTGGCCAGTTCAAGGGCTGTAGGGAAGTTTTGATGTCTGTGTGAAGATATTTAGCAGAAGGCTGCTACACAAATCGACTCGCAACAGTAAAACGAAGAGGAGGAGGGCGGTAGAAAGGGCGCTGCTTCGCTTTGTAAAAGTCAGGACTGGCACAAAAAGGGCTGACACCCATGAGTCTTCTTAGAAGGAGGCCCCTCAGCGAATGCGTCTAACAGGAGGAGGGTTCCACCAGCAGGCGCAGGTCGCTGATTGGAGGATCTTCTCTTAAACACCCCTCGTCCCTTGGACAAGGGCTGAAGGCGCATCAGGACGCCAGGCACATCAACCCTTGAGACACATAGCGGCGGCTGTCGCCAAAAATGTTCTAACAAATCGTGCCTCCAAATAGGGGATATGGGCATGTGTACAAGCGCCTATAAAGCAGGGAGCACAGGCGCTACGGTTAAGTGGTACGTATATGGCTAAGGTGATTCCCCTTGAGCTGCTGAGCTGTTCCCCTTGGTAAAATCGTTTCTGAGACGTGTACCAAGAGTAGATGCGATGCCTCGAGCTCTGGAATGCTCACGGGGACACTAGAAGAAATAAAGGGGGGCGCTTCCCCGAGTTCCCTTGCCAGGTTGCTCGACATTATTCATGCGGCCGCTCCAGCATTACCTGCTGCTGCCCGAGCTTGCACGACAGTCCACCATCTTGTGCAGCAGATGGATCAACTCGCCCCAATCAGTCTGTAAGGGACCTTGAACAGGACCCAACCACGTGTGACTTGAGCGATGATTCATGCAACAGGTTACTACTCAGTTTCACCTAGATTTCAGCCTATTCCTCTTGTTAGCGTTGGGCCCCACACCTCTCCTGTCCAGTCTCGCGTGCCACACGCAAGCGCTACTTGGCCCCTTTTGCGCTAGAGACGCACTTAGAGGCGTCATCGCCAGGGTGCGATGCAGCGCCACGCATCTTTCCAGGATTTCCGGAACCTAAGTGGGCTTGCTCCAGGATGCTGCTGCACTGGGCAACTGCATTTTTCTGTACTACAATGAATGACGAGTAGAGAGCACTGCCGCCAGCTGGATGGAAGCGTGACAAAGTCTGGAGGACACTTCTTCAACGTGCCTATGTGGAGGAATTCACGATTCTAGCGTGTTTCACGGGGAATTCCTTTGAGATACTCCCGTTGCAGCGCCCCATGCTGTGCTTGGTATGAGCGACGGGATGCCTGTTGTCCGGGCTGCGCAATCATTCGTTCGCCCCTAGTTTTGATTGCTGTTTTACTACGCTGTAGCTGCATCCATTACCACAAGCTGTAGAGTTTGCTCTGAAGCGTTGGGAGCATTCGTACGCTCTACGACGGTCATGCATAGCAGTGGCCTCCAGGGCACCTGCTGCAGGACTCGGCGCTTGAGGCGAGCTGTCTTGGCCCACAAAAGGTCAAGTACTTATTTATCGCCTTCCACGGAAGAAGGAGGGCTAAACATAACTGGTGAAAATACCCAATGGTAGCAAAGCTTCGGACTCGTGTAAAGAGGAAGCTAAGACCTGACTGCATTCTGTTTCCCGTCCCAAAATGCAAAATCCTAAACTAGAAGATAGTAGCAAATTTAGCTCATTGAATATTTGGACTTCACGGGCGCCCCAGGCGTGATATAGAACTGGAAGGCACTCTTGAATCCATGCCGAGAGGGTGTCACGGCCCTTTAATCCCCTTCGCCTCTATCCTAATCCCATCGTTCATATTATTCTTATCTCGCCCGTCAAAAGACTCGAGTGGCAAAGAGTCATTTATGTGATGCTTGCGGTTTGGCTGTTCAGGTCTCTTCATCCCCCGTCTGCTTGGAGGATCTGAGTTCGGATAACAAGAGCCCAATGGTTCGGAATTTCGGCAGCTTCCGGCGACGCGAACATCATAAGGCAGAGGAAGCAGCATTAAAAGCCACAATGGAACACACTTGTGAATGAAACTGCAACATGGAGAGCACTCAACGAGGTACTCAAACTAGCGTATCACGACAAAGCCACGTCTGAGTGCGCGTGAAGTTTGAGTGGGCAAAGTAAAAATTCAACGAATGCCACTTAGGTGACGCAATTTCCCCGAGTACACTTGTTCTGCACCTGACCTTGCCTCATGTAAACTACGTGCTGCCCCTGGTCTCTAAAGCCCCGTGGTCAGGGCCCCCCTTGAGAAGGAAGGGCCTTCCTTGTCTGAAGATTCCGCTGTACAAGGGGTGCGTCATTCTCTTCACCTACAGCCTTTTAGAAGTATCTTTCTGTTTTGTGTGCCCCTGCTGTGGGCGTATGCCCATTTTGCAGTGGATTTCTTGCCCCGTTCACTTTTCGGGGCGGTATAACATAAGTGGCATTTGCTGTTCTGAGATGCCTCATGCCGCACAAATCCACAATGATTTGAAGCAGGCTTTTATTGTAAGCTGACAATCTGCTCTTTAGGGGAGAAGGATACGCCACTGGCTCGTGAGAGCGCAGTAATGCCAATTTCTGTTATACTTGCATAGAAAGATGGAAGGCATTACACAGTTTCTCGGCTTTGTTGGGAGCATAAAACGATTGAAAAGAGCTGGGTGGCTGCGACACATAGATTCCAGAGACGCAGAAAGCGTGGGGGACCACTCATTCGGGGTTGCAGCTCATTTTCTCGCTTTATCGGATAAAGATCTTTGCGTCAATGGCCAGTGTGCCGACAGGAGTCGGTAAGAAAAGCACATTAGCTTTCCAACGTAGCTCATTTCTTCCCTTGCACTGTCTGCTCGTGGGATACCCTTAACTTCCTGACAGTTAGATTCACTGTTCCTTTTGTCGGCCACCGATACCTCAACAAGAGCCGTTCGCGCTGCCCTTTCCTCGGCACTTTTACTTCTCCCCATCGAACAAAATGCCAGGTGTCTGACTGCACATACACTTCACTTAACATCTGAGGCTTTGCTTCGTTCAGGTGTATCATGATGGCTCTGACCCATGATCTAGCCGAGTCCATTGTAGGGGACATTACGCCTCAAGACCCCGTAACCCCCAAAGAAAAGGCAAAAAGAGAAGGCGAAGCCATTCGTACGATCTGCAGTTCTCTTGAAAAAACGCGCGCAAACGAACTGATAGAACTGTGGGAAGAATACGAGCGAGGTAAATAAGCGGAAACACGAGGAAAGTAATTGCAAGTGCCTATCCGTGTGGATGTATGTCTACACGTGTAGATGGGTGCGCTTTTTGCACACACAACGCTGCTTGCATGCGTCAGCACGAACTGACCTAACTTTTACGTGCACTGATAGGGTATTCGTGTTTCTGTGTGTGAACACCTTTAGGGGTACGTCTACTGCCCGTTGACAGATACTGCATTTTGCCATTTCATTTGACTTTTAGGATAGAAATGCCAAAATGCGTGTATCTGAAGAAGTGTAGTGCAGAGCAAGACGAAACGATCCCATCAGATGTGCTGCATCTGCTGTAGGTCACAGTGCAGAGGCTCAATTGGTGAAGGATGCGGACAAGTTCGATATGATTGTGCAGGTTCGTGCAGGCACCTTTCATGCAGAACCAGTTCCATTAGATCTATCCTCTAGCCCGTACTCTGCAGTTGCGGCTATGTATATAAAGTGCCATATAAACGAATGCGGCTAGTTGCTCATGCAAATGCTTTGTTGTTCGCACATGTGCATGCTGACACTATGATGTGTACACTGGTAGGTTACCCTGCTGTAAGGCTAGACATATATTTCCCGACGCATATAAGCTAATGTACAATGCAATTAAACAACATCTTTCGGTTAGAAGCCGCGGCAACGTCACACGTGTGAGTCGTGATTATTTAGTGCGTTGCGGGATATACGTTGGCCTACCAATTTTTGGAAGCGGTACTTGGTGTAATGCATTGATGCCTTATTCTTGGTGCTTCTTCGTACACACAGAGGCCACACGCTAAGTAACCATTGCAGCGGGCATTTAATTTCTTCTCCTTATGTGGACCTTCGCTACACGTTGAATCATAACTCCTAGATTGTAAATATTGTTTGGTTTGTTTTCTACAGGCTTATGACTATGAACAGCGATACGGAGTGTCTTTAGAGGAGTTTTTCGTGTCCACTGAAACAGTTTTCAAGACCGATACTTTCAAAGCTCTAAGCCGCAATCTTAGGGATAAACGCAACACCTGGATCAACAGCAAGCCCTAATCACTTGCCCAGAGTCTAATCCCACCAAAAGGATAGCACCTTTTTCTGTTTATCTTCAGTGGGGGACGAATGAAGGAAGTGGGAAGGACGGAGATACAGACAAAAAACATCTCTTTTATTACTTGATTTTTTGCACTGGCGACAGCGCAGATCCATAATAGACCTGCGCATGCCGTTGTCTTTTCTAAGGCTCGAAGGCCTCGTTCTGCCCATCTGAACAGCTAAATGACTGCAATTAATGTACATGCACTCCAGCAATCAAAGGGACCTGTTTTGCCGGGGCGTGCATTCTTTGCCCCACTGAAATTTTCGGCACTTTGTCCCAGTACAAGCGATCGATAAATTATTCCATTTGTCTCTGGATAACTGGAGGAAAAGTGGAGAGGCCACTGGCCATGCGTGTAAAGGCCTGAAGGCATTTGTAAGGCATACGGAAATAAGCTGGAAAGGCGCGCATTGAGACAACTCGGGTTTTGTGTTCATTATTTTAATTCCTTGCCTCTGCATGGTAATCATGCCTTTCAACTAAGACATGAGACTCTCAACGTTAGAATGACAGCTTCAGGCGGACCGTATGCCCACGCTTTTTTTGTCCTGGATCATTTTCCATTGCACCAATCTAAAGATTTGCTTGTTGCGATAGCTCCTACATTGTGGAATTCACAAAATCGTGTTGAATTCCTGCTGCAAACTCAATACATAGGAAGCAAAAAAGAGGCTTCTCAAACGATAGACTTAGCATTGATGTAGCTGCTGGGTCAGGGGCTTTTTCTCTTTGGTCAACGCCGGCTTCCTCCGGAGGAATCCTTTCAGCGTATAATCTGCATATCGACTGCATTTGGTGTTTGCATATATCAAATGGTATTTAAACTACGAGTATTTTGCAATTTTTTAATTCCACTATTTTTATAGTCTATGCCAAACCGCTGAGGCCTGCTCCATCTGCCATGCGCTTGGCCTCAAGTGGTTCATTCGACCTAAAGAGAGACATCTAAAGTAGATACGATAATCCTCCTGGCACAGGTAGTATTGCAGCTAATCCTTTGGCCTGTCGCTCACACCAATTTTGTGTGAGTGAGATGCGTCCAGGTGGGCTGCCTGCACACCCCAACCATAACCGGTCCAGAGCGAATCGGGGCCAGCTCACTTTCTATGAACAGCGTTCAGGCTAGGAGCTACTGGAAAAGACAAACGTGCTCAAAGGCGTGAGTGAAACTGGAAAAAGTTGAAGGGGATATCCAGTCACCACCAGAGTCTTCCGGGCGGCGGAGTCACCCATGATTGCCTAGGAGAACAGCCGGTCTAACAAGGCTGAAAGGTCGGCTCGTTGTTTGGCGACAGGGTTCTGGTAGTCATTAAGCTGCTTCAAATAGTGCGCCGTAGGACTAACATTATAACGAGTCCCCAAGCGCCTACATCATATGAGCCTAATGAGAGAATGCTTGTAGTTGCCAGCGCAGCTTAGGGCCCCAAACTGTGAAGCCAGAAGACGCCTTTGACATCCAATTATCAAATCGTACAGCAAGTTCCCACAGTATGCCCATCCCGAGGAATGCCCAAATTCACTTTTGTGCGCTGCCCCGTATCTGGGAAATTACCAAAAAAGAAGGGCAAACACCCCTTGAGCGCCCATACACTGCAGCTGAATTCTTCAAGAGCTCACTAACGTTCTGACCTTAATGGTTGTTCAAGGAACCCGCATTCGTCGAGCAGACCACTATGGCTATTGCAGCTGGGGCCGTTGCACGAGAAGCCCCGGTTCTTACAGTGCCGGCACGAAGAGCTCTTAGACCAAAAAACTAAATAAACCCGACGAGCTCTGCACATAAAGGGGAAAGGACTCTAGATACGCAAAGAGGGTGGATTCCTAGGGCACTGTCAGAGGCTACAAACCCCCTGTTCCTGCTATTGGCACGTATTGGTCTGTGGAATGGGATGAGGGAACTGTTAGTGCCACTTTAGTCCCCTCTTCAGCATAAGCCCACAAGGATTTGCCTGTTAGATCATCAGCATAGAACTGGGTGTGTTGCCATTTATATGGCCTACGCCAAAAAAATTCGCTGCAGCACTCTCTTCATCGGAGGCCCCTCAACGCAGGCCATTTAGTCTTCTAGATTAGCCCTAAAAAAGCCTTCTTGTCGTCCGTTTGTCCTTCAAAAAGAATCTTTTTCCGTCTACAAGTCCGGCAAGTAACGATTACGTGACATAATGCTCTCTCTGGATGCCGTTTAGTCATGTCGGTGATGGCGAGCGATCCGTACTTAGTCTGGAGTGTCAGATAGCAAGGCGGTGTTGGACCCACATCTACAGTCCAAGACAGGCAAAAATGGTGCATTATCAAAGATCATGAGGGTTAGCGCTTTAGTTAGCATGTTAGAAAACATGTATTTGCTGCAAAGGTGCTGCAGGCTGCCAGATTACTGTAACTGCAGCCCACAGCAGACGGCAGCCGAAAGGGCAGATCATGCTCCACACGGCGAACATGCCTGTGCATGTGAGGGCTCCTGTTCTACTATTTTTGAGTTTTTAAAGTAGAAAATCGAGATTAAATCACGGCTAACAACCCGAAGAAGCTCTGTACGATGGAGAAGGCGGATGCACACCACCTATTCTGCGGGAGCCCCTAGACTCGCGGATTGCATGTCACAGGTATTCTAGGAGATAAAAAGACTGCTTTCTTCCATGATTGTCTTGAAGCGGGTTGTCGCCGAGCGGTAGCTTTCTTCAAGTCTTCCGCGAAGAGCCAAGGCCGTGGAGTCCAACGAGCACCTTGAAAATGGCGCTTTTTGCAAACATATGCCCTCTGGACGGCCGGTATCGTGAAGCCACAGACGACATTCGGAGAGTTTGGGGGGACATACACCTCATGCGACACCGAGTGTTCATCGAGGTCAGCTGCTGAGCAGGACGCAGGGCCAAAGCAAGCATACGCTAGTGCTCGCGCGATTCGCGTGTACTGCTGCGATACGCAGATTACGGTTCTTTTGTTTCTGTGGACTATGCAGTTGAAGTGGCTGGAGTTCTACCTTGATCATGTGCATTCAGAAGGCCCCATGACGGACAAGCAACGACGTATGTTACTGCCCTCGTGAAGCCCTAGTCTTCTCTTGAATCAGCCAACTTCATAGCTGTACTGCCTCACTCGATAGTGCTTGTCCTTTCGGGCGTGTCATGGTACTCAGAGGCTCTGCAGCCACTTTATGAAGTGACGGAGGAAGATCTTGCGCGCATTTCCACGTTTGAAAAGCAAACCAACCACGATGTCAAGGCGGTGGAGTATTACATTAGAGTACGAACGTTCAGGGTCTTGTGGGTACTTGATCTTGGGGCGTTTTGAACTCGATGAAGTAGGGATTTGAAGTGCTTTCCTTCGTCCGTTTCTTCCTGAGTGAGGAGGTAAGTGTCTCAGTGGCTGGCGTGGGTAGTTGTGGTGTCCGTTGATCCGCAGGAGCGCCTCTCAGCCGTCCCCTGCCTAAGTTCATTAAAGGAATATGTGCATATTTTCTGCACAAGTGAAGATATCAACAACTTGGCGTATGCACTGATGGCTACTAAGGCGAACACGGAGGCCCTCCTTCCCTCCATGAGGTGGCTGATCAACGAGCTGCAGCGAATGGCAGCCGAGGTACAGACTATGAAATAAAGGACAAAAATATAGATCCATGCTGCAATATGCGGCTAGCAACAAGTCGTTGCGGCGGCCTTTCAGAATTAGGGATTGCAGTATGGAGTGAGTTGTTCTGAGATTTCTGAGATGCTGAATTCTTTTGAAGTCGCCGTGTCGATCAAGGCATGAAGGCTTTCGAATTCAGCGCTAAGGGCATCTTCCTGCATACGCTGCAGCATGCAGAAACTCCTTTGTTGGCGAGGACTCACGGACAGCCAGCGACGCCCACAACGTTTGGGAAGGAGTTTGCGGTGTATTGCCACAGACTCAGCAAGCACATGCAGAAGTAAGGCGGTTGGTTGTGCAGGTGCAGATGTCAAACTTGGGGATTTGTCTTCTCTTCGAAAAGCCGCTCAGATGAGCGCAGGAGTCGCAGAGGGGGGATGCAAATTACGAATACAGGAAGAGAAGATTCACCCGCGCATGGGCTGATCCTCCGGCAGGGCTTTTGCACTTTTCTTGCGCCTTAGGCTTGAGGCGTTAAGGCCTTGCGGGAAGTTCAACGGCGCTGTAGGCAACTTTAATGCGCATGTCGTGGCGTTTCCAGACAAGCACTGGCCTGAACTGGCGCAAACCTTTGTTGAGGTGTGTGTCGTACGGCTTTTTGGACGTTGGAAGGGCGAAAAACAGCCTTGGTTTGAAAGTAGCATTGAGCAGCAAGAGAGAGGCTTCACAAGGCACTCGCTTGCGTCGTATGCTGAAGGGGATGGAGGGAGGAGGGCAGGATATGTTTAGTTCAAATTTTTCTGAGGGTGTGCGCTACATGTGCAGAGCTTAGGCTTGGTGTATCAGCCGCTGAGCACGCAAATCGAATGCCATGATTGGGTAGCCGAATATTGCGATGATCTAGCGCGTTTCAACACGGTGCTCATTGGCCTCTGTGTGGATTGCTGGACTTACATCTCAAGGCAACCCTAGACCCTCAACACCACACAACCCATAAGTCAACCCTCCACAGTCTCGAGATTCCGAATTCTGTGTCACCGTAGAGTGAAAAGCCTTCTTCCCCCCTTCCATGCGCTATGCCTGCTGTATGTAGCGCCTCGGGGTATCGCCACAAGAAGCACTGCCGCAGCGCTTCTTTTTGAAACTGTGGTTTCCCGTAAAGCGTTCAGAGGGGAGGCTCCCAGTAAATTCTGATCTGGGTCTGAAATTGACGCTGTCTGCGATTATGTGGGCTGCAGGGAGTTGCTGGTGCTCCGTCGCGCAGAGCTGGAGGTTGGCAGCAGCACAATGCCACACAAAATCAATCCCATTGATTTCGAGAATGCGGAGGGGAACTTGGGCTTGGCCAATGCCATGCTCCGATTTTTCAGGTGTATATTCGCCTGTATCACTTTGAGTGTGGTTCCCTCCACGTGCACTCACAGATATGCGTCTCCTGCGCTCCCCCCTTGCGACTTTTTCGTTGCTGACTGAGTGTAGTCCCTCGCTCTTGTTCCTGGCCTGCCTCCTCTAAAGATCCCATGTGCAAATTGCATGCGCGGTTGAGCTTGATGGTATCCTTTTTTTGTATTGGAAGTCTCACTACCGGAAGACTGCGGAGTGCAGCTTCAGCTACAGCTTTGGCATAACAAAATGCCAAGGCTGTGCGACTTACAGCGCACCGCAAACCGACGGCTTTCTTCGCATTCGTCGTGTGCTGCCTTTTATATGCAGCGGAAAGCTTCCAGTGTCTCGGCTGCAGCGCGACCTTTCAGACACCACATGCCTTCGAAGTTTAGGCTGTGCTCTGGGCTATTCGCTTCTGGGCATAAAATCCTGCCTCCGAGGATTCAAGAAAACAACAGTGTCGGCCGTGAGCGCCAGAAAGGAGCTGCAGCTCCATTGGGAAGTCCTGGCAGAACCCGTCCAGTCCGTTATGAGGAGGTTCGTGAAGCGCATTTAAACTCCTAGGGGGCTGCTTTGCAGCGCGAAGGGGAGGCGTTGGGGCAGAAGATGCATAACTTTTGACTTAGGAAGAGGTCCTGCTCAGCTGGACTATCTACCCGTGCACGTCGCCTCCGCTGCCCTCGAGGCAGGCACACATACCGCTAGAGAAGATTCGTGCAGGAGGCACTCTTTATCCTCCTTAGCAAAGGCCTTCACGCGTATATGGCAGGGCAAACAAGTCACAGGGAGGGAAGTGCAAGAGAGGCAGAAAGCCAGAGAGTTACCGACACAGGAGAGGGCGCAAAAGGACAAGGAATGGACGTGCAGACCAAGACGTGTAGTGGGAAGGTTGTAAATATGGAAGCTTGTCTGAATGATTGGTTCTTGTCTGTACGTGTGCATGCATGTCTCTTAGGGAGGGCCAGCCCCAGGCGTACGAGCAGCTGAAGGAGCTTACACGGGGGAACACTGTCACTCCCGAGACTCTGAGGGCGTTTATCGCGAATGCAAAATTACCCGAGACGGACAGGGAGAGGCTTCTAAAGCTTTCACCAGAGACGTATACTGGCATCGCTAGCCATCTAGCTGGAGGGGTGCAAAGGAAATAAGTCCCTGCCGTTTAAGCTCGAGTGCTGTAAGCCCCGAGATTTTGTCTTTTAGGAACCCTGAAGTTACTACATTAGTAGATCTGCATCCAGTGATGCAGACACACATTCACGCGACGACGGGAGAGGGAGAGGAGCTGCAGATGCTCTCGCACCCCGATGCGCGCTGCTGCAGGACGCAGCCATTGGCGGCCATGGAAGCGATTTTATGCCAGCCGTTCGCTAGATACGGGCTGACAGTTTAGCCATGATGGTTTTGCTTGTAGAACAAAGCCAGCCTTTATAGTTCGTGCCCTAAGAAGGCAGTACGTGTGAAACAGTTCAAACGAGAACAATGGAAGGAGTCCCCTGTTAGCTCTAGTGTATATTAAAACTCCGGCTCTTAAGGCGTTCCGTGCAAGCTTGCAATGGCGCGGTCCAAAATAATGACGACTTTGCCAATGTTTGCGGACTCCTGAAGACGTTGGTGCGCCTCTTCCGCCTCTTCCGCGCCGAATGTGCGGTCAACAACGACCTGCAAAAAAGTGCAGCAGCGCATGCGCCAAATAACGCACCCATGCCTTGAGCTCTGCTCTTCGCCGCTATCATGAGATGTATTCGTGAGTGTTGTGGTCAGGGCATTCGATCACAGGTTTTAGGCTGTGGACGCATTTTTCGCGCGCAATTCTTTCGCGCTCGCCTTCCTCTGTCGCAAGTCGAATGCTGGCAGATTGTAAAACGTGAGTCTGGCTGATCGTCTCCCCCGTCCGCATTGGCACTGGGGCTTGGCGCCTGCGCTGCTCGCTCTGTGACCACTACACCGCAATCCAGGTGCTCTCCCCCCGTCAGGGCGCAAATTCAGCAACCTGCCTTAAGTGTCCCGTCTGCGAGTTTTGGGAGAATGTCTTGCTTAAAGTTCGCGACAAGTTCTTTCTGGTAGCTCTCACTGCGGCTCCGCAAGGTCGTGGATAGGAGTCGTAGCCGCTTTTGCAGCAAACTCGCCAAGGAGAACGACAGACGATGCCCCCCTAGGCTGCCGTATAAGATCCATCTAAGCCACAAGCAAGACTCAAACACTTTTTAGTTCCCTGAGCACTTCTGGTTTCTTCCGAGGCCTCACACGAACCCTGGTCGCCGCGCACCAGCCCTCTTCGAAACCCCCCATCGCCAACAAGGCCACAACGGCTCGGAGGTCGGCCTCGCTGTGGGTGTACGTACAGCCCGCGGGCAGCACAAGACGGCTAATCAAAACTCCTAAGCGCGGCTTACGTGCCGTCCACACGCAGTGCTTTTACAGTTTGCTCCCAGAGAGAAGCCCCCACGCAGTCGAGGACAAGGTCCACGCCTCTGCAGCCGCAGCGTACAATGCCGTTCAAGAAGTTGTCTAGACAGTTATCGCGTTCGCAGGCTGGCCGCTTGGTCCCGCCAGGCGACTAAAAAAGAAGCACCTCCGCAAGGGCCTAACGAATGGACATGGAAAATGCCACCTCAAGGAAACTCCGGAGGCCCATGAAATGCAAAGACCCACAAGCGTCCACACAGGACGTTTTATTCATTGTAGGATCACACGGCACAACGGCTTAAAACGCATGCAGCCAGCTGATGGCAAGTAAGCAGATACAAACGGCAACGCATTTTGGATGCCACTGAGAGGAGCCCGCCGCATGCCAGGTCCTTGGCCAGTGCTCCCTCAAGAGCTAAATTGCAAGACATATGAGCACTAGGGTCCAGATTTAGCTCTTCGCTTACTGTCCGTCGGTGCGTTTTAGTGCTTCGTCACCCAGGGTGTCTCCCAACAGCTTGTAGTTCAAGGAAACCGCCGCGCCTGCAGTAACGGTAAACCCAGACCCTAAGGCCTAGCCTGCGCATTAGCCTCCTGATCCTCAAAAGGGGTCTTGGCGAATAACGACAAGCAAGCCCACGCAAAAGATCGACGCGTCTAGAGCCCTAGAAAAAGAGGGTGATAGTTACTAGAAGCACGGGCATTCGCTCGTCTTTAACGATTCGGAGGAAGACGAAGATTGAGGACAGCTAGCGACATATCCAAGGTGATACGGAAGCACTGCTTGCTTAAACCGCGCATACTTCAGCCCTAGCGAGCATTCGTCACCGTAAGGCGGCAGTGGACAGCATGTGGCCTCGTGAGCCACGAGCCACTCACCGAGGTTTTCAGCGCACTGCAGTTTCTCCGGTGTCCCTGCGACGGCAAGCACCTTCGCTCCCGGCAGGAAAGCCCGAATAATCTGCAGGAGAGCCACGCCAACCCCTGCAAACAGCTCATGCAACAGCAAAAGGAATCTTCGCCACTGTCGCCTATGAGACAGAGAACACTCCACCAAGCACAAAACGCGCTCAAGCCCCTCCTTTAAGGACTCGGACACCCACACCGCTCACTAAGAGACACCCTTACTCACACACACACACAGAAAGAGAGAGAGATTGAGCGACACACATATGATTTCACAGACCAAGGCAGACGTGCGCCTATCAAGGGCTTATGGCTTAAAAGTTGTTACCCGATGCGGCTGCATACACAAGGATGCTCTTTACTCCTGATGGTTTCCCTCCGTTCGCTGGAAAGTCCGTTAAGCCTGAACCGGCATCACATGTCTCCCACAGCTCCACGCCTTGAAACCGTCTAACGCTGTATCTGCAAGCCCTGTCTCATCCCCACCAACTCACCTCCTACTTCTTGCAGCAACTGATAGGCGGTAATCCAGTTCTCTGGAATGCATGCCGCCTGAATATGTGCGAAGACAAACAAGTGTCTACAGCTTGTGGTTTTCCAGCTTGCTAGGTATTCCAGCTTTGAGGCCTTGAGGAGCACAGGATGGCTCCACGTCCTTGACCAGGGGATGCTAGAAGCAACTCGGATTCGAGTTCATACATATATATATATATACTCTAATAGCCTACCTCTTCGACTGTAAGGTTACTGGGAATGGGGAAGCATAGTTCAGGGCTTGCAGCAACGTATTCCGCATATCCGCCTCCTAGAGAGAGCACCAAACATGCAGAGCGCCTTAAGGCGTATGGATCGAGACTCCCGCGTGTTGCTCTGGACACTCAGAAAGAAAGGTTGAGCGGCCTCTCCCTATCCTCAGAGTCTGTAAAGCGGAGAGGGACTTGGTTGAATGACGCGCTGCAGCCTCATGCTCCTTGGCGAGCCCCTAGCCGGAAAAGGCAGTGAGCCTTTGCAGGCCTCCTCAAGAGTGCCAGGAAGGCTTAATTCGGGTTATAAGCGCACATTCGGGGGAAGGCGTGGTTATCTTCTTACCTGGAAGGAGGCAAGCAACAGGAGTTCCATAAGGGAAGGTGCTTCCAGAAACAACGACTCCCGCAGCCTCAGGTCCAAGGATATCTGTAGCTCCTTGGGGTGGGGGGTACTTGCCTGCGACGCACATGCCCAGAAACGTTACCTCTGGTTCGTGGAGGTAGATGAGGCGCTGAGCCGAGCGATTGGGATTTTGGGGGACATGCAACTATGCTATCGTGAGTTCAGGCTACAGAGGGGGATCTCATGTAAATTGGCTCCTCTGTATGCCCGACTAACCAGCTTTCTGCATCAGATCCATTCGATTTACCCCTGCAGCGCCAACCTTGACGAGGATCTGCCCTTGTCGCACCTGAGGGATAGGGGCCTCTGACAGGAAGAGGGACGGAGTCCCCTGCCTGCCAGCCGCCCTCGTCAACACTGCGCGCATGCGTTGCATTGCGATGTGCATGCTACTCTGCGAGGAGATTCCTCTGTAGGGTGTGCTCCAACACACTCGCCGCCACACACACCGGATCGATATCCTCGAAGGAGCGTCACAGTGCAGTGCAGTGCTTTACTGTATGCGCCTACGCATACATACATACATATATATGTAGATATTTCCAAAACCGTCTTCCTGAGCACCTCCCCTAGTGCTCCCTTTAGGCATCTCGCCACTCGAAGTGTCCCGTAATGTGATCGCCACAGGCGTATGACCCTACACCCCAATCACTGGGGAAAGCAGACCACAATAATATTAACAGTAAAGTCGTTTCAGCTTCATAAAGCTCTGAAATACACACAAATTAAGGGGAAACACACATTCCCAGAACTGCTGCCGCCATAAGGGGCCCCTAGAGACGCTTTGGGGCCCCTAGGAAAATAGACCGGCGGTCTGATCACCAGGAGGAGCAAGGAAGTGCCTTAAAACTGCGAAATGACACTGGGCTGCGAATTATGAATGGATTCCTGAGACGTTGTAACGATTTCAGCGCGGTTAACCGTTTGTAGGGCCTTAGAGGAAGGCCTTCTAGCCAAATGAGCGCTCGCCTTTGAGGAGTGTAGAAGCCCATGTCGAGTAGAAGCTGCTTGCTTCGGCAACCCCCCCTTTCGGCTCCTTTGTAGAGTCTGCCTGCTATGCGTGTCACCGAAAATAGGCCGACGTCCTCCCGTCATTGAGGCAGAAGGAGCAACCCCGTCACTGAAAATTTCGACTGCAGGCCATGAGCGTCAAACCCTCAATCCTGAAGACGAATGGATCAAGAAACGAAACGCCTCCTCATGCACCACCTCAAGCTGCGCTGAACCTTTCGCAGCAGCCCTTCTCTAATAATCCTGCTGGCCCGCGGCGTCCGGTGTATACTGCGTGCCTCTTTTGGCTCATTTCAACTGCGTAGTCTCAAAGAAACTTCCCTTCCCGCATACGGAACGCAGAGCGATTGGCGGGGGAGAGGATCTTGAGCTCCAAGACATCGTACCGTCACGTCTCGGCGTTCCCGAGGACCTTGCAGGAGCCGATACTGCGTGGTTTGGGCATAATGCAGCGCAAAGGAGCTGCCGTCTCGCTGCGCGTTTTCGACTTATCGAGGGGAAAAGTGGAAATCTACGGGTCTCTGTTCCTCAACGACCGCAAGAAGGGCATATGGTACTTCCGTCTACCGACCCTCTGCTCGCTCTTCAGACTCTACACTCTCCATCAGGGTCACTCGAGAGCAGCCAGGCCGTATTCGACGCGCGCTCTATCCGCACCCTCAGGCTCGAGAAGAGCGAAAATCTGAGGCAAAGCGAAGTGTCGCTCTCTCTCTGTGCTTCAGGCACACGAGTGTTTGTGTCTTCTCCAAGGAGTACTTTTACATGTCGACAATCTGCGTTTGCCTCAAGGGCTTCGGCTGGCCTGGAGAAGAGCTCCTTACCGACGAAATCCAGTACTGCTATACCCGTCCCGCCCCTAAGGCCCCTCTGCTCTTCCGTTGCATCCCTCTGCGCATCATCGCCCATTCACGGCGAGTTTGAAGCGCCCGTCTGCGGTGGCTATGGGGTCTGCAGGATGGGCTGCACGGATGCAACAGAGGAGGAGCTGGAGGCCTACCTCCATTTACAACATGGCTTGTTCACTCCAGTAAATCACTTGCGTTTATCCAGAGGGCTTCACTAGGCTGTGGAGCTCTCTGTGGCCCCTTACGGAGGGCCCCCTCTTCCCCCAGCGTTTTCCCCCAGCCTCCCCTCCTCCCCAGGCTTCGCTCCGTCAAGTCTGCTCGCAGCTGCTAAAATTGCCTGCGTTTCTTCTTGACCTTTTTGGCCTGGGAGGGGTGTGTCTGTGGGGCTCAGGATCGCTATGACGTATTCGTGCACAACTGCAATCATTTCTCTCAGAGCGTTCTGCGATTCTTAGGTGTTAACCCTTTACCCGCGTGTAGGCTTCGATGCCCCTTGGACTGCGCCTCCTTCTGCTGCTGCCTCGCACTCCCGTGCCCCTCTCTCCGCCCTCTCTTTCTCTACCTCTTTAGTTGGGGGCTTCTTGTCAACCACCGTCAGCCTTGCAAACGTGCCGTCTCGCAAGTGCATGCGCTGGCGGCGCTCCTTTGCACGCAGGTTTGAGGCAGCACTAGCGATAGAAGGGGCTGTGGGCTTTTTGCGTTGCAGACATCGCCACGCTTCCCGATCGCGTGTTGGATACAGTCCTCGGGAAAATCGTGCGCCCTTTCGTTGACGCCTCCGTAAACAAGCTTAAGGCAGAACTGCGTGAGCCTGCTTAATCGGAAGGCCTAAACGAAAGCAGTTTTTTACGCTCTGTGCAAGAGCAGCTCGAGAGACAGCTGCCCCTTCACGCACGCATGCGGCGTGTGTGCATTCATTTTATGCGAGCTACGGTTGACGTCTTCATTTAAAACTATGTTGGATCCTGAAGTTGAGGGCTGCTTTATCTGCAGGTCGCACTGCAGCCCCCTCAGAGCTGGAGGGGGAAGTCTTCTTTTACGGAGGCGCTCACCCTGCTGTCCCTAACTGGGATGCTGCAGACAGAAAAAAGCTCCTGAAGAAAGCAGCTCGGAGGCAGCAGCAGCTCCGCAGAGACGAAAGGAGAACCAGGAAGAGCGCTTCCCCTGCTTCTGATGTCTTTCTCGGGGGGAGCCTTCAGCACAGAGCAGGACCCCGCAGCCGCAGCCAAACACGCGCCGCTGCAGCGGCAAGGGATATTGCGGGGGCGACAACATTGGCAGCGAGCACAGGCTTCGACTTCCAGCTTCCCTCTTACCTCGCAGATGCCTGGCAGGGGCGCAAGGAGGTTGTAGCTGCCGCGGCACAAGGTGCTGCTGCCGCTGCCGCAGCCACAGCTACTGCAGCAGCAGGACTTGCCGCAGCATCGGGGAGTGAAGAAGCGAATAGACGGCTCACAGAAGTAGCAGGCATAGCCTCCTCCCTTGAGCGAGCTGCTGTTGTTGCTGGCGCGGCTGCTGCAGCGCAGCGGCGGATTTCAGAGCTATGCACGGGCAGCAGCAACAACGAGGCCGGTAGCAGCGGCCTTTTTTCAGAGCAGAAAACACCACGTGGCGAGGAGAGCCTGCCCAGCTGGAGAACCGAGGGGAATGCTAAAACACACTCTGGGGCGTCGTCACCCTCTGCTGCGCAGCAGCAGCAAGAGGCGCTTCCCCCCCTTTCCTTGGGAGCAGCAGGACCAGCAGCAACAGCAGGAAGATCGAATGCATCGTCAGCCGACGAAAGGGAGGATGCCACTTATCCCGATGCTTGGCAGACGGTATCTGCCTCCAGCTCACCGCAGCCGCACCGCAGGTGCAGCAGTCGGTCAGTGCGCAGCTGTATCGCCAGAACCAGCAGCATCCAAGGCAGCGGGGGGGGCTGCAGCAACCTGGCGACGATGGATGCGTTTGCAGACAGGCTGCGGGAAGAGAAAGCAGCAGAATGGTCGGCGTTTTTGGCTAAAGAGCTCGAGCAGAAAGCGTCTAGCTGCTGAGAGAGATCGGCGGCAGCAACAACAACAAAGGCGCCTACTGCGCTCGCTGCCGTAGAGGACGAGACAGCGGCAGCGACGTGCGTCGTTGAAAACATAGATAGAATATTTTCAACAGCGACGGGAAGAAAGGGGCGGTAGCATCGCGACACGCATACAGATCAACACGACCTAGTGCTCCAGCGTGAACGCGCTGGAGAAGGCCAAAACAGCGTCTCTGAGGGTAACAGAATGTGAGCGTTTCCCACAGACCTTGTTGCAACCTCACGGGGATCGCCAGCAGCGCACGAGTTTAGCTACGCCATGTATTTATTATGCCACTGTGCACAGCGGCGCCGCAGCATGGTATGTGTTCCTGTTGCTGCGGCTGCTAATTTAGTCCTTGTGCTAAGCGAAAGCCTTCAGGGCTTTCCCCAGGCGTTCTTTTTGAAGGGAGCACGGAGCGGAGCGGGGGGAGGGAGGGTTTGTGCAGGCACAGGCAGTAAAAGCCACATACGCAAGCCTTTGCCCTCCCCACCCCACCCCACCCCCAAGTAACAGTAACTTGCCGGTCGCCTTTGTTCCCTTGTCTTGAAGCGTTTGTGTCTATGCCGCATGCCCACTACTAACGCTGCTGTGAGGCCTCTAGAAGGCACAGCGCAGCGCACCGACCAACCCACCCACCGAGAATAAAAGCAACTGGCACGGTTGTTGCAGCCCCCTTATATATATATATATATATATATATATATATATATATATATATATATATATATATATATATGCACGTCGTGCAGGCGCAAGACTCGCTAGGGAGGAAACACGCAAAAGGTGTAGTGTACATGCTTTCGCAAAAGGGCCATTGTTGCCCTTACTCCCAGTGAAGCAGCCAGGCTTCGCTGCTGCTGTTGCTGCTGCTGCTGCGCCCCCGTGCGAGCGCTCCCTGCGTTTGCATGCAGCACTTTTGCTGCTGAAAGGAAGTGATTTGGACTAGCGGCTTTAAGCGCCTTGCAGAGGACAGCCCTGCAGCGGCGGTTTAGGGGTAGGAGCAGTGGGGACGGCCGTCCCCACAGCAGCAGCTGCCGTTGGCAGGCTGCAGTTGCTCCCCCTATCCGCAACACGTTCGTGAAGAACAGCCCCCCCCGTATGCATGACTCCCGACCTCGGTGGGCAGGACCCTGCCACGAGCTGATCCGAAGGGAGAGGATGCACGTACCTCAAGGCGTGTGGCTGCTGTTGCTGCTCCTCTGCAGCCTCGCCTGCATACAGCGCCGCGGCGTCTAGCGCGTCAACGGGAGGGAAGCCGGGTGTTTCTGGTGAGGCTTGCGTTGCTGTTGGCGCAGCACAGACTGACGCGCACAAAGGAGGGCGCAGCACAGGTGCTCCCGAGCTGTCTGCAAGTCTTTGAACTTCCGCTGCAACGCTGGAAGCGGTGGTTGCCTGCTGTGCGGCTGTCGCGGGGGGGGTCGTTGCAGGAGGCGATGGTGCTGCTGTCGGGCAGAGGGGGTGTGCAGGCGGAGGCATTTCGCCTGGGGAGCTTGCGAATGCGGCTGAAGCGGGAGGGGTCAGGGCAAAAGCCGTCGGCGATGTTTGGCAAAGGGAAGAAGGGCTGCTGCCTTCCGCCGCTGGAGTCTGCACAGCGGCGAGGGCAGCAGCGACGGAGGCTTCTGGTGTCTTGTTGTGGCAGCTCGTGGTAGATGCCACCGTTACGGGTGTCGTAGGAGCCGTTCCTGTCATGCGGCCTTCCTGTTGGTCGCATGCCAACCCTAAAGCCCACTCTTTGCAGAGAGAGGGGCCCCCCAGAGGGCCCCCTAAGGCTCCTGCGGCGGCTGAGGGGGAGGAGCTCCGTGGTGACGCGGGAGCAACCCCCGCAGCCGCTGCTGCCACGGCAGCTGCTGCTTTCGCATTTGCCGTGGTGGCTACACGAGGCAGCAGCTGCTGATGCTGTGGGGAGCATCGGAAAGGCAGCGGACAAAATGGAACCAGCGAGGAAACGGAGGAAGAGGAAGAGGAAGAGGAAGAGGTGGTGGTAATGCTCACACACGCCCTCTGTGGAGTGTCCTCTGCACAGGAGCAGCTGCAGCTACTGCTGCTGCTCCTGCTACTGCTGCTGCTGCAGCTACTGCTGCTGCTGCTGCAGCTACTGCTGCTGCTGCTGCCGGTGGCACTGTCACGTAGTCCTTCCGCGACGTTTGATTTCGGAGAGCTTAAGCCTTCACACGCAGTGTCTGGCGCTGTAATGAAGCGACAGCATGACGGTATGGGAGAGCCGTTGGCAGCAGCAGCAGCAGCAGCAGCGGCACACGCCGTGGTGGCAGCTTCACCAGGCTGCTGCTGACTGCCTAAAGCTGCAAAGTAGGCAGCTGCCCATACACCTGGAAAGAAGCCGTCTCCACATATGCTGGAGGCGTCCCCCGCCAGCATTCCTGCAAGAGCAGCGGCAGCGAGAGGATCGCCCCCTGCAGCGGCAGCCGCTGCAGCGACTCCCGCAGAGACACCAGAACGGTAAAAGTGCAGCGCCAACTCAAAGACAGATCGAAAAGGATACAACAGCTCAACAGGAGGCCCACTGCCTCCCCCAAGCAATGCACCGACATCCAAGCTCTCCGAAAACGAGGCAGCACCAGCGGCAGGAGCGCGATGGAAGCCACCCTCCGGACTGCTGCTTGCAGCAGCTGCCGATCGAAACTCGCTTGGAGCAAAGGCATGCGCCAAACGCTGCACATTGGGCTGCAGAGGCACCTTGGCGGCTGCTGCTGCCGCTGCTGCCGCTGCCGCTGCTGCTGCTGCTGCTGCTGCAGTGCCCGCCCCCTCAAGAGGAGGGAAGGGGGAACCGGAAGCTCGCGCTGCAACATAACGCTGCAGCAGCTCTACAGGATGAAAGAGCTCAACAGTGACTTGCGCTGCTCACACACACGCATACATATATATATATATATATACAAATATGGATACACATGCGTGTATGTGTGCATGCGTGGATGGATACACACACATATGCATGCATGTACGCATGGATGGATACACACACACATGGATACACACTCATATGCATGCATGCATCTGCACATATATATATATATATATACATGAATGCCCACACATATGCATGCATGCATCTGCACATATATATATGGATACACATACACATGTAAACACACACGTGCATGCATGCAGAAAGGCACCGTTGGCGCGGCCGCTGGTGGCCAGCCGGCCGGCAGCAGGAGGAGCATCAAGCAGCAACAGCAAAAGCGGCTGCATGCGTTTCCTACCAAAGGTGATGACCACACAAAAGTAGCCCTTCGAGCAGCGCGTTTCTGGCTGCTGCGCCACCAGTTCCTGCTGTCTGTACTGCTGCGGCTGCTGCAGTTGCAGCACGGGGTCTGCCTGCTGCTGCTGCTGCTGCTGCTGCTCCTGCTCCTGCTGCTGCTGCTGTGGAGAAGGAGGCGGTTCTTCGTTGAAGTCTGCAAAATCTACGAGGCGGTAGGGGGTCTCTCTTCCATCTGGCATCGTCATCTGCAGAAAGGCAAGTCACTTAGACATCTACCGCAGGCTCTTGCTGTCTGTCCAGCAGAGCTAGCGGGCCCTTTACTACGCTCACTAAAAAGGCGAGAGGGCGAGGTGTCAATCTAGCTAGCTAGAGGGGCTAAATACACACAATGTGCGCCTTCCTGACGGTGGCAATACGTGAGTCTCCACTCCACGCAAGTGCGTGCAGACTCGGCAGCTTCGTGTTTGGCTGGAGTGGCGCTTGCCAGTACAACAACTGACGCCCTCCTCTACCCCAGCAGCCGCCACCAAACAAACCTGGAAAATGGCAATAAAGCGCATGAGATCAATAAGCAGCGTCACCGCACACCCCGACTGAAGAGGTTCTAACCCCTCAACTGCCCGCCGCTCTAGCAGCGAGCCACGCCCTGAAAAAACACAGAACGGGGAGTCGACATATATAAATATATATATATATATAGATATGCATATACATATATCTATATATGTATATATCTCCTGTGAAGACTCTGCGATCAAGATGCAAGTAGCAGGCGAGCAGGAAGCGCAGTATGCTTTGCTATATACATGTATATATATATCTATATATATATGTATATCTATATATGTATATCTATATATGTATATCTATATATGTATATATGTATATATCTCCTGTGAAGACTCCGCGATCAAGACGCAAGTAGCAGGCGAGCAGGATGCGCAGTATGCCTTGCCATATATATACATATGCATATATATATATATATCCATACATATATATGAGACGGGAGGCTTGTTTTTAGCCGTGAAGTGCGCTCCATGGGAGAGTGGTTAAAACTTACGCTTGCACAGGTGACCCTGCCGGTTAACAAAGACGGAGTAAAGCGTCTGAATGTTTTTGCCGCATGGTACACGCGCTGCAGGAGAGTCACAGGAACCAGAGTTTAGAGTTTATGGTTAAATAAAAAGGGTGATATATAATGCGAGAGGTGGTAATGGTGACGGCGCGTATTACAGGCTGCAAGAGGCGCCTTGATCTTTCGAGTAGATCGCTGAAACTGAGCGGTCTTCTAGACGTGCACCTGAGGCACGACTAGGATGCGAAAAACAGCAGAAAGCTGTAGCAGGAAGCGATTCAGCAGCCTCTAGAACAGCGGCCGCTTACTGGCGAAGACAAAGCCAACACCATCAGCGGCGCTAATTGGACCTAAAGGCACAAAGAGGAAGAGAAAGATACAAAAAATGAACGATAGATGTAAAGAAAGAGAAAAAAGAGATATGGGGGAAGAGCGAGAGATATAAAGAAAGAAAAAAGAGAGATATGAGGGAAGAGCGAGAGATATAAAGAAAGAAAGAGAGGTACAAAGAAAGACGTGAGAGAGATATGTAAAGAAAGAAAAAGAGAGATACAAAGAAACAGCGCGAGAGCTACAAAGAAAGGAAACGAGAGAGATACAAAAAAAGACGAGATCTATAAAGAAAGAAAAAGAGCTACAAAGAAAGACGAGAGAGATCTATAAAGAAAGGAAGCGAGAGAGATACAAGAAAAGACGAGATCTATAAAGGAAGGAAAAGAGATATACATATATATATATGGAAAGCGAGACGAGAGAGAAATATAAAGAAAGTGCGTGCACGATGTATACACATAGGCGGTGAAGAGGATGACACCCCCTATAGCTGCAGAAGCGGTAGGGAAAGCCCAAGCAAAAGAGACCCCTTCTTGCTTTCTTTCTTCTTTCCTTCCCCTCCCTCAGCCTCCTTCTTCCTCCCATTCGAGCGCAGCAGCAACCACAAGAAGCGGGGAGGAGGCGGGGGGGAAGGAAGGGCAGTCGAGAGGAGAAAGCAGGAGTTGCTCGTTCCACCTCCGCGAATGCAGCAATTACCTTTGGCGATTTTGTATCTGTAGGCGCAGATGCCACCCACTCTGAGTTGCCGTTCGTACACGAGGGAAATCATTCCTCCCTTCCTTTCTTTCTTGAATCTTTTGTCACCTCCAGACAGACGACCAACACGTCCAGCATCGGGGTGAAAACGTGGAGCTGCCCAGGGAGGTGCTACTGAGCCTGGCTGCCCTAATTCAGCGGGGGAGGAGAAATTCGCTCGGCTAGCAGCTGCCATGCGGTTGGCTTCGGGAAGTGCATCCTTCCTTAGAGAGAGTTGTCTCGAAGAGACTCCAGCGGAGCGCATCGAGATCGACAGCGTGCTGATGGAGGCGCTCGAGAGAGGCTGCAAAGACTCCTGGGAGGGTGCCTGCTTCTCCTGCTCACCGCGTAGAAGCCTTCGACTGATGCTGCTTGGTATGCTCTCGCCGCTAATGCTGCTGCTCAACTCGTTCGAGCTGCGGTTAGGGAGCTTCCCTGAGATGTCGTCCCCGTGGCTAACATCGCCACTGTGGCGCTTTGGCTGGTGTTGTTGATGTTGCTGATGTTGATATTGCTGTTGTTGATATTGCTGTTGTTGCTGATGCTGTTGTTGCTGATGATGTTGTTGCTGATGATGTTGTTGATGTTGCTGTTGTTGATGTTGCTGTTGTTGCTGATGATGATATTGCTGATGCCGCGCTGTGCAATCGGCTTCCGCAGACGCGGCGGGAGGGCTGCTTTCCAGCGAGGCGCTTGTAAGGTTGCTTCTATGGCTAGATCTGACGCTGTTAGCTTGAGGGTGATCGCTCGGGAGGTTATTCTTCTCGGGAGTCAAAGTGCTCAATGAAAGGCACGCAGAGAGAGCCGGCAGAGGAGGCGTAGGAGGGCATGCAAATTGTTGTGGCTTCCCAGACATCCCTAGGAGCGCAGGGGGGGCCCCCTGCTCACATACCATCGCCAGAGTTTTTTGCCATACTGCGGCTGGAGGCATATGGAGTGCGGCTTTGCGTCAGGTCTAAGTGGCACTTACAAGAGCAGCCGCGGAAGAACGAGGGCGTTTGGAGGCAGTCTTCTATCGAGCCTCGGAAATTAGGATCGAGGAAAAAACAGAAAAGCTCCGCTTTCTATCATAATTAAAAGTTTAGGAGTTCGCGGTTAAGCGAGGAACCGAAACCCCTTAACGACCCGCCCTCACCAGCCACAGCAGCCGCTGGCCTCCATTCTTCGGGAGAGAGAGAGAGATCTTCTTCAGATATCTCCCCCTCTCTCTCCGTCACGTAGGGCCTGAGACTTGTAATTTGATTCTTTTTCAAGTGAAACTGCGGGGGATGTGGGGATGGCGGAAGGAGGAGGACGGTGGTGATCCTCCTCGTCTTTAGTAGCCCTCCCTCTGCCCGCCACTCCGCACCAAACGGTCTTCCTGTGCTGCTGCTGCAACACCCCCTTCCCCTTCCCCTCCCCTTTCCCCGTAGCGCCTCTTCGCAGCGGCAGAAACAGCAACAGCTGCTGCCGCGCTAGGTGCTGCTGTCATCGAGGAACAAAAACCACCGCAGCAGCAACAGGCACTTAGTGGCCATGGCGCCTACACATCCATGGGGTTCGTGAGAGAGGCCTCAGTGCGCTAGAAAAAGCTTGAGCTGTTCGTTCCTGCTCCTGTCATCTCGACGTCTACCAGCCCTTCCCTCCCCCCGCCGGCCTCGTTTCTCCCCAAAGGCACGCCCTCGAAGCTACGAGGAGACACCATCGGCAACATCCTCACTTTGCTTCGACAATGCCGCTCTTCAGCTTGTCGCATGTCCTCCTAACACCCCCCAAGACACCAAGGTATTGCTACACTCACCTGCACTCACACAGAAACATACTCGTTTCAAGGGTGTTGACCTAAGTTTCAAGGCGTCGTCATGCAAACGGAAGAGAGACAGACACTTCTTATGTCTATATGTATATACACTATATAGCCAGGATAAGGATGGGCCGAAGCATTCTCTGCACCTGGGTGCTTTGTTCGTAGGAACGTGTTTTTTCCCTGGCAAACAATGGCAGTCCACCTGAGCGGTGCGTTCTTGGAAGCCCGTCGCTTGGCACTTCGTGTGCCTGTCAATCTGACAAAGCCAGAGATCAAGGCTTACTTGCAGTCTCTCTATGGGGCGAAGGTCCTCAAAGTAAACACGCTCATCAAAGTGCCCGAAAGGAGGAGAAATCTCGATGACAAGAGGCGTAAGGCCAGCGCGAAGGGTTTCAGAAAAGCCTTGCAATGACAGGTCGCACCGTTCCCTTGCGTAGGTGTGTCTTTGGCGCTAGGAGTACTATGCTTTCCAAAGTGCGCGTGGGGAGACCATTAGCTGTTTTTCCGCCGCTCAAAAGATGGTTTTCTATGCTATATGCCTTATGACTCGTGAACCTTCAGTGGGCTACCGGCGCGCGGGGTGTACGTACAAGAAGGCCATCGTGACGCTAGAAGATCCTGTGCCTGACGAAGTCAAGATGCTGCGGTCTTCTCGGCGTCTGGGAGCTAATCCAGATATCACCAAGAAGAATGTTTCGTACGGTGCCAACAGAGACTTGAAGCGCAGGCCGTCGAGGAATGAACTTTGGCAGGGAGGAGAGATCTCGCACGCGTGGACTCTCCCCATCCCGAATCTCTTAGCGGGTACGCTGCGGATTTGTTGCTATATACATATCTATATATACTATATATATTGTATGTATTATGTATATATAGTGTGTATGTATGTGGATATACACATGAACATATATATATATATATATATATATATATATATATATATATATATATATACCCCACACACAGACATTTCGCATAGCAAAGAAAGTGTGGCGCGTCTGAAGGCGTGCCGCCGCATGGTCTGTGAAAATTAGGGGCAGTAGGGGGGTGTGGGGTGATGCTCTGCCTCAAGGAGAGGATTTACGACTCCATCCAACAAACCGCGAAGACACCGCGGTTACTCCTGAAGCCCCCGATATCCGACTGCCGTTTCGCCATGATGGAGTGTACAGCTGCACTTTTAAGCCGAGCGAAGTTCCCCGCCAGGCTTCCACGCGGGTGAGTTGGTGATCTTGCAACAACGGCAGCAGCAGGCTGCCCTAAGAGCGCAGTGCAGGGGCGGCTGTAGTATCTCGTGCAGCTGCTGCGCTTGCTTGCGAGCTTTTATGGGAAGTTTGCTGCTTCCAGGATCTTTGCCTCCCTCTCCTACTCGCGCGCATGGGATGTAGCTGGAAGGGCTGTGCAATGTGTGGTGCCCTGCTGCGATTTCGGGGTGAGTGCAGCTCGACCTTAGGCCCTGGCGTCACCGCCTCTCTCGCTCGCATAGCCGCGTTGGCAGCTAGCGGTAGGCTACAGACTCGAGGCGGGCTTTGGCTAGCTAGTATTTCACGAGGAGGCGCCTGCATGCGGCGTAGCAGTGGGGCTTGCAGGACAGGCAGCCTGGCGCTGCAGCTAAGTGCTGAGCACGGCGTCGTGTCGTGTGCTACGGTCTTGGTTCACTTTTGTTGGCCTCTATTTAGGAGAGCTTTGCGGGGGGGAGGGTTTTTTCGAGCTAAACAACGTGGAACCCAGCTAGCAGCTTCTCTCACGCTCCTGAAATCATAGAGAAAGGAGCGTGCTCGGGTAGAATCTAGCCTTAGCGTTCTTCCCACTCCTTGAGGGGGAGGGAGCAGCACCGGCACAGGGGGCCTTGCACGGAAGGTAGGTGGCTTCCCCACCAGCATCCCTTTAGGTACTACTTGCTATAAAATATCCGTAGGTATACACCTAACTCCAGGCGCAATACATGGTGCGACAGAGAGGAATGGATCAGCGAATTCAGGAGCTTTTTCTGCAGCCCTCAACATAGTCCCTCTCCAGCGTGAGGGGAGGACAGAGAGCCAGCGCTGCGGTGCGGTATGGCTGTGGTATGCACACTCAAAGCACTTCGAACATCCACAGCTAGCACTTGCCCACAACATGAATTTTTTAAAAACGCTCTGCGCTAGTAGCAACAATCTGCAGGAAAAACGATAACGAAGAGCAAAACCCAGGAATCAGTGGAGACTTTACTCTTTCAATATTAGTGGAACCTAGGCGTGTTAGCGGAAAGTGGTCGGTGCCTAAGTGCAGCCAAGCTCACAATGTGCAACGCACGCATTGTTTGCCCTCAGAACGAACGATCCGAAGGTGGCATATTAGAAGGGTGTTTTAGGAGCAGTTAGCCAAATACAAAGCGGGCTACATGGAGCCTGTAATAACGGCTCAGTAGCCTAATGTATAAGCGGCCAGACAACGACAGGGCACGTCATCGCCTCTATTAGCACAGTACTTGACGGTGTTGAGTACGTAAGGGCGGTTGGGGCGTGTATCTGCACCCCTTCGGAGAACCTGTGGCCTTCTGTCTGGCTAGTACCAGATTGGACTGGGCAGATCCATTGTTCAGAGATAACGAAAGCGTACACACCTGAGCCAGAGACGCTTTGAGGGGGGGGGGAGGGGGGGACTAGCGGGCAGGTGGGGGGGTGGGGGAGGGAAGTCAGGCTTGCTTGTGCCGCATATAGTGGAGGAATGCCTTGGCACAGAGGAAACATGCAGAGGGTGGTAAATGGAGTGGCAGGAGCACTAAAGAAACCTAATCAAAGGCTGCTGTGCTAAATCTGTGGGGCCGTTGCAGACACGTGTTTAGAGGCGTATTCCGGTACGGTTTGTGTCTGGGCATGCGTAATTGCGTCCTGTGTTAGGGAGTGCCGCCACGATTCTGCATACTTCCGCTTAACTGTTCAGACGTTCAGGTTTAAATATTTGTTGGATCTGCCGTGTGCTGCAGCTGCAGAGGGCCTCCTTGCACGCATGGGCTTCTGCTGCATGATTCCTACGGGCGCTGCTGTGGCTGCTGCCGCTGCTGCAGCGGCGGCTGCTGCTGCTTCTCTGCCCCGCGCTTGGTGTTTTTTGTGCTTTACTGTTGGTGTTGTGTTGAATATCCGTCTCTTTTCGCGCTGCTCATTCTTCCCTTTGTCCGAGGCTTCCGCTTCTGTGACAGGGGGTGTATTTTCCCCTCTGCCGCTGCTGCTCCTGCCGCTGCGTGCTGCTGCTGCTGCTGCTGCGGCTGCGCGGGAAGGGCCCTCCTTCTCCTCCTCTCACCTCCCTCTCTCTTAGGGAAGACACTTCGCTTCTTTGCCTGTAAGTACACAAACGCTCCTCTGAGCCACAACAGTGCCGGGCTTAGGTCAGGGTGGCGCATCTCGAGGATCTCCTGTGTGGCTCCTTCGCTCACCTGTAGTTGTACAGCAGCAGCAGCCGCCTGCGCCCCTCAGGCACTCATGGTGTCTCTACATTGGATACACATATATATATACATATATACACATATATATAGCTGGCGCTGAGTGTTTGAGGGCGGTCTCTTTCAAGAGCGTTCATCGGCTTGCGGGAGGAGGGCAGTGGCGATCGAACGCTCGGTAGGCGGGAGGGGTGCAGGGAGGAGGGTTGTGTTTAAGGGAGCAGCAGGACGGGGAGCTTGCTGCACCTTCTCGCTATTGCCACACACCCCGAAGTGCTGCACGCGCAGCTCTTTTCGGAGGACGACGGCAGGGTACAGCCAGCCTCATTCGGCTACTCTAGAAGGACGCCTCGTCAAAGTGTGTATCCTTCATGGGGGCGACTTAGCTCCTGCCTGCAGAAGCGTCAGGGGGAACAAGCCGGCTTGAGGCGTTTCGCCTCCGTCCCTTCGCAGGCTCCTACCCTCCCCCCTTCCAGCACGCTTGCCGATCTTGTGTCGTTGTGGCGTTTGTAGGTTTACACTGGCAGCGAGGATGGAACGGCGTGTTGCTGAGCGGAAGGCTAACTTCAAGAAAAATTTTGAAGATCCTAGGAGGAAGCGAGAAGACTTGCAGGTACAACTGGCTAGGCGGGGCACCCTCAGTTTGAATCTCGTTTCTCTCTCTCTCTCTCGCTTCTGTGTTTTCCCTTTCTGCTGTCTCTCTTCCTTCCAGCCTTGCTCGCAATTGGCGCACGCTTTGATCGCATGAGGCATGCACCTCTCTGGCCTGCTAGGCTCTTTGGTTCCGCCATCCGGGATGCATATACTTTCAATGCTCGCCGCAAAACGCCCCTCGCGGCTAAGTATTCATGCGTTTACGCCCTTGCTTTCCGTCCGTCTGTCTCTCTTTTTCCCTGCTTCGCTCTCTCATTGTCGTCTTTCATGAAGGGCCGTGCCAAACGAGGCCTTTTCTGGTACCCGCACGCTGTCCGTACACCTGGAAGGCCGTTCGCCGTTCGTTGTGTTCCCCCACGGAGAACAATCCTCGTGCTTTTCTCCCCTCCTTTATCCCCCTCCGTCTCCCCTGCGTCTTGAGCGATCTCAGGTTCAAATAAGGAAGACGCACAGGGAGCAGAACCTCGCGAAGAAGAGGGCTGAGGCTCTTGGCGAAGCCGAGGCAGCAACGGGAGCAACAGCACCAGGGGATGCTGCCCCCTTCGCAGGAGATAGTGCTATTCCACAGGGTGCTCAGGGGGGGGCAGGGGCCCCAGGGGGCCCCCCCGAGCTCGCTGGAAAAGACTTACAGCAACTTATGGCAGCCTTGGCAAGCGGCAACCCCGATGCTGAACTCCAGGTAATCTCCGGCCTTGCCTGCTGCAGTTTCTTTGCTGCTGCATTTGCTGCTGCTCGCGCTTGACGGGAGCTAACTGTGTGTGTGCATCGCGGTTGTCGCTTCGCGCTGCTGAACTCTCTGTAAAACACTTCTGTCGCTACGCCTTCGTGTGTCTGTCCCTTGAAGGGGGAGGTTCTCATTTTTTCACGCGCCTGTGCTGCCTTGGGGAGGGGCAGTGGCGGATTTGGGCTGTCTCGATCGCGCAGCACATCCATATATATTTATATACACATGCATAAATATGTATATATTTTTTTATGGCCTTGTTTTTTTGCTCCCTCTTTTTCTCCTGCCGTACTGCAGGCGACGCAGTTATTCCGCAGAGCTCTGAGCATCGAGCACAATCCTCCAATCCAGCTTGTCATCGATGCAGGTGCGTTTTCTGGAGTTTTTTTGCTCGCTTTCGTGTTGTTTCTCGGCAGTTCGTAGCAAGCGAATACCCAGCGTTTGCCACCCTAACGCCTTGCCAAGGCGGCTCTTCGCACGTGTTTTTGAAGGCCGCTAGGTCGCTTTGCCCTTTTCTTGACCTTCTTCCTGGTGGAAGCGCATGAGACTCCGTAGAGCCGCAGTTCAGTGCTCCTCATTCCTCCGCTGCACGGGGAGAGAAAGATACAGAGAGGCTTGCTGCTTCGCCATTCCCCCTGTTGCGGAGCGATGGGCCTGTATGGCTATTTTTGCATATATATATATCTGTGTAAAAGCTTCAACGGCATGCGGAGTGCTGGAGCGCACTGTGTTTCCTGGCTGTAGGGGCTGTTCCCCATTTCGTTCGCTTTCTCTCTATGACCGGACGTGAGAATCTGCAATTCGAGGCGGCATGGGCGCTTACAAATATTGCATCAGGCACTCAGGAGCAGACCAAGGTGAGTTTCTTGCGCAAAAAGGCAGCCGCAGCTTCATGCACCCAGAGCTCTGTCTGTCCGAAAGACGACAACGCGCTTTTGAGGCTATAGACTCGAGCGCGAGAGAGCGATGATGAGGATAAGGCGTTCCTTTGGGGAGATTTTTTCTCAGTCCCTTTTCTGCGACTCCCCCCACCGTCTCCCTGTGGTATGACCCCGCCAATTCGTGAGCTGCGTCTTGTCTGTCGCGTGCATCCATGCATGCACGCGTGCATCCATGCATGCGCATCGTGCAGGTAGTAATAGACTGCGGAGCAGTTCCGTTGTTCGTAGAGCTTTTGCGCTCACCTAAGGAGGAGGTGAGGGAGCAGGCGGTGTGGGCGCTCGGCAACATCGCGGGGGATTCTCCGAACTGCAGGAATTTAGTGCTCGATGCAAGTAAGCGGCAGTTCGTACGCTTCGCTGTAGGTGTCTCTTCTGGTGTGGGCTTGAGGGCAGGGAGGGCCTTCCTGCCCTGATCTTTTTGTTGGCTTTTTAAGACTTGCGACTTGTGAGCGCGTTGCCACTGAGGGTTCTTCCGTGCAGACGCCTTGCAGCCTTTGCTGGAGCAGCTCAATACCCCCGACTCGAAGTTGGCCATGCTGCGGAATGCCACGTGGACGCTGTGAGGCTTCAGACTTTAGCTAGGCGCATCTATCAAGGAGGCAGCACTTCCTGGCGGAGGCTTCTGATGGCTGAGGGGTTGTGAACGGTGGCAGGCTGGTGCAAAGAAAAGCCTGTCCTTGGGGGGCATTCTTTTTCCCTTTCTTGCGAATGCGTTCCTACAAGACTTCTGGCAGGCGTAGGAGGAGCTAGCGGCCTTTGTTTTCTTGCGGGGGATGCTGCTGCGTTTTTGCAGCTCCAACTTCTGCAGGGGAAAGCCAGCACCTGCTTTCGACAGGGTTGCCCCTGCACTTCCAACGCTTGCAGCGCTCATTTATTCGGACGATCTCGAAGTTCGTGAGGCCCCTAAATTGGCTTTGCCCTTCGCCTCTGTGTCTGTCTGTTTGGTGGTGCTCAGCGATTCTTGCGCAGATTGTGGCACACGCAAGAATCCGCTTTTTTCGCATTGGCGCATGCAAGAACTCCCTTTTTTCGCATTGTTTGCATCATAAGAGGCTTTGCGGCTGTCCTCTGTGTGTTTTACAAGGTCTTGACGGATGCTTGCTGGGCTCTGTCATATTTATCGGACGGCCCTAACGACCGCATTGAAGCTGTTTTACAGGCGGGTAGGCTGCACGCGGTGACGGCGCTTTCAAGGCTTTTCTCGTCCCTCGGTTTGTCTGATTCGTGCTGCATGCATGCTTTGTGGAGAGGGAGGCGTGGGGTGCGGAGGGGAGTGGGCTGGGGAGGGTGAGGAAGGAAGGTGCCTCTAATCTTGTACTCAGTCGTCACTCTTCTTGTTGCAGTGTTGCTGTTCTGTGGATCGGCGACAGGTGTGTGCGGTCGCTTAGTCGATCTGCTGAATTACCCGTCCACGCTGGTGCAGACACCCGCACTTCGCGCCGTGGGAAATATCGTTACAGGTACTCCAGTAGGTGGCATCGAGGGTTTGTGTGTGTGTGGTTATGTATATATGTGTGTATGTGTGTGTCAGTGTGTGTGTCTGCCTTTTATTCGAGTCTTTTGGCCTCAAAAAAACGCTTCCTGCCTGTTTGCCCGCTTGTGTCTCCCTCTTGGGGGGGAGTCCGTTGGCTGCTGGCGTCCTACGTGGTGCTTCACTAGATTGGGGGGCGTTGGCTTGTAGCCATCCGCTAATCCCCTCCTCGGCTTGCTTGTATTTTTCTCGTTGCTTGCATCTTCTCGCATGGCGCGCAGCGGCGCTGTCGTGCTTTGTCTCCTCTCCCTTCCCCTCTCGCTTTTTATTCCCACCTACACCCCGTGTCTCGTTGTATTAGACGGGGACAGCTCTGCTCCGTGCAACGCAACAAGAGGTATAGGCGGGGACTATCGGGAACGGGGTGGCAGCAGGGGAGAAAAGTGCGTGTTGGACAAGCAGAAAGGCAGGCAGGCATGGGTGCAGCTGCCTGGAAATCACACATTTTGCATGGATTGTGGCGACAGGCGATGATCGACAAACCCAAGTCGTGTTGACGTGCGGTGCCGTTCCCAAACTGCTTGGCCTTTTATCTTCCACAAGGAAGACCGTACAGAAAGAGGCCTGCTGGACTATATCCAACATTACCGCCGGTAGGGTGTCTCGCTATGTATATATATTTATAGTGAGAGAGATAAAGATAGAGGGAGATACAGAGAGGGAGTGAGCAGGCAAGCGTTAGGGCATGCGCAACGCGCCTGTTGTGCAGGCGTGTTGGAAGTCACTGGCTGTTCGCTGCGGTCGTTTAGAGAGGTGCTTCATGTGCCGCTTTAGTGGTGTTTTTCTGGTGCCTGTGAGTGGGGTTTGGCTCTGCATCACGTTTGCGTGTGTATGGAGGGGATGCACGGGCAGGTTGGGGGGGAGTGGGTAGAGGGAGGGCTTTTGCGGCTGCAAGGGCTTCCAAGGAGCTGCACGCGCCTCCACGCAGTGTGGGTCGTTGGGTGGCTGCTCTTGCTTCTGCGCAGGCAATAGAGATCAGATCCAGGAGGTGTTGGACAGCGGCGCTATTCCTGCACTGCTTCATGTCTTGCAGACAGCGGAATTTGACACCAAGAAGGAAGCCGCGTGGGCGATCAGCAACGCAGTCAGCGGGGGTTCAGATGCGCAGGTGCGAAGAAATTGGGAGGCTTTGCTTTTTAGAAGGCGTCACTCTTGCGTGTGTCCTCCCTGGCTTGCCTTCTTGCCTTCTTGCCTTTTGGCCCTGTGACGATCTAGGGGAGGCAGAGATCTAGGATTCCAACACGCCGTCCTCTCTTTTTCCTGCCGCTTCTGCCGCGGCGGCTCCTCTTCTCCCCTTGCGCGCGTTCCTTCCTCCTTCTCCTTGCCATCTGGTGCTGCATCGGCTGTCTTCTCTCGCCTCCTCTTCGTCTCAGGTTGAAGCCTTGGTGCGCCTTGGCTGCGTCCCACCTCTCTGCGAGCTCATCAGCTGCGTGGACAGCAAGATCGTCATGGTTGCCTTGGAGGCGCTGCACGCGATCTTGCGGACGGGGAAAAAGCTGAAAGAAACCGAAGGCTTGCTATCCAATCCTTTCGCAGACCTCATTGAGCAGGCCGATGGAACGGCGGCCTTAGAGAAGCTCCAAGACAGCAACAACGAAGCGATCTTCAAGAAGGTATTGAGTGCTTGACTTGTCTTTGTGGAGCGCCATCGTAGGGGTGTCTTCAAGTACTTTTGGTGTTCTTGAGTGGGCAGCTGCGCTGTGGCAGCCGCCACTGTCATCTGCCCCCCCCCCCCGCTCGTCTACCAGGACCGCCCTCGTGAACGCCTCTACCAGCCGCTTTGTTTCGTTCACCTGTGCATGTGTATGTGTGTGGATGTGCAGGTCTACTCAATTATCTCAACTTACTTTCCGTATGAAGAGGAAGAGGAGGGGGTGTCTACAGATATGGGGGTCCCTGGGGGACTTGGTGATGGTTCCGGCTTTGGAGCCGAGGCTCCTCAAGGAGGCTTCAAGTTCGGTTAGTTTCCCGCCGCGTTCACTGTGCATCTGACTGTCTACTTCCCCGCTTTCTTAGCTGTAAAGGCCAGATCCGTTGCCTCCAGTGGGGCCCCACAACGCGGCACTGGCACGGTGATGCGAGCCTGCGGACACCCCCTCGTCAGTCGGGGTATTTGGCTGTTCCTGGTACGACCCCTTCCGCAACAGCAGCAGCGGCAACTCAACCAGCGCCATAATAATAGTACAGTAAGCCGCTAGCACTGCAAACTGCGTCGGCGCACCCATGGGTTGCTGCCCTTTTGGCCGCCGCGGGAAGCGTAGGGGCCCCCAATGAGGGGCCCTTTCGGGGGCCCCCCCTTCCTGTGGTACGCATCTGCTTAGCAAAAAATGAGGACAGGGAAACGAGGCGACATTCTTTCTTCTCACCGCCTCCCCTGCGATGGCACTTCCCACTTGGCACCAGGGAGCCTTGGTGGCAGCCGCTGCATCAGCTGCTACGTCCACCAGCGCAACGGAGAGAAGAAAAAGCAGAACGCTCTGAAGGGAGAGCAGCACATTTGCTGCAGCACGTCAATCTATTCGAAAAACCAAAGGGTGTAGGGTCTGCTTGTAGGCCTCTCGTCGCAGATTGCAGGGGGGAAAGTGCACCCCTCAGCGGCCCCCTCTTCTTCAGCACGTTTTAGTGAGAGGGCGTGCAGTGAGCCTCTAAAAACTACGAAGGGGCCCGTTCTAGGCTAGCGCTAGTTTTCGCTGCACATTACTTCGGTGTCAGCCCAGCATGCTGTATGCGTACACATTAAACGATCGACATGAGGGGCCCCTGGCGTCCCAAGTGGACTCAAAAGGGTAGCAAATGCCCCTAAAATGTAATGAGGGCCCCTCGCCATGCGAACCGCATGGAGCCTAAGGTCCCTGGTGTATCAGTAGGGAGGCTCCTTAGGCAGAGGCACCACGGGGTCCCCAGGTGCGTTGGCAACCCATCTGGGAGTTGAAGTGTGGCTGGGCCCTAAGGGAGGAACACCTCCCCAGTTTTGGGGTTCATGGGGGCCCCCGGCTTGTTGGAGCCGCCAAGGCTCCGGCATCTGCTGGGGCTGCTGTACCCAGTCAGTGTCTGGTATGGGTGTGTCAGCGCTTGACCACTGCGGACGATGCTGGGTGCTCTGGCCGAATTCAGGAGTCCCTTGGTAAGAGTTTTGATCTCCAAGGGTAGGGCTTCGAAGCCCTTGGCTCGGGTTGGGAATACCCCCCTTGCTAACGAGCGAAAGAATTTGGGCGACTCTCTGGAGGGCTGTGGCATTGGGGTCCGCAAGCTTCTCGAGGATGCCCGTAAGCTCCTGCCCAGTTCTCACGAATGCCTTGATATAGCCCCAGTTATGCTGAGTTTCTGCAATAATATCGGTTGCGGCTGCGCCGTCGGAGTCCCAGGCGGCGAATCCCTGCACTGTATGAAGTCCGTCTTCATTCGGGTGTATGGACACTTCACATTGGCACACGGCGGCTGCAGAATAACCGGGCAGAGGCAGCACTGCAGTGTACACATTTACAAGCCCACCGACGGTGCTGTTGCCACTAGTCGTACTACCGTCGCTGCTTCCTTTGTCGGCCGTATTCCCGCCTGTTTCCTTGGTGGTTGCCAGGATATTGCAGGGCGAGTCTATGTAGGCTGCAGAGGCGCAGAGCTGATTTCGTCTAGAGAAAAAGGAGGCCTTGCATTCTGCTCTGTTGCTGCTATTAAGATACAGTGGGTGTTCTTGCCAACCAGCTGCAGCCATGAGCGGCACACAGCAGGTCATCCCTTGCTGCGCACAACTGGTAGTGGGGGGCCCCGCTTCCTCTGGTGGGGGCCCCTCAGAGACAACCCCTAGAGAGACGAGGGCTCCTCCTCGCAGTAGTTTGTTGTACCCCTGGAGCAGGCGGTGCACTTGAAGCTTTGTTAAAGCCCCCTCCGCGATCTCTAGGATGGTGCCGGCCGCAGCAAAACATGCATGCGAGACATTTACAAACTCTTGAAGGTACTTCATCCATTCTTTAAGCGGGTCTCCTAAGCGAGGCAGAATGGGTAGCCCAAGAAAATCATTCTGCACTGCCTGCTCCTCGTCTTCGTCTCCTTCTTCCTCGTCATCTCCCGCTGCTTCTGAAGAATCTGGCTTATCTGCTAGGGCCATTGCGGAAAGGAGGGAACTCAGTACTGTCTGAGCTGCCTCCTCTTCCGCCGTAAGCAGTCCAGCAGATGCTTCTTTTCCCTCACCCAAGCCCCTATCCCCTTGACTCTTATGGCTCTTTCTGCGCTTTGTTTCAGGAGGCTTAACCAGGATCCTGTGAGGAGCGAAAATTGAGGTCATCCTGTAGTCGTCCTCTGCAACATGCTTCTTCTTCTGAGGTATCACGAGATGCAACAACTGCAAACCCCCTCCACCCATGTGCTCCTGCAGTTGTTGCTGCAGCGCGGCAGCCAGCTGCAAAGCCTTCTCTATCTCCGCAAAAAACTCGACAACCTGCAGTGCAGCTGCAGCGGCAGACTGTACGCTGTTGGGGCCACTCCCTGCGTTGTAAAGGATCGGATCGCGAGGGTTTGCCGTAGGCTCAGTGGAGGGAGAAGCCCCTGGAAGCGGCAGGAAGATCCGCGCGAGATCCTCCAAGGCTACGAAGAAGTCAGGGGCCCTTAAGATGACCTCCACAAGGGCCCCCCCAAACTCTAAAGCCTGGGCGAGGGCCTTGCTGGTCTGTTGCAGCGGGTCTGGAAGGCTGGTCGTAGTAGTGGTGGTGGTGCTGCTGCTTGAGCTTCTGCTGTTCTGGAGAGATGCTAAGAGAGAAAACAAGTCATTGGCACCGGAGACGCTGGCAGTGCCGCTGCTCTTATTTTTGCTGCTGCTGCTGCTCTTATTTTTGCTGCTGATCCTACCTTTGCCCTTACCTTTGGTAGTGAGTTGGCCACTTCTACTCTGGCGGCTGTTGCCGCTGCCTTTCTTTTTCCTGCCTGCCACGGTAGTATTGAGTTTTTGCAGCTTCTCCAGCACTTCCCGCGTTCCTTCGTCCAGACCGTCGCCTTCAGCGTCTTCCTGCTGCATCTTTGACGGATTACTGCGGGGCTGAAGCACCCTCTCCGGCTGCTTGAAACGCTGCGGAGGAGCCATGTAAGGGACAGCGCCATGTTGCTGGAAAGGCGAGGCCCCCCCTGCGAAATACGGCGAACCTGCAGAGGCGTCTGCTGGACCCCATGTAGGAGTAGGAAGGAGCGGCAGCCATGGGACAGACATGCTTTCCTGCGGTGGGTGCTGATCCGGCTGCGGCCATACCCAGTTTTCCACACCTTGAAGCCTACGCCTAGGAGAGGCATGAATCAGAGGCCACAGAGATTGCGCCTCTAGCTGCTGTTGCAGCAAACGAAGCTGCTGCAGCTGCAGGGAACCATACTGTGGCTGTTGCTGTTTTTCATGCTTTTCTGAGGAGGTGAGAGGACTGCTGCTCCCAAGCCGTCGGCGGGGAGCCTGGAAAACCAAGTCCAAAAATGTCCGTTCCTTTCCGGGTTTCTGGAGCAACATCCCTTCTAGGTTACGCTGTTGCAGCAGCAGGAGCTCTTCTTGATGTTGCAGCTGCCTCTCTAGTTGTTCTAGTATATCCAGCCGCCGCAAACCTTCCAGTGGTCCGTTGACTCCTACTGCGGTTGTTGCATCGGCGACCGGCAGCAGGTGCTGCAACAAGACCAAGGCTAGCAGCATTGTCGCTCCCTGCATGGTAATGGCTGAAAGAAGCCACTGGGGTATTTGGGGAGGCCTGCCGCACTCGCTTCAACCCTAACCTTGAAACCTAAACCCTTAACCCTTGACAGAAAAGGAATGAAGCAAAGACACTGCAGAGGGCTATAAACCCTAAAACCAAATTTTGTAAATGCTACAGAGAAGAAGAAAGCAATAGAAGGCTCAGGGGCGCCAGTTTACACTCCTCAGGGAGACGCCCTCTGCCTAGCCAGGGCAGCTCAGCCTGTCTGCTGTCTCACTGGGCCCTAAGCCCAAATCGCTAGCCTCTACACCCAAACTCAAAAACAACCCACTCAAAAAAGCCCTCAACATGGAGTCTAAGGGCAGAGGGGAAGATACCGAGGATTAGGGGAAGCGAGGCCGGTGACCCCTGGGGTCACTTACTACGACCCTATGCTCTAAGCCCAAAACCTTCCGCGAGAACTCTAGAAACCAGACTCAAAAGAAATATTGCTTTCCATTCAGCGTGGAAGGGAGAGCCTAGTAAGCCCTAGACATGATTACTATCATGCTGTCCAGCATGTCCCCTGTGGCTATGCATACAGGCCCTTGGATACAGTCTTTGAAGAGTGCGCGGTGGGTAAGACCCAGACCTCTCCAACTGCCCATTGGATGGCTGTGTCTTTAGGATTCCCCTTTAGCGCACTCGACATACTAAACCGCCAGACGGAACGGCGGAGTGTGTAGATGTCCGCGCAGGCAGTGGGCAGTTCTGCACACTAAAATCAGGTTTCCCGCGACTATCTCTGCGCGCAGCCTGATTATTTCTCGTTTGGTTCTCCGAATGCGCGTACTTGTAGCTGTTTCCGCCTTCTCAGGATACATGACACAGGCGGAGCTGTGGGGCGCCCGCGCCAGCTCATGTTTGCCTCGTTGCAAAAGTGCTGCTCGTGCGACCCCACTCATCAACCTCTCCTGTGGTTTGCACCTCGAATCTGGTGTGCGTAGTTATCGCATCGGGGAAGCAGTATCCATTTTCTTTCGATGTACTGCAACAAATGCTCTCGCTCTTTGTCGGGGGGTATGAGAGCAAGCCTGCAGGGAGGGAACCCTGGGCAGGGACGGTGGGCAGGCGGGGGGAACCAGCACGGCCACACACATAGATCTATCGGATACCAGATTTTAATTGTTCGAATAGGGCAGACAGCCTATCACCTTAGGGGTAGCCCCTTTCAAGAACACGAAAGCAGTGACCGTACTACCACCAGCTGCTGAGCACGAGAGGCGATGGACGGGATCTGATCAAATGATGTACGTTGCCTGCAGAGGATCACAGGGCAAGAAAATACGACGTCCAGTGGACCCTTCCTTCTAGTGTGCATAAAAAAAGACGCCCTGCGCTCTCTAATCTGCTATTCCTTCATCTCCCAAGTCCTCCACAGAGGGGCTTTCATTAGCCAAAAGCTCGAGCCTCAAGCTTTATCGTTATATTCCTCTCGTATCTCCAACGTTGCGCTATCAGCTACAACTTAGAATATCTGCTTACCCACTTGCTGCTGTGCCCTTCTGCCCTCCTTCCGCCCTCACCCCTCAGCTCATTCCTATGGTCCGTGCATCGAAGGTGCTTCGTATGCTACAACGCACACGTTGGCTGGCGTTCCTAAGGACCGCTGCGCTCGTACGCTGTAAGATCCGCCTACTTCTCGTGCTCTGCTAATGTGGTAAGCCTTCTCGCGTATGCGTTGCAAAGACGACGAACCCTCCAATGCAAAAGCAAAAACCAGCATGAACGAGGTTGGCTGCTGCAGCCCCTCCGTATACCTGTGGCTTCTGCTGGTGCTGCTCGCTTGTTGAAATGTAGGAAAACAGCTGCCCCAAGCAGATGATGCTGATGCCTATGCCTCAAAGCTCTGATCAATGAGCTCTGCAAGGGTGCTTGCGTGGAGCGCAGCATCACTGCTGCCGCTTGCCTTTGCGCCTGCTGCTGTCTGTACTGCTCCTGGGAAGAGAACTGGCCCTGCTCCACCTGGACCTGCTGCTGCCGCTGCTGCTGCCGCTGCTGCTGCTGCAAGCGAATCCAGCCTGTCTACATCCACTGCCAAGTCTTCTGCTCCTGTCGGCGTGCAGCAAGCCGTTGTTTCGGATGCGGCTGCTGCTTCTACGGTGAGTGCTGCTCTTTGTGCGCCTGCCTCTGCTATATCTCCCGGAGGCTCCCGCTGCCTGCGCTGTTGGTGCTGCTGCCAGCGTCCTTCCTGTTGCTGCTGCTGCTGTACTTCTTCGGCAATTTCCGAGAAACCTAGCAGTTTCAGAGCCTCAAGCACATCGGTAGCTCCAACCGTTTGCCTCTTTCCCGCTGCTGCTGCCGCCGCTGCAGCATCTGCAAGATACACTAAGAAGAGAGAGGCACACCGTCCCAAGGCTGAAACAGCACGCTTCTCGCCTCTGACAGCATATTGCTTGAGCTGCTCCTTCACGACACGCTGCACGTGCGCTGCGGGCAGTTGCAGCAACGCGCTGCTGCTGCTGCTGTTGCCGTCGCCTTGTACTGCGCTCGTTCCATCCAGAGGTGTATGCGCTGCAGCCGCAACAGGAGGCACTGTGTCATCCACGTCTACGTCCATGTCTGCGGCTAGCGGTGCTGTGCGGTGGCTGCTGCTGCTGTTGTAGCGGCTTGGAGCAGAAGAGGGAAAGGGAGGCACTTCTTATGGCTAGTGGTATTGAAACCCCATCCGTGTTGAATCAATCGATGGCAATGCGAGTGGTGCTGCTGCTGTTTCTGGCGTTGGGGACTGGCCAGATATCAGGTGATGGTGGTGGTTGTTGTTGTGGTGGTGCTGGCGCTTCCTCGGATGCAGCTCTTCCCGCGGCTGTTGGTGGTGCTGTCGCTGTACTTGATAGGCCTGTGCATATATCCGCTGAAGACTTGCTGTGATATGCTGGGGGCCCTCGGGTGTACGTCCAGGTGAGAGGTCGGCCCGCGAGATGGTTGGTGTGTTTACGCAGCCGGAGGGGGTGGGCGGGAGGGCCGCGCGAAAGGGGCTTTGCACGTAAAGTGCCTTGTCAGCTGCGTTTTCAAGACAGTGCAACCACAAAGATGATTCGCACAGAAATCCTTTGCTTTATTTTAATGATCAAAAGATTGGGGAGCAGGTGTCTCGAAGGGCTCCTGGCGTGTTGAGTGTGGGAGGGAGGCGCTGCCACCAACGGCTGCGCCACTCACGGTCTGGGTGGCTAGGGGGGGCCCCCGTGCGCAAGTCTGCAGGAGTGCAGAATGCGGACTTAAACGTTGCCTCTGAGCTTCTCTTCTATTTGCATTGCTAAGGCGTGTCGAAAGAGAGGGCAAGAGGGTTACCAGACACGCAAGAGGATGGAGTGGGGGCTTAGGCCCTTGAAGCGAGGACTCCTTCTGCTCTGCTTCTGCGGCGGCTTACTTTCTTCGTCTTGCTACTTGACCCTTCCCTGGGCGCTGCTGCTGCTGCTCCTGCCGCCGCTTCTGATTGCGCTGCTTCTCCCTTTTCCCAGTGATGCGATAGCCTTCCTACACCCAGCAGCAGCCGCGGGGGGGGGAGGCGAGAGAGTCCTCTGGGCGCTTGTGGCTCACCTGCTGCGGCAGCAGCAGACGCAGCAGCAAACAGCAGCTGCAGATGCCTCCCGCGGCACACGCCAGCAGGACCGTCGCGCAAGTCGCATGCAAGGTCTGTGCAGTGCCAATGTGAGCGCTGCAGCCGAGGGCCCCGCCGTTGTGGTGTACGTACAGAGCGACTGTCCGTGGTTGGCGGGGGCCCCTCCTGCATTCCTGCCGCCTGTGGGGGCCCCGCTCCTGCTGCATCTGCTGCTGCAGCTGCTGTGGCCGGGGGGCCCCCAGGGAAGGTGGGGCCCCATGATTCAGCAGCGGATGCTGCTGCACCGCTGTTTCCCGGTGTACAAGGGGGGCCCCTGCAGCAGGAGCGTCGCCGCCTCTTTCGGGATCGATCTGGACGGGCTGCTCCCGGAGGCGAACACCAGCAACAGCAGTCCTCTGCTGCTAGTGCCACTAGCTCTCAGTCGTCTTTCCAAGCCGACTTCTTGCCGTTGGGGTCTTGCCTTGCTCCTCCAAGCTCTGGGAGGCGTAGCTGTCTCTACAGAGGCGCTCGCGCGGTTGCTGCCAGCTCGCGTAGTGGACACTGCGGGCATCCCTGGAATGCATCTGCTGCTGCTGCTGCTGCAGCCGCTGCAGCGGCTGCAGCAACACCTGCGGCGGGGTGTATGCGGAGCGCTGCACGAGGACACTTCGGCTCCTTCGGACCGACCGCACATGCAGCAGCAGCACGACGTCGTCGAGGGGATAACGGCGCTCTCGGTGTACATCCACTATCCGTTCGTGCAGTCTCCCGCTGCTGTTTCTGCAGCCGCTGCGGGTGCGGAGTCAAAGTTGGAGTGGCTAGCCCCACAGGCGGGGGAGACGCAACGTTCGCAGCGAGCCATTCGACTGAATGGCGTCTCTCAGTTGCGCTATGTGTATCGGTGGGTATTGTGGAAGGTCTATGGCTGCCTGGTCAAGGCACTGGCGCAGCAGCAGCAGCAGCACTTTCGCCTCAATTCTCTGTGTTGCAACAGCAAATGGACTCAGGAGAGGCTGAGAGACGCCATCGCCGATGAGCACGTAGCCGCAGATGCGGATCCCTACTCAACTAACAGCACCTGCACCAGCCCTTCGCGGCTTTTCCCCGTATGCTACCCCCCGTGTTTGTCAACTAGCCAACCGCAGCAGGCAGCGCAAGACTCTCAGGATGACTGGACGCTGCTGCCAGAGGCCTCACCAGCCCTCCCCTACTACCACCAGCAGCAGGAGCGACAACAACCGAGGAAGCGCAGGATCGTCTCTTTAGGTCAGTTCCGTGCAGAAAAGAGGCACGAGGACCAACTCAATATCTTCAAGTGCATGTGCACGGCCTTCCCACTCCTCGTTCAGCGAGACGCCCATTTGGTGATTTGTGGATCCGTGAAGGGGCAGGATCACCTCCGCCTTTTGGAGCGTTGCGTGGCGTTAGTGCGTAACAGTTCCTCAGAAAACACCCCCGACGGCGCGGCAGGCATCGAAGATGCATCGCAATCGGCAGCATCAGCAACAGCAGCAATCCTACGAGGAGACACGGTGCTATGGCCTGGACGCAAAGGCGCAGCTTTCTTGGCTCTTCCTTGCGCGGCAGCGGCAACGCCAGTCGCAGCCGCATCTGTAGAAGAACGCATCTCAAGTGTGCTGTGTGAAGGAAGCCCTCCAGATGATTGGAGCTGCAGGGTCTTCTTCCTAATTAATCCTGCCAGCGCATTGGTGCAACAAATCCTCTGGACGTCGCAGGTTCGTGATCGGGTGTATCTATGCATGTGCCTTTATTCGTAGGGCCCTCTTCTGCATTTGAGAACAGACGCTTTCTCTTTTCCACCGTCTCACGGTGCCCACAAAACGCGGCTGTTAGCCTCAAAGGGCCTATTGCCGCCTTCCCCTTTAGCAGCCTTTTTTTGTCTACCTCGGAAGACATGCATGATGCGTGGGCAGGGAAGGGCTGCACGGAATGTGCGTAGCGGGCATCAAGGCTAGTGGCATGTCGCAGGTTGTTGTTGTCTGCCGATTCTGCCGCTGCTTCTGCTTCAGGTCGGCCTCCACTGCATGCGAGAGGAGCACTTTGGCATCGCCGTGGTGGAGCAGCTCGCAGCCGGCTGCTGTTGCGTTGCGCATTGCAGCGGGGGCCCTGCCTCGGATATCCTTGTAGCTCGCAGTGGTGGTGGGGTTGCTGCAGCGCAGCAGCAGCAGCAAGAGCCAGAGCAGCAGGAGCAGGACCCCTTACAGCTACAACTGGAAGAAGCAAGGCGACTGGCGCTGCAGTGCGAGGGAGAATTTGGATTTCTGTGTAAAGACACGAAAGCCTTCGCTGCGTGCTGCTGCCTCGCCCTGCTGCTGCCTTGCCCGGCAGAAAAAGCCGAAAGCCTTTCTCCTTCAGCAGCACGAGGAGCAGGCTGTGCGGCGGAGGTGGTACTGCCTGTTCTCAGAAGAGCTGCACAGTCTCTCGCGCGCTTTCACACAGATTATTATGCAGCTGCGGCAATTGCACAGGCGTTGCAGCTTCGCCTGCGGAGCCCGCCCTCTTAGGGCAACTGCCACTGGACGCACAGCAACAGCCACAGTGCCAGTTTTTGCCACACTAGCAGCCGCCACTGCGGTGAAATGTGAAGCTAGCTCACCAACTGCTGCCTGCTGCTGCGCTTTTTTTCTCCTTCTGAAGCGTCTGCTTGCTTCTTTTGACGTTTTTATAGAAAACCTATTTTATTGAGTGGAGCCCGTTGCGCGACAGCTTCACGCCTAGGCGCAATACAACATGCGTGGGCTGCTACGTCCGTTGCCTGTAATCTTTTTGCAGCGGCGGTCGCAGCGCGTGCCGCGTTTCGTCAGTGCATACAGACACGAACACAGAAGGGTTACCCCGAGCAGCACTGTGCATGTCACGAACAGAAAAACAAGCGAGCGACACTCGGCGCCGCTGCAGCCACCCCCAGTGCTTCTCGTCGTCCCCCTTGTTGTACCCAGGAGACACCTGCGTGGAATGGCTGCCTGCTGAAAACCTTTTCAAAGCGCGCTCCGCGCGCGTGCAAGCAGCGCCAGTGCCCTCGCTATGCACTGCAAAAGCGTGTCTACAACCACGGGCCCGCATTAGTGAGGGGAGCGCCGCCGTGGGTGCACGCGAATAGATAGAAAGGCAGCAAGAAGCTCGTCGAGACACCAAACGAGGCACGCTACGACAAGGGTGGCCTTTCAGTATAAGCGAGGGCTAACCCCGGGCAGAAAGCCTGCCTGCTGAGGGAGGTCATGACTGCTCTGTTGGAGCAGCGGCGCTTGCCGTAAGCTGCGCGCTTCTCTGCTGCCAAGGCTAGGGATAAGGGGTTTACGGGGAGGCACAAGCAGCGGCGCAAATGTGACCCCAGTGTCGAAGGCTGCAACACAGCATGGCCAGCACAAGTGCAGCACTTCCAGCATAGCCCTCTGGATTCAGCGCAGTCGGGATCGAGAACCCTCACGCGCGAACGACAGGCGAGCCGCCAAAGGGCACCGCAAAAAAGGCAATCAGGCGAGCAGAGGCAGACGCTGCAGAGGGGGACAGCCAGAAGAGTGCAACACGCTGAATTTGTAGCAATCGCTTTCGGTGGACCGAAAGGAATCTCACCCTCAGGCTCACACCGCAATGCTTGCAGGTAACTCGAGAAAGTTGCGACAGGAGGGTGCAGCAGTCTGCATGGCGCACAAGCTCCTCCCGCCTGTCGTGCCTCCTCTCCTGCTGCGGCATCGTTTGGCGTTGTTGCTGCTGCTCCTCCTCCTCTTTCGGCTGCAGATGCGCCTGGACCTCTTGGCTGGGTATGAAGGAAGCCTCCGCAGGAAGCGTCCGAGGCGTCGACGCTGCAGCAGATTGCAAGCACGCAGCCTCGAAGGCGCCCTGTGCCTCTGCAGCTGATGCCAGAAAGCCGCTGCTACTGCTGTCGCTGGTCGAGAGTGCAACGGCTGACGCTTGATCCATCAGCGCTGTCGAGTCTTCTGGAGCTGCTTCTGCTGCAGCAGCCCTCACGACCCCTGCCGACGCCGCAGCGTCTGCGTGGAGGGGCTTAAAACTGCTGCTAGTGCTTGCAAGACTCCTCTCTCTTCGCACTCCCGCGCAACTGCTGCGACTTCCGAGTTGCTGCTGCTGCTGAGGCAGCGTGCTGCCACCACAGTTGCAGCAGAGCGCCTGCTGAGCCGTGTTGATGCTCACTGCCATCTCCTTGCTGCGCACGCCTCTCATGGCCAGCGAAAGCGATACTTCGTGACTGAAGAAACGCATGCATTCCATGCAGAGCTGCTGCATACGGTGGAGACGCCATGATTGCACAAGGGTGAGACGAACAGCTCTGGGAAGAACCTGTGCCAGCGATGCAACGGCAGTCGCAACAGCAAACAAAAAGCGCGGGCAAGATCCCCGCCGCACGCCACGCCACGCCACGCCACGCCACGCCACGCCATCACACACTGCTCGCTTTTCAGCCAGTCTACTTCTCAAGTGGTGACATTTTCAAAGTACCTAGTGCGGAGATTGGAAAGCTCCTTGTGATGCGCCTCTTCCTGCATCTTGATCTGCTGCTCCAAAAGGGCAAGGCGCTCGAACAGCCACACGGAGACAGAAGATCCGCCACGCTGCCTCTGCAGCTCCCCAGAGCCCACCCCTGCATGCGCTGCCTCTGTCTTTTTTTTTGGTCGAGAGTCTCCTGCCGCTGCGGCTTCTTCTGCCGCTTCTACTGCTCCTGATCCAAAGGAGGCGCACCGTGAGGCAGCTGGATCCACCACGGAGGGACCCAAAACACTCAAACGCGAAGGTGGCAGCTGAACTTGCGCCTCGTGATGAGGATGAGGCTGCAAATCCGCAGTATTAGACGCATCTGAAAACGTCAGCGTCGTACCGGGGATTACTGCTGCTGCAGCTGCTGGCGAGGGGACCTCTGTTGGGGCAGCTGTATCTTCAGCAGCAGCAGCTTCTGCTGCATCATTCAGCAGACGCAGGAGGCGGTCTGCTGCAGCTTGCAAAGGATTTAGGGTAGCAGTTCGCGCAGAAGCGGCCGCCGCAGCAGGCGGAGAATACACATCCTCCATGCTGGGAAAAGGAACCCTAGGGGAAGGGTCCACGGCGTCTGCTGTAGCTGCTATAGCTCTAGCACTTGCATCTGCTATAGCTCTAGCACTTGCATCTGCTGTAGATCTAGCACTTGCATCTGCTGTAGCTCTAGCACTTGCATCTGCTGTAGATCTAGCACTTGCATCTGCTGTAGCTCTAGCACTTGCATCTGCTGTAGATCTAGCACTTGCAACTGCTATGGCTCCAGCACTTGCATCCGCTGTAGCTGCTGCAGATAGGGGCCCCTCTGCAGCGCCTGCTGCTGCACCACCAGATGGAGTTGTTGCTGCAAATACCTCTGGTTCCGGTGCTGAGTGTGACACTGAAGTGCCCGTTTCTGACAGGCTGAAGCCCAGCAGGAGCCGATGCGTCACCTCTGTGGAGTTTCTCATTGCAGCTCTAAGGCCCTAAGATGCCGCCGCTGCTGCTGCGCTCGTTGCCGCTCTTATTGCCGCTCTTGTTGCTGCTGCGTGGTTTCCTCATGGAGTACTAGTCTTTTGGAGCATCAGCAGCAGGTGTTGGCGGTGTTGCAATCCCCTGCGGCTGAGGTCTTCCTCTGACACCCCCGAAGGCCATACACGGTGCGCGCAAGGCGTGCATATTAATGCCGTGTGCCGCTACCCTCTTCCACTCTCAAAAAGAAAGTGCAGATAAATAACTCGAAGGGAGTCACGAAAACACGGGATGGTGGCCCCAAAGTCACGAGACACTGAATGCTCACTGGCAGCAGCTGTTGGCGGCGCTACCATGGTAGTGGCGTGCTCTTGATCGTCAGCCCTCTTCTGCCCTCCTAAAAGGGATGGTCGGCAGTATCGAGAGGATCAGAATCCAGCAAGACCACGATGGGATGTTCTTGCCTCATGGTAAAAGGCAAAAACCTTGCACCCTGCAACCCCAGCAGCAGCAACGACGGCGGCGGCTGCAGCAATGGTTTATCCACCGCCGAAGGCTCTTTGATCGGGGGCCCCTGCTATTGTCATTTTCCTCCTTCCGTTGCTAGCTGTGATATCTCTTTCCCATCGCTGTCTTTTCGTCGAGGGGACGATTTAAAAGTCCTTTAGGGCCCTTGTACCTCTCCCTCTTTCCCACAAGAGCTGCTCTTGCTGCCTTCACCGGTTCCACAACCTGCGTCTCGGCGGCTGTTTAATCTCACTACCCACTAGCCGTCCCCTTAGCAAGTACACTTCGATTAAGTGGCAAATTATTCTCTCTCGGGGAGTGGCCGGTAGCAGCCTGAGTGGGCTGCTATGCTGTAGCGAGCGCAGCAGCCGCAGCGGCAGCTCGAGCTGCGGCACCTGCTGCACAGCAGTTTCCCAAGACTGCGCCAACGCTCTATGCATGTTAGCGGGAGGCGCATACACATAGCCTTTACGAAGGCGGTGTGGGAGCACTAGCAGCTACCTTTGTTTAGATGCACTGCTGCTGCTGGTTCCCTTGTTGAACTATAGCAAGCCAGCAACAGGGATCTCGCTGAGCGTTCAATTGAAGACAGCATGGTTTCTGTTGCCCCCTCCAGCCAAGATGCCTTCACACAGTCCACAAATGAACCTCTGCAGCAACAGCTGCTGGAGGGGCCCCCTCTGCAACGCAGCAGCAGCAGCAGCGAGAGGCTTTTCTTTAGGGCACTGATGATAGTGAAGATTGCACTCGGTGTTTTCGTGGGGATTATAGTTCTCCTCGCACTCACACACATCGACGCGACGGCCAGCATCGTGAAAGAGCTCATAGCCAGAGTAAGCAGCTGTTTGGCCAGCCATCCCCAAATCTGCATCTTGCCAGTGCTGCTTTAAGTTTGTTGCATGCGCATTCGCCACAGCCGAAAGAGACTTACAGTCATGTAAGAGGGCACACCTGCTTTGACCTCTTGCTGAGCTTTATAATTCTCTAGCAACCATACAAGCGGCAGCCTCATCGAAACGAAATGGAGCTTCAGCGGATTTCGCAAGGAGGTTCTGCATCTTTACGGGTAGAGCAGTGGTGTCAAAGCCATCCATGAGCGTTATGCAGCCTGCGCCGCATGGCTCGCTCTTTCGATTCAATTTTTCGGAGCTCCTAGACTTTCTTATGTACTGCAGGTCCAGGATCTGGGTGGCTTGGCTCCTTTGGCATACATAGGCTTGTATGTTGTGTTTATTGTATGCTTCATGCCTGCGGAGTTTATGGTGAGGCCAGTCTCCGTCCGTGCAAGCACTTCTGTCCCTGTTCCCTGACCTTTTGCGTGTCAACCTCCCTGCTTCCTGTATTCAAATTACCGCGATGCATGCAAAAGCATCAGGTATGGGGCTTGCGGCGTTGGCGCTGAGGCTTCCAGGGTGTGCACTGCGTTCATACATCTGCTGTGCAGCACCTGGTTGCTGGATTCATTTTTTCTCGCATATATGGAGAAAGTCGTAAGCCTGAGCTTTCTCTCCTAGACCCCTCCCTGTGGAGATCTTGCAGTTTGCACTCGCGGTGCGCTGCAGTCATACTCAGTCATGTTGCTGTAGCGGCTGAGCTCTTAGGTTGTAGCATGTGGGAGCTTTTTATCGGAGTACCTACACGAAGTGTGACCCTTTGACCGCTTTTTGAGCGTTTCTGCTCTTGCGCTGCTGCAGTGGGAATAGTGATGGCCTTCTTCTGCTCCCTTGGCGGAGCTGTACTGTCTGGTCTCTGCTGCTTCATGATAAGCCGCCATCTTCTCTACGATTCGCTCCATTCGTGGATGGGAGCGAGCACGCTCTTCAGGGCTTTCGACTCCGCAGTAGAAGAGGGCGGCCTTACCTTTGTCGCCCTTATAAGGCTCTCCCCGATTCTCCCATATTCGGTAATTCAGAGGCGATTAAAAAGAGATGTGCTTCGTCTTGGTGTGCCCCTCTACTCTTCCTCTTCGTAGGCCATTGGTCTTCCTCTACGCATATGCGGGCTTTGGTTGAACGCCTTTTGCAGTTAACGAGTTATCTGTTCGGAGTCACCGCACTGAAGACTTCTCACCTCGTGCTTGGCACCTTCTCTGGAACGCCTCGTAGGCAGGGCAGATGGGCTTCTCACGGGCAGAAGCCGAATGACGTCACATCTCTTTCTCCTGCTGCAGAATAGCTCAAAACGCACCAAAGCGAGAGGGAAAAGGGTCCACCGAATGATGCATTCTGGATCCAATTTATGCTGGGGAGCCAAAGGTTGCATCTGCACGCTTTGAGTTTTGCGGCCTGGAGTTTTTGGTTTTTAAGGGTTCTTAGCAGGCGTTGGCTTCTGTGGCGTGCTGTGTGTCTCCCCATGTGTGGCGCGCTGCAGTTATTCTAGCCTTCAACTTCATTGGTTCTGCACTTAGTGATCTGGAAGATCTTGACATTCGTACGTTCACGGGGGAACGAGAAATTCCCAGGATAAGGGTATTGGGGATGGGTGCCTAAGGTATAGCGTGTAATCTGCTCTGGATCTACAGGCGGCTTCTCATGGACGTGGCAGAGACTGAGTCTCGTAGCCCTTGGAGTGATGATGGCCGGAGTACGCTTTCATGCCCCTTATTTCTCCGTGTTCCTCCCCTGTATTTGTTACCCCAATTTTTCTGCTTCCCGTTGCGTTGCTTCATGGGCGAACGGCATTACTTGCCATTTCATTTTTGAGTCATGGTGCTCTTTTTGCTTTGTACTCCTGATGAACAGAAAGTACTCTTATCTATTCTGTTGACTCCATTCAGGTCTCTACGGCATACATTACTATCTTAACGCGGCGCAAACTCGATGCCGCTTACGCGGCCGCTATTCGGGAGCGAAGCCAGAGGTCCCAACGGCTGCTGGCAAACGACCCCGGAAGTTTTGCATGATAACGCCGCTAGAGCACGTCCTTTTCCGTGAAGGGACCTAGAACAGCTTGTCATTAAACTTAAACATCGCCGAGATTAAGGTCTCTGGTAGAGACCTTTTTTTTCAAGGGATGGCAATTGGACACGGAAGGAGACCCTTCTGAGCCTTTTGGCAAGCAATCTTGTTGCGCGGTGAACTCCCCAAGAAGACTAGTTCAGACAATGACTTGTGTATCTTCAGCTTAGGAAGGCACTCTTGTACGGCCCCGACGGTGGCATTTCAGGCTAATCCTGCCTTTAGGCTGTTGTTCTGGATCCGTGCGTCACCAAAGCTTCTACCGGGATGTGCCCCTCATCTACAGTTGTTGCAGCAGCTGTGGCGCAGTTCGCTGTTGTGGCTGTCTGGCAAAGAGCTTGGGAGCCGGCCAGTATGTGTTGGCTTTCGCTTTGTTTAACATGAAATGCAGGGCATTTCCGCGCTGTAACAATCAGCTGCCGCGACAGAAAGAAACTAACCATGTTTCTCGTGGTTAGATAGGTAGCAGCGCTTCGCTTATGGTGATCCTGACACTACCTGTATCTTGAACTGAGACATATTCCCTAGGGGCTTCGGTGTAGCGCTTTCGAGTATCACACTCACCATACCCACAATTCCAGGTAGTTAGGCACTGGGGCGTGGATAAGCTCTTTTAACCAGATCGTGTAGCTGCAGCGCTCTGCTGTGGCATCACTGCTGCAGAGTGGTCACGACCCTCGTGTGGCAGGGGACGTGACGATTTTAAGGGGCGAGTGGACTCACTTTAATACCCTCACAACAAGAGGGAGAAGTATGCAGCGTGAACAGCACTTGCATATCTCTGTGCTACCTGTAGAGCATCAACAGCAGAAATGCCACCCAAAAAGGTTCTCTAGCTGCAGAAAGTTCTAGCTCTTGGGTGCCTTCCGGCATCCTAAACAAGGAAGAGAGCGCTGGTTTTGTGCAATCGTCACGATCCACCTGGCTTGGTGAGAACAGAATCAGTTGAAGCGCTGAGTTTAAAGTATCCAATGGCTGGGGCTACGTGGAACGAGATAGCCTGAAGCCCTTTTGTATTCAGCTGAGCTATCTGTATCGGCAAGTGATAAAGTTGCCCGCACAGGCGGGGGACCCCAGAGAGCATTCCTCCTCACGCATTCAGGTATAGCACTTTGACAAGACCCGTGTCATGTTGCTCACTCGTTTACAAGATACAGATCGCTTTGAAACAAACTGCATGCTGCAAGGGACGAACGATTGCAGCGGGCATATGCCAGACTAGCTCGTGCAGTCTGAGAAAAAAGTTTAAATGGGTCTGCGGCGAAAACCTATCGGAATAGTCAGGTGCCAATAGCGTCCGCTACGCGAACTGAGAAACTGGTTGTATGAACACAGTTCCTGGCCTCGAGCCATGCTGGAAGGAAGGAACCCCTTTTTCGATTTAGTTATTCAGGGTGAATATTATTATGCAACGGGAAAGAAGAAAGCACGTGTAAGGGATTCGAGCAACGTACTGCAGAGCAGAAGAAAACAATCATGTAAATGTATATCCAGTAGCTTGCCCATTCGAAATGTTCCAGCAGGCACTGCTGCTGTCAGTATTCCCTTTGATATTTGTGATTTACCTTTTTGCCATTTACAAACTGAAAAGTTAAGCTCCCCCACTATGAGAAGGGCTAGAATGGTCCCTCAAAAAGGCTGCAACAAAACCTTCAGTTCGATATTCTATTTGCAGAGCGCACAAAAACTGGAAACCAGGAAAAGTTTATGGTAGCTCACACGCCCTAGAGTATGCAAACGGTGTTGAAAATGGTAAGCGTGACCCAAGAATGGTAGGATAGGGGGGTAATCGCCGGCGAATTGACAGCTACACACTTCTCGAGATCAGTTTGTGACAGGGGAGATTTAGAGAGCTTTTAACTTGGAAATTGAGTTGTCGGCTGCGGCACATACTTTGCCAATGGAGATCGGCAGGCATAGCGCTAGGTATGGAGGTGTTTCTTGGCAGCAAGACGGACGTGCTTATCGAAATTCGCGCTTGTGATTAGTCCATTCGCTTCATATAAAGGGTTCATGAGAACGCGGAGGAACAGCTCGTGCACCTCGGTGAAGAAGTTGCGAATCCCTTCGCTAGATCCTCTGTTTTTATGCAGCAGCATCAGCTTGACATGGCCAGCCGTGCAGAAGGCGGAAACTAAAAAATCTCTGAAAGAGTCGCAATTTTTCAAGTACATGGATTGTGTCTGCCAGACATATTCGTCCACCGCATCCAGCGCTTGATGAATAATGAACTGATCATAGTGGGGGGAATCTTCTCTCTTCCCGGGTGCACTCAAATCTGCCTCATACAAAGGCGTGTCTCCCTTTCCAACAATCACGAAGACAAATAGATTTGCCGCAGTCGCCATATCCCCCTCCCTTCCCTTGCCTTTCCTCGAGGTGTTTTCCCGATGCTCTGCTTTCTCTGTGGAAAGGGAATCGAGATGGAATGATCCTGGAGATCAAGGAAACTTGGCTTAATCTCTCCAAACCAGACGATGACGCAAAGGGGATCCTTTTGACCTCAAAGTCCGATTCTCCACTGAATTCGGAGGAACTGAATTTGCATCGTAGTTTTGCTGATCGGCCCAACAACGTACAGAAGGTTGAAGCCAGAAGAAGCACCAACAAAGAAAGAAATGGACACAAATGAAGCAAGGAATGTGAAAATCACGTCTATTGTTAGCAGACATAGCGAAGAAAAAGCGAAATTGAGGGATAGCAGTCAAGTCGGCGGTGCCCGCCAGCTGCATGCAGTCACTAATACCATTTGCATCAGCTGCTCAAGCAAACACAGGGTTGCATTGCATATTTTTGTTTAAAGTTATATTTTCCGAGTCAACTTTAGTGCCGTTATAACTCCTCCCGATGCCAAACATTAGGAAGTACCGACACACGGTGCACACAAATGACCACCCTTACTACTACCCCAGATTCAGGGAGCCTACCATTCCTTCAATAGAAATCACTATTTTGCCTCGAGTGCCATTAAGCTTCACTCGAAGCTCCTTTATTTTGCCAAAAGGTAATAGGGGAAGTCTAATGTCACGAATGCCACCACCGTTAACTCGTACACATCTCTGCATTCTTCCTGTTTTATGTGTATCATACTAATTCTGTAATTCCTAGCGGGTGGCAGCAACCAAAAATTTCGATTTTCCTGTTTGTCAGCCTTAAAATTTGGGCCCTACCCATAGCGGTAGTGCAGCAGAAAAGGATGCTACTCGTGACGCTGGATCTAAGTTGTCCGCAGGCAGTCAACTCCAGACTCAATACAACCTCGACATAAAGTTAAAAAGTGTTTTTTTAAAAAGCCTCTCCCCTCCTACTGCATCTCCCTCAGAGTTCTTGTTATGAGGGAAGAGATACAGCAACGGAACGCGGAGTTGCCCCGTTAAAACCCTGGGCATGCGCAGTTAGTTGCACATAGCTTCTAAAGCGCACAAGCACAGAACATTGAGTCTTGTTGTGACGAACTAGCAATAAAGTGGAGTGATGCGATCTACGAAAACAACCCAAGCGGTCAATTCCTTACTGACTTTCAGCTAACTTAGCTGATGAAGTAGAAAGTATGTAAATGGTATTTACTACGCTACATTCTTTTCCCTCGATTTCAAAGCATCCGCCCACATATTCTTTACCTGAATGCTTAGACAAACGGGGACAGCAAAAAGTATTTTGCCCAGCATCTCTTTCCAGACAAGCAGAAACGTGAAAAACAGTGCAAATGAGAGACGTGTACATCCACCGCTGAAGTGAAATTGTCGGGGAGAAAGACACAGCCTAGCCAATACGACTACCACAGTACAAGCACTCATGCACGCCCTGACTCACTGATGTACGCGAGCAGCAGCTCAGTAGCAGATTTTTAGACCATTCAGATGGCTGAAGCAGGGGAACTTATAATGAGATCAATACGTCGAAGTATATGAAACTTTGGTGCGCAAATGTTATAATATAAAAGTACAGCTCCTCCAAAGTGATTTATTTTAGGTCTTTCAGACATTTCTTGTCAGGTGGTCGCAGGGTGGGCAGCGACTCAGCAATTAACTCGTTGATTGGTTGAGTGTCCACAGGCCATGATCTACCTCACGTTTCGAGGAAAAGTGCGCGCCAGCACTGGGTCTTTGACTGGAAACGAAGAATCAAATCAGAAACGAGGGCCTATCGATGTGGGCGCTGCGCTATCTAACCCTTGCCTGCAGTCTAAAGTAGACGAGAAAACAAAAGCAAAAAGAACCCACCCTCTTAGACAACCCCAGAGAACATCCTACAACGTACCAGCTATTATTATGAGATAGGGTCACACAACAAAGACCTGCAAACGCATTTGGAAAGCCAAATAACGTGAGTAACAAAACCAACTTCAGCGGAAGCAATTTGAATCCCCCAGCGAATAAGGGGCATCAGGGAGAAGGAAATTCCCCCCATGCAGGTTACCGCCCAGTGATGGGGTTACAGAAGAGGACAAAGCTGCTGCTGGAGAGCCTTTCCACGTGTCAATTTCGCGCTGATGTAAGTTCACATTCAGAAAAATCGAAAATAAACAGCGTTATCTGGCGGTGAATCTGCAGCGATTATGCTGTACGAGGAGGCAGTGCAGGATTGAAAATCTGCCAGTTCACTCGATAGTGCAGTCCCTTTTATTCGAGCTTGCTGACATGCGGCAGAACGCAAGAACTGTGGAAGAGTCGGCAATCGGATGGCATTTCAAGGCATAGTTGAGTCGTATCAATATGCTCCGTATGCCACATGTTGAACCAGTGCACCATGACGTAATTGTAGGTATTCCTCGGTTGACCCAGCGAAAGGCTCACCTATAGCCATAGCTGCGCGGTGTCGAGGTTTGTGTGCTAGGAAGCTCTAGAAAAGGGAAACTCACGGTTGCCTCAGCAACGCTCACTTTATCCATGTTAAAAGGGGAAAACTCACTACCTTAACAAGCTGAGACGAATCTCCATGCGGGCGGCTCAGTATTGCAGCAAAACGAAGTCAGTTTTGAGTATGCGCCACGTTTTGAGGGCGATACGTCTCATTCCGTCTCGGAAAATTCCTTTCAAACATTCATCGGAGAATCAGCAGGAATGGGTAAATATTAGGAGGTTTGTGAGTGTGTAGAATAATGACGAGCTGCCAGCAGGCTGGTTGCCTGCTAGTCGCTCAGCGCGCCGCATTGAGCTGACCCACAGGTCAGCCATGAGTCTTGGGTGATATAGACCTCTCAATATTGGTTTCCTGAAGAAGCTTTAAACCCCTCGATTTTTCGCGGACTCTGCGCGGGCAAGTGACCCGCGTGGAGGTGAAGCGTCTACAGGCAGCCGTCACTGTGGGGCTTTTGTGCGCTGAGGAGACACTAGACAAGAGTTTTAGGGCGGTGGGGAATGCCCGCCTGAGCGAATTGTGAAGAAGTGTTTGCAGTTTTTGTTGCCTACTCGAGAACTTGCGGCTCTGCTTGGTTAACGCTAGTCACATCGGACGGTATTCCTCGCGTTCCTTGGTAATTGACCATCCTAAACCCTTGCCCTGCTTGATATAGTTAGCAGTATCTGTGGGTATTGCTGGATGATTCCTCGGCTATTGTCGCTAACGTGGTTTGTAGACTCAGATTTATGTGCACGCACTCTCAGGTATGTTGTCCCTACATTCTCTTTAATGCCTGGTGCATGGATGGGCTGATTTACATGCGGACATTGCTCTGTGAGGCGCGGAGGCATTGCTGAACTAGTGTATGTCTTGATTGCCCCTTAACATAGACAGTTGCACACGGTACTTGCCTTCTGTACTGTTGTTGCAGGAAGCTCACCCATTTTAACGCTCCGACCACAAAGAGCCATCGCGCTATCGGGGCCTTCTTCATTCTTCCCTCCTTCGTTGTTGATCAGTATGAGTCTTTCTTTCAGGCAAGTTCACTTTAGCGATGAGGCACACACTTATTTCTCTCATTCACACTGTTTTCCACGTTTCTGTTTGTCTGGATAGACATTGGGATAAATGTTTTTCACTCTCCTGCATCTCATCGGCCTCGACGTTAAGGAACGGAACATGTGGGCGGATGCTTTGAAGTGAAAAGGGAAGGGTGTGAAAGGGCTAAATTTCACTTGAATACCTTCTACTTCCTTAGCTGTGATTAGCTAAAAATCAGTAAGGACTCAACTGATTGGCTAGCATTTGGACATGGTGTTATTTCAGAGTATTGTTAGCTTGACACAATAAGACTCAATGCTGTGTGCCTGCGCGCACTAGATGCTATGTGTAAAAATCTGCGAATGCCCTTGCTGCTTTGAGCGTGTATCGTCGCGCTCCCTAGCTGTGCCTCTTTCCTTGTGTCGGGAACTCTGAGGAGCACGCATGGAAATTAGAAATTGCTTTTGGGGAGCACTCCATAACTTTCTGTCAAGTTCATATTGAGCCTGGAGTTGGGTGCCTGCGGATTCCTTAGATGGGGGGTTGCAAAACTGTTTTGCCCAATCTCAGCACTGCATGTTTTTGCACACGCTTTCCAGGCGTCACAACACTTGTAGAGTTGCTTTTTACGACCGTGCACAACACGAGTTATGAGATGACTAAAATACGCCTTTGCAAAAACGATCAATTAGCATGCGGCAGGTCCCCCTAAGGGCTCGAATGGTCTAGCGCATTGGGGGACACCAGATGGGTGTAGGCTGTGCTATATACGGCCAGAAAAATGGTGGCCGAGGTAGCCGCATCAATTAGCCCAATCCAGCGTTGGCACCCCAAGCATCCCAACAGCACTGACTGTTGCACATGAACAGTTGCTTTTTGACATTTGAAAATTGGTAGTAGACAGTAGAAAATATTCAAGACTACAGTGTTTCCTGGAATCAAATTACCCGGGGAACGATCAAATGAAATAAAGGGCGAGGCTAGCAGTGTCAGCGAGTAAACGAACACCCTTACCAGCAGCGCCTCTGGAGGAGTTCGAAGCACTTGCATTGATACACAGGCGCATTGGAGAGTGTTACCTCTATTTTTTGGCTTTTCTTTCGTATTTCAAGCAATATTTTGTACCTGAGAAGGCCCCGAAGCCCTCCGCTATTACGTTCACGATCGAAGGGGGGCCCTCTGTAGGGTCTCTCTTGCATTGGGTGGGCCCCTGAAGGTGGCACCGTGCAAGGAAGAGAAGCCCTTTGCACTGCCTCCTTCAGCCTCTGTCTTCCCGGAGTCCGCCTCCAGGTGATGACAGCACGTTGGAGGAACGAGTTCTTCCAGGTACATGGAGCTCCCCATCAGCATACTTAGGCAGCGGCGACCCCGAGTGACCATGTCTCATGTGTGCCCCTCAAAGCCCCGCTGCGCCGCTGCTGGCCGCCGAAGCTGACGCCTATGAGGTGTTTTAGCCGCAGCCACAAGGATGCAGGAACCCCCGCAACTCCAACAGCTGCTGCAGTTTGGCGGGTGCGTGACAGATCCTCAGCAGCACAAGGTGGTGCCCCTCCCTCGCCCTGTTTTCGTCTTCCCTCCTCCTCTGTACCAAACGCCGCCCCTGCATGTCCGTCCTGCCGCAGAGACGCAGCTGCAGCTACACTATCGCAGTGCCGCTTCTTTGCTGCTGCTGCACCTGCATGCCAGGGATGCAGCAGCAGCAGCGGCAGCAAACGCAACAGCAGAGCAGGCAGTGGCGGTGGCAGTGCCAGCAGCCTCTGGGTGGCGCTATTCGTTGACCTACCTCGATGGACTAAGCTCCTTAGCCGCACTGCAGCAGGCGGATGCCTGTGGAGGCTTCGCCGCAGCAGCCAAGCCATCAGCAGCCCATCCAGAGAAGGCCACAGCAGCTGAAACATCCCTACCCTTATTCGCCGCTGCAGTGTGGATTGACGCATGGCCTTTGCTGCAGCAGCATGCAGCCCTGCAACAGCGAAACCGCCTGTCTCTGCAGCTCGCTCTGATTTTCGCTGCGCTACTTCTCGGCCAGCAGCAGCACCAGCACCATCAACTGCTGCTGCTGCTGGAGCTGCTGGATCTTTTACTTCAAGGCGACAGCAGTTTCTGTTGCAGCGCTCTTTGCAGCCTTCTCGTAACTCCCCAGCCTCTCTTGCTCTGCTGCCGCAGCACGATAGCGCAACACTTGTTGCCGCTTTTCTTGGGGGCCCACTACCGCAGGGGAGCCCACAGAGCTGCCTGGCTGCTGCTGCAGCACGCCTACACTCTGCATGCGACGCCGCCACTGCCCGCTGCAGCAGCAGCAGCACGGCTGCTTCGACGCCAGCACGCAGCCACAGCAAGCGAGCACGTCAAGGGAAGCGCAGAGTACCTGCCTGCTGCAGCAGCGGCGGCAGCTGCTGCAGCTGCGGGGGCAGCAGGGAGTGGCGATATCTCTGCAACTGCACACTGTCTTACTGTGCTTCGGATGCTCCGGCGCCACGAAGAGACTGCTGCTTTTATATCGGGTTGCCCTCCCTTAGCCGCTGCCGTCTTCCTGGTGTCTCTGCGACTCTTGTCAGCGGCAGCTGCATCAGGGAGTGTGTTGCTCCTATGCAGGGAGGCGGAGCAGCTGCTGTTGCTGCTGTGGCGCTGTCGCAGCAGCAGAGTAGCCTGCCTGCTTTTAGGAGGCGCCCTTACGGTTTCCACACTGGGGGATGTCAGCAGAGTAAGGCTCGTAAGAGCAGAAATCTGGCCTGTGCTGCTGCAGCCCCCTGATGCTGCGACAGCCACGCAGCTGCTTGCTGCGAGGCCTTGTAGCGACAGCAGAGGGAGCAGCAGCTGCTGCAGTGGTGGTGGTGGTGGATTTTGCGAGAGCCTCACGTGCTGGAAGGGGTGCTGCATGGTCGCAGCAGTTCCGAGTGGTCAACTGAAAGACACCTCTTCAACGGACGTAGGTGCGAAGAACGACGGTGGAGGTTGTGGCAGCACCAGCAGCAGCAGGAGGGCTTCTGTAGGGGAGGCACCGCTCCTTGCGTGGCTCATGTGTTGCCCACCGTCCCCACGCCTGACGGAGTTGCTGCTGCCTCCAGAGCTGTTGCAGTCGTTGGTGCACCTGCTGCAGCAGGAGACGAGGCAGCAGCGATTGGTCCTCCAGCAGCTGCAGCAGCAACTCGGAGCTGGATCGAACAGCTTCTTCGGACTCGCTGGTGCTGCTGCTGTGGCGCTTTCTGCAGGCAGCAAAGAGGGCTTGCTGCAGCGAGAGTGGTTCGTGTCTCGGTGGATGCCTACAGAATGCTGCGTGGCTGCTGCAGCCGCAACTGCGGAAAGCATGCAGAGCAGCAAGGCGCCGTGGTGGGCCTCCTTTGTTGGTGACGTCGCAGCACAAGTGCTGCTGTGGTGCTCTACGGCTTGTAGTCTCTCGCCTAGCGTGGCAGGGGGCGTGCAGGGGCCTTCTTTTCTTCGCCAGCTCCAGCATGCGCAGCAGCAGCAGCACGAAGACACGGCGGCGCCAGGCCAGAAGAAGCCAGCCGAGGAGGCTGCTGCAGGGGAGTCGGTAACAGCGCCAGCAGGGGCAGCACAGGCAGCGGGATATGAGCAGCTGCAGCTCTGCTGTGGCGCACTGCCCGTGTTACAGCAGCTACAGCATGCAACGGAGAGGCTTCCTGGGCCTTACGCATATCTCTGCCTGCTTGCACAGCGTCAACAGTTGTGTCTCCGCTGGCTGTTGTTTGCGGCTGCTGCTGCCCCCCTGCCTACAGCTGCTGCATTGTATCCATGGTGCTGCAGCACGCGCACTTGGAGCGAGGCGACTCTGCAGTTGATGAGGGCTTTGCAGCAGCCACACAAAAAGCCCAAGAGGATCCTCTTGGGCGGCTCCACATGCAGCCTTCCTCTCCCTCCGGATGCGTTTGTAAGAGATGCCGTGCTGCTGCCCACGCTGCAGTTCGTGTCGCTCTTCTACCCAGGCGGAGTCTCCAGAGAGACTGACAGAGCTGGGAGCTGCGGAGAGAAAAGCAAGACTGCGGCGCAAGAAGGAAAGGACGCAGGGGGTCTCTCCGCTGCTGCCGGGGTGTCTAATACGGCAGCAGCAATAGCAGCGGCAGGAGGCGGAGTTGCCTCGTTGCTGCCAGTAGCCATTCCGTTGCTGCAGCAGCTGCAGCAAGGCTGCAACAACAACAGCAGCTGGGTGGCTTCCTTCGTTGATTTTCTCTCACTGCTGCTGCAGCACTGGGCCCCATCAGCGACCCCGTTGTTTGTGGCTTCTGTTTCAGCCGCTTTTGCCGCTATAGCATTGTTACAGCTGCTGCTCCAACCATCTCAGCTGTTCCTGGGTAACGCGAAGGCTGCTTCTGGCAACGTGCAGCCGCCTCGTGCTTCATCGGCAGGTGCCGCTGCAACGTGGGAAAAAGCGACACTCCCAGACACTGCAGGAGAACCGGGAGCTGCACCCACAAGTGCAGCCCACGCAGCACAGGCCCTTCTCAACTGGGGTGTCTCGCTGTCCGTTTACTGCAGTAGCCATTTACTCAATTGGGTAATTCTAGAGCGAGGAGGCTATGCTGTCCGCGTGGGCTTGTGCAGTAAAAGCAACCGCACGGGTCCATTTCGGGTGTACATACACCCCGACAAGTGCAGCACGATGCATGGAGCCACGCAGCTACCCCTTTCCCCTCTGCTGACCGGTGCCCTTCTGCAGTCGCAAATGCTCGTGCTAATGGTGCTGCAGCATCCAGAACGCTACGGCTACTCTCTCCCCGGAAAGCTAGGCACCTTAAGCAGCGCCATCAACTCGCTAGCGAGCGCTGCCGCTGGAGGGCCGCCCTCCGTGCAACAAGTGCAGCAGGAACCGTCGATGGTCACAGGTCTTAAGGAGCTGCAGCACAACTTCCACCTACCGCAGGACCAGCCGCAGCCAGAATTTGTTGCGCAAAGTGCAGCGTGGCGCAGGCTGTTGCAGCGTCAAACCTGCAACCTCTTAGGCCCGTCCGCTAATCCCTACACAGTGGTACAGGAGCACCGACAGCAAGAACTTCCCGCGACGCCGCCTCCAGGGGTGCTTGCTGCTACTGCTGCTGCTGCTGCTGCTGCCGTGCGTCCTCCTGCGAGTGCAGCGGTGCTGCCTCATCGAGAGCTCCTTGCATGGATCCACAGAGGAGACGGAGAGGAGGACTGCAACAGCTGCCGCAGCGACGGCGAGCTGCATCTCCATTGGGGTGCAGCTGCAGCTCCCGCCTGTCTCTTCACGTCAGCGGCAAGGCCGCATGCGGGGTTCTGCTGCTGCTGCTGCCTGTCCGCTGCAGCGTGTGCTGCTTGTAGGAGGCGTCAAGGCGACGTCAGCAGCAGCAGCAGCAGCAACAACAAGGAGAAGGATTTCGCAACGGCGGTGGGCCTTTGCCATGCCGTGTGCGAAGGTGTTGCTGCGGAGCTTGCTGCCGCAACAGCAGCAACGGCTGCTGCACTGGCTGCTGCCGACGATATTTCGCCACACACTGGGGGGGATGTCTCTGCAGGACGTCGGGAGCTCACCAGACGTTTAGAAGTTTGTTCGGCTGCGGAGCTGTTGCTGCGCTTGACGGCGGAGCATCACCGGCAGCAGGCGGGGTCGTTGACAGTTGCAGCAGCGACTGCGGCAACCCTGTCTGCTCTGCTGGTTGTCACCCCTGGAGGAACGTCTCAGGCCGCTGCAGAGCCTAGGGGGGGTCTAGTGAAAAGGAGGAGGATCTATTGCAACAGCAACCACAGCAGCAGCAAAACGCATGCTGCAACGACGCACGTAGACGGCAATGCCTCTCCGCTCCCCCTAAGGACGGAGGCCCTTTGTAGCGGGATGGTGCTCCTTCTCCTGCACTGGTGGCCATTCAGCAGCGGGCGGGGGTGTAGCAGCCAGAAGCACTCAGAAACGTCAGTTGCGGCAGCCTTGCCTACTGCGACAGACACCGCTTTGCCTGAGGGTTGCTGTGCGCTCCTCGGGGAAGTGCTGGCGCGACTGGCCCTTGATACAGCAGCGCCTGTTGGCTGGTGTCTGCTGCAGCTGCTCGCTGCTGCTGCTGCTGCAGTTGCTCGGAACGTGGCTTCAGGGGCAGCCTCAGGAGCCACAAACGCATGCACCCAGCACCGCGGCTCGAGAGGGGCGGATGGTGATTCTTCCGAGTGTCAAGAGTGCAGTGGGAGCACCGCAGCCAGCAAGAGCAACACGTACAGCGAGGGCAGCCTGCATGCCTCGTCTCGTTTCTTCGATGCCACATTTGGCCTTTGGCTCGCGTATGCGAACGCAGCAGCCGGCAATCCCCTCACGGGCTGTGGGAGTCAGGAGCGACAGCGGAAGCAGCAGCACCAACAACAAGACCAACTGGAAGCACTCTTGGAAAGAGATGTGGCATTAGCAAGGCCCTTCATACTGGCTAACGCTGTTGCTGACCTCCGTATGGCACACGAGTCTGAGAGCAGCAGCAGCAGCACCTCCAACAGGAGCCGATGCAACCTGCCTAGTGACAGGGAGTCTCACCAGAACGCCCTGCGTGGCAGCGCAGGAGGCTCATGGCTCCCCGCTGCTGTACCTTCTACGTTTGGCCGTTGGATGCCTCTGATAGACGAGCATGAAGACCTCCTATGCTCGCCTCTCGGTGATCCGGGAGTTTTCGTTGCCAAGGTACATATTGGCTCTGGCTCTCTCTCTGTCCCTGCATTCCGTCAATATACATGCATTTATATATTTTTCCGCGGATTTTCGCGAACAGCGCCACACCCTTCCCTGCCACGTTCTTGAATACTGTGCCTTTGCGTCTCTTCTACGAAGTGGCAGTAGGCAGACGCTGTTGGCGCTTCTTCCACCTCCCTGATGGACGTTCCTTTGTTTGCCCCTTACGTTACACTTTCTCCGCAAGCTCCTGTACGGCTGTCTTGCCATACCGCACTCACTAGTGGTGTGTGTCTCCGTCATTTGTACTGCCTCCATTTCTGTGTTGAGGATGCTATTGTGCATCCCGCTGTGTCTCGTCAAGCCCATGTATATATATATATATATGTATATATATGTATATATACATATATATGTGTATATATATGTATATATCTACATGCATATATATGTATATGTATGTGGGTGTATGTACATGCAGCTGGCCCATGTGCCTCGTTGGATGCGGCGCGGCTTGTTGCGGAGTCTGGATTTGCTGCGCCTTCTCCTGAAGGCCTCTCCCCTTTCAGGGGTACATGCGGCAGCAGCTGCTGCTGGACTGTGCTGCACCAGTGCCAATCCCAGCAGCAGCGGACTTGCAGCCCGGGAGCAACAGCAGCAACAGCAGCAGCAGGCTTGCTATCTGAGCTGCTTCTCCTGTGTTTTGTCTCTCCACGACTCTCACACCAGATGCAGTCCTTTCCCCCTCGTGTCTGTCCTATCTCTTCCTGCGAACACAGGGCGCCCAAAGCAGGGGCACCAGCAGCCACGCGAGCCACCGCAGCAGCGACAACTGTCGCTTGAGCTGCCGTCAGAACGTCTAAAACTTCTGCGTCTGAACGCACCAGCACCTACCGCTTTTTCGCAGGAGCCAGCGGCTTCCCCGGGGGTCTCCTGGCGTGGGTTCGTTCTGGGTTGGCGAATTCTTGGCCGCGAGTTGCTGCTGCTGAATGCGCCTTTGGCCTTTGTTGATGCAACGGATGGGAGCAGCAGTTTGCTGCTGCGGCTGCGAGCAGCAGCAGCGAGTTGTCCGCTTGCTGCTGTCGCAGTGCCTTCCGCTACACTCGCATTAGAGGACGGGGGCCTGGGCGGATCCTTCGGAGCACCCCCTTGCTGCAGCACTTGTAGCGGCGGCGAGAGCGACAGACAGTGGCTGCTCCGCATGTGGAAGGCCATACAACAAGGCTTCAGTCCTTTGGCATTTCCCAGCGGCAGCAGCAGCGAATCCGTGGAAGCGCCTCTTGTGCTATTGCATCCCCTGCAGCTCCCCCTGGACGCCCCAGCCACGTGTTGCACAGGAGTAGGGGTGGGCAGTGCACCGTCGGCTGCCCTCCTAAGGGCCCTCGAAGAAGTGAAAGATAGTGCCATCCGCATGCTGCTGCAGCTACCTGCCGCAGAAGCAAGAGTGACAACAGCCTTGTTTCAGCAGCAGAAGCCGGCGGGGAAGCACCAGCAGCACGTGCTTCAGTGGGCCGTGCAGAATCCAGGGGCCGTGCTCCATGTCTGTAATGAAGTGCTGGGGGATCTACAAAGGGCCGCTCCGGAGCGATGGCAGCAAGTTTCAGCGGGAGCAGTAGCACTTCACGTGCCGCTTCACTCTCTGCTACCTGTGCTGCTTCATGGAGGCCCCCATCCCCTTCTGGTCGGACCGCTTTTGTGGTTTGTCTTGCTGCTGGGGCTCTTGGCTGCTGCAGGCTCTTCCTCCGACTTGCTATTGATACCGCCGCGCAACAACACTGGCAGCAGCAATGCGAGCAGCAGCAGCGAGGCGTCTGACTGTCCTTGTGGTGCTGCTGGATCCCCTGTGGACAGCCTCGCAGATATTGCTTGGAGCCTTCTCCTCATTTGGTTTGAAAGAACTCCATGGCTTCTGCTGCACGCGTTTCGTTGTCTCAAGAGGCTCCCTCGGAGCAGTGGGCATAAGCAGCAGCAGCAGCCCCAGGTGTTTTCTGCAGGAAAGGAAAACAGCGGAAGCCCCCTACCCTGGCCCACGCTGCGGTAAGTTCCTGCACCAGCACTGGTGAGAGGCAGGAGCGAAACAGGGGCATCGAGTGGACAGGAGACGGAAAGGGGCAGAGAGTTACGGCAACGGCGGTAAAGAGATTAGAGTAAGCAGGTTCAGCTAAACCATCCATAAGACTTGTGAGGGCTGTGTTGTGATTTCCTCCTCAGGACAAGTTTTGGTTCCTTCTGTTCTCGCCGTTCCGTTCTTGGTCGTATGATGCGGCTTCCCTCTATTTTCGCCTTGAGGGCACCCCTGGGGGCAGGTGTAAGCGGTGGACGGACCCCACTTCAGCTGCCCTTTTGCCTAGCAGAATCTTTTGCTCAGTTACTTGAACTAGCATAGTGCAAATCACCCAGGGGGCGCAGTAACGAACAAAGTGACCGCGGCAGCAGTATTTTTGGCATGCAATCGATTTTGGTCTGTGGTTAGCACGGTACTGCTTTTACCTACTTGATCCGCAATTACTCCCGACATGCCTTCTACATTAATATGCACAAAGGAGGGATTTCGCGCCTGGTCCCCTAATAGCAGAAGGCCTTTTCTACGTGGTCACGCTATTGGCACAGAGCATTTGGAGGTCTCTGAAGTCAGCGACTTTCCCTCTATTTTATTTGCGAAATTGGTCCGTTTTCTCTCATCATTTAACAACAAAAATTATTATAATGCGCATAGTGACACGCTTCTTCTGCACGAGCCGGGGCTGATTTCGGTCGTGTGGCTAATGCTGCGCGCGAACAATACAGCACAGGTGAGCGACAGGGGGTCCAGCAGGACCGGCAAGGCACACCGTTCTGAGAATATTCCTTCCCCTCATTGTAAATGAAAATTCGAGAAACTTCTAGTTGCTTTACTAATATATCTCATGCAAGCTTGAAATTGCTCGAATTTTCTAATAACTCTTTTAAAAACGCTGCCGTCAGTCGCAGGGGTCGCATGCATTGCCTTGCCCCAGGGGTGATACGCGGTAACTTCTCAATAGACTGCGTTGCTTCTTGATCAATGGGGAATAAAATTTTGTCTAGTTTGTTTTATCTCAAAAGAAAACACAAAAGTTCTAAAGATAGGATGAGGAAAAGCTGCGCTAGAGGGACCACTGTGTACGCTTGCCTACAACGTCCAAAAACAACCCAAACTCGAAATGTCGTTAGCAGAAGCCACCTTCGATCAAACAAAGCGAATGCGTCTGCATAGGTGGTCTTGTTTTGGACAGTCAAATACTTGGATTTCCATTCATTGAGCCCCAATTTTGGTTAAAAAGAGGAGCTCTCGAAGCAGTCACCAAGCTGCGAATTAGGCCTGGTTGCAAACCGTTCAACCTTTGGCGATCCATGCTCCATTTCCCGTGCTCTTTTCTTAAGGAGATCTCTGCATATAACATGCGCAAATCAAACGCTTAGCAGATACTTTGCTGGCGTCTAGCAAAGCGGGGCCCTGAGCGAGCCCATTTAGGTTCCTCTTTCTCTGGGGGTTATCCTTAGGTTTCTTGTATCATAAATGCTCCGTCTCTGGGTCTTAGGGATATCTGGCGAGGATGGAGAGTCCTGAGATGCGGATAAGCATCAACAGGAAGATAGCGCAGCTGACCAGGGTAATACAACGCCTTAGCACAACTCAAGAAGATCATGAGCTCCATCTGCAGAGGCTCACGGACGCTTATGAACAGGAGATAGAAGAAATCATCCTGGAGGCTAATGCCAAACTTAGTGCATGCGGACGGGCGGCCAGGGAGGCGCACATTAGCAAAGTCACTGATGCTGTAGGGCCGTGGCCAGACAACTATGCATAGCAAACCTGAGCTCTAAGCTAATTGGCTCCTAAGGCAGTTCCGAAAAAAGTCCTGCCTATGTTCCGCTGCTTCAGGCTGTGGGGATCCGGCTATTTAGGGAGCTCGGGAAACCTTGTTGCGCCTTCTTCATAGAACGGAGGCTATCCGTTCAGCACAGTAGAGAGCCTAGTTTACTCAATTCCCAATAGACATCTGATTAGCCTATAGTACATCATTTAAGCGCTCTACAAATGCATCCTTGTGTACCTATGTGTAGGAGGTCACAGAGCTGAAGCAGAAGCTACTGGCCGCATCAGCAGCGGCTGCGTGTGAGCTGACAAAGTATAAGGCAGCGCTAGATGCTGAAACGCTCAAAAAGCAAGAGCAGTGGGACAAGCAGCTTTCTAAAGTGCAGAGTAAGGCTTCTGCACTCTTTGTCGAGCACCTGCCTCCAAAAGGTCGCCAGTCTCTCCTACCTCTGACAGCCCTTCTGCTCGTGGCCGTTGTTCCCTCCCTGATGGCGGCTTTGTTTTCTCTTCTGGCGTTCCTGCACCCCTTTGATTTCTTGTGCTCTTTCTTGGCTTCAGGCGAGTGGAGATGTTGGCAGTCTTCCCTGGCAACAGCTTCGGATGCGTTGCGCAAGGCCTCGGAGGAATTCGAGGCATCACGTGAGGCCCTGCAGATCCAAATACAGGAGCTGTCCACCGAAAATGACACGCTCAACAAAGAAGTAAACCTAGCTAAACAGGTAATACACGGTTGTATTTGCACCTACAGAACGCCTCTAGATCGATATGTACATCAACCCCCGTACTTGTGATGTATTCCTTGGCCCCCCCCCTCAAGCAGGACCTGTGAAGATCCACAAAACGCCCGATGTAGCGAAAGGGGGAGAAAAATACACAAGTCAGAGTGAAGGAAACAAAAGCGCACAATATATGGGTTGTTCATTGTGGCAATAAGTGACAGATTCCCCCCCCAAATCTAAGACGACAGCAGCTTGGCTAAGTACGTAGAGGCAGGCAGCCGATAGTTTCCCAGCAGTCACTGCGTGTATGGAGGCACACACTGACCGTTTTAGAACTTTCTATGTGCCGCATCATGAGAACGAGGATTGTGAAAAATGCCTGTCTAGTGAACAAATTCCTTAGTTTTCAGTCTTCTCGTCATCCCTCGTTTTGAATATAAATCTGGAGTTGTAACATCTATAACCAATTCACTCAATCGTGCAAATGCAGATGAGGTGGTATGGAACAGGATTCTCGTAGATAGCACAGAGCTTTATGCGGATCCTTATGAACAACATTGCGGGCAGCAGCTTGATGAGGGGATCTCGTATCGAAGGAGAGAAGCACACAAGTTACCTGTCAGTAGCGAGGCGCTACTGTTGCTCACTTTCTCAGGAAATAAAACGAGCGACATCAGAAGCTGTAGAGCTGCGACATCGGCTGGCGGAAGTTATAGCACAACGCGAAGCAGCAGAAGCAGAAGCAGCGGCAGCAGTAAACCTCTCGGAGACGCAGCAGAGGACCAGCGGGCAACAACACCAAAAACTTGAAGCTGAGCTGCAGAGAGTGCAGCGATTGAGACATGAAGAGCAACAGGGACACGAAAAAGCAGTCACCCTGCTGGAGAGAGAGTGCGCAAGACGAGGCTCAGATTTGTTATTATTCTGCATTGCACTATGGCTGCAGAAGTTGTTGATTCTTTGGCAGCTGCTCTCTGATCTCTTGTGTGCTGCACGTCGCTTTTGCACCCGGTTGAATGTCTTCGAAGACTATAAAGCGGCCTTAGCGAGTGCTTGATGGAGCTGATTTCCCGGGTGGCACGGTGGTGCTAGTATGGTCATTGTCGATTTCGGTGTTTGTGAAGGCTTACAGAGGTGCGGGGGAAGGCCAAGAGGGCGGAAGAAGCGAGCCTAAGAGTTGAAGAGGAATTCTCGAGGATGCAGAGCCTCCTAGCCCAACAGCTGGTGAGTTCCTCTTCTAAGCTCCTTGCTGAGATGGCCGCCTTCCAAATCAAGGGCCTCTCTATGCAGACATCTAGAGATACTCTTTGGAAGACGAGCGGCACTACCTAAACGGTGCAATTTTCAATTTTTGTAAAGGAAGGGCTTGCGTCAAGAACAAGGGGCTCCTTCACGGAATGATAAAAGAGGGCCTGCAATGTATCCCCTAGCAAGAAGCCTCTTTTCGGACAATAGGTAGTTCTCTCTGTGTGAGCTCCATTATGGGAATTAATTCGGTGTATGTGAGCCGAATACTCTTGCTGGGACCCAAGAATGCCTTTTTATAAGAATGCGTGTTCAGGCGGAGCGAGAGGCCTTGGAGCGAGAGCTGCAAAGCCTCAGGAAGCACGTGAAGGAGCTGCAGGAGACTTTAGAGATAGTACGCAGGTCAGTATTGGACTCTGAGCCCAAAACCCTAGCGTCCTCTCGCCCAACGATCGTAAAGCCAAAAGTACAGCTTCTCGGTAGCGTCTGGAACCGAAAGGAAAAAAATCTGAGTCCTGGATTTGACAAATAGGGCGGTATCTGCAATGCTTTCTTCCTCCCTTGACCGTGTTTGCGGGGCCATTTTCTTCTTGCCGCTAGCGCATTTCATGAGACGGGGGGTGGCGGGTGGGTTTGCGCTACGTACTCATTTAGCTGGGGTTTATGAGCTTGTGGCTTGTGCTTTGTGCCTGTGGATGAAGAGAGTGTGTGGTGATGCAGGCCAAGGAGCAAGAAGTGGCGGTCGATTTGTTATCTGAACGCGAGCTACGGGTTGCAGCAGCCAGGAGCTATGACCAGATGATCTCAGCCATGGAACAGGATGGATTAGAGAAAGAGGCAAAGCTCCAACAGTTGGTAGAGCGATGCAAAGAATTGGAGGGTATGTGTTTTCCGAGTCTTGCTGTCGTTGCTTGAGGCTAGAGTTTTGTGGCTTAGATGTAGGGGTAACGCTGAGGCTGAGAGCTAGAAGTAGCGCTTTGGCTGTGTTAGCAGAGCCCTTCCTAGGCAGCATTGCTGCAGCGTGCAAAATATCTGAGCTCACCTCCAAGGAATCCCGCTTTTCACGACTTTGGTCTGCCGAGTAAAGATCTCAACAGTGCATTCCCTGTGACAAGCATGGTTTTGGGAGTGGTCAGCGTGCATGCACTGCCTTCTATCACCGCTTTTAGGCCTACTTGAGGAGACCGCCCTACAGAGTACTGAGCGACTCAAAGAAAAAGGAGATGCCTGTCAGCAACAGCTGGAACGTCAAAAGCAGGAGCTCCATGACGCGTACTTAGCTAATAGGCGACTGCACGAAAAGGCAACATGAACCCTAACCCTCAATACACATTAATTTTTTCAGCATCTGGAGCTTCAGACCGTGACCTATATCCTGAGGCCTCCACCTTCAGAGCTTAAAGCGTCAGCATGCCTAAAGGCTTATTTGTTTAGTAATTAGCACAGGCAGTCGATAAAATAATGTGGGAGGAGAATGCTGCAGCTGGAAGAGGCGCTGATGGCAGAAAAAGAGGCGAAGGAGGCCGAGGAACTCAGCAGGAGCCGCATGGAAGAGGCAGTGAGCCAAGAGGAATATAACAGTTAGGAACAAGGGCTTCTGGCTTCAGCTTTTTGACTGTTCAGTGTTTATCTCTAACTGCACGGTGCTAATGTCTGTGAGGAACAGGTGCGCATGGCCGACGACCGAGTGGAGGAGGTCGCCCTCTCTGCGAGAACAGAAGCTGCGGAGAGGGCCGTGCAGACTGCGGAGTCCCTTCGCATCGTATGCGCTAGACCTTCAGGCACAAACTGTGAATGCTTTAACTTGCATCCCTGCCTGAAGCTGTAGCTCAAGCCTTCAACAGACTAAGAGGGCTTGGATTCATGGTCTAGGGTCTGAGTTTGGAAACTGCCATGCAGCTAAAGGAACAACTTGCAGACTCCGAGAGGAAGCGATCTGAGACGTCCATTGCTCTGGAAAAGCTTGAAAGGTACAATGGGCACTCGCTCTATACTGAACCTTCGATACTAGTTCAGCAACTCTCTCCTTGCCGTTTCTTCCAGTTTCTCTAGGTCTATGCATATAAGCGGTTAAGCTTGGAGGTCTTGCCTGCCATGCAGCACGAGAGAAGAGCAGGTACGAGAAATGCACAGACTGCAGACGGCGCTACACGAAAAGGAGGCAGCCCTTAGAGAGGCTGAAGAGGCGGTAGCGGAGCTATCTCGCAGCAGGAGTGACATGGAGAGAAAGGCTCACGAGCTGAAGGAGGTATACCGCTTGCGGTCCTGTTGCTCCCAATACACAACTGCTGTTGCCCCCCCTCTCCTGTCATTATCTTGGCTATTATGAGGACGCTTTGCCCCCTTTGGGAGCAGCAACGGTGGCCTCGCAGCCTTGCCTTGCTGTCTGCTCTTCACTTTTGTCTATGCTCCTACCAATACGCCCTCACAGCACACCTTTCCAGGCGCCTTGTTGTCGTTCCACTATCCTTGTCCTGCTGCTCCAACAAGCTGAAAAGGTTTCGCCTTTCGGTCGTTTGAGTCCCTTTAGGTCGTTAGTTGAATCACTGCTTGTGATATCGCCCCTCAGGCCAGCGCCATGCGCCTGCGCCACTTGCAGTCTCAGTGTTCAGAGGCAGCAGCAAGAGCTGTAGAGCTCGAAAGGAAGCTGCTAGAAGCGCAGAGTACAAACAAAAGAGACCTACAAGAATCATGGCAGGTGGAGCAGAGTCTCAGGGCACAAATTAGGGATGCGCAAGAGCGAGCTACGCACGAACAGAAAAATTGTGAACACCTGAAGTGGGAACTAGAAAACACGCAGAAGCAGGTCAGACGGAGATGCTGTTGATGCTGGTGCTTCTGGATGAAGCGTAGAGAGGCTTCCGGCTCCAAACGTGTAGCTTAAAGGTGTAACTCGCTACGACAAAGAAGCGCACCATGTATAGAGTGACTAGGCTACTGCTGCTGCTCCTAGTGACGATGATGCAGGAGAAGCTGCTGCAGCTGACAGTGGCAGAACTGAGAGCCCGCCTTGTTGCGGAGGAAACTGCCAACAAACAGGAAGCAGTAAGATATCAAGAGGAGCTGCAAAAGCAGCGGGATGCCCTCAATGCGGAGCAAGAGCAGGCACTTGCTGCCGCAGCCTCTTTAGCCGCAGCAGAGAGAGCATCCCTTCAGCAAGGCTTTCAAGAGGCAATGAAGCAAGCCGAACAGCAAATGGAGACACAAAAGCAGGCCCTGAAAGCGGAGCTGATGGCCAGGCACTCAGCGCAGGTATCCCTTCCGTATCTTTAGCTATAAGCCCTAGACTGATAGCCGCGCTCCTGAACCCCTTTTAAGTTTTGCGTCCCTTCTTTTTCCCAGCTGCAAGCCGTCACATGCAGCCACAGAGCAAAGCAGGAAGAGGAGGCGAAGGAACACCACAAGGAGATGCAGGATCTTGAGACGCGGCTTAGGGAATCTGCTGCCGCTGCTGCTGCTGCTGCCGCAGCGCGGCTCAAGGCTGCAACAGACCAGACAGCGTCAATGAAGGAGCTGCTACAGACCACCAACCAGGTAGAGCTCACGCATTACTTTGCAGACCCCTAAACGATAGTTTGGGTCCTCAAATTCCAAACCCAAGACATGCTTTTCAGAACGCTCTTATTGTTGTCAGCAACTGGAGGCTACTACAGAAGAACGAAAGAGTTTGGAGCGGACGCTCGAGTGCCTCCGTGCCTCCCAACACGAGGCCATTGCAGCGCTGAAAGCAGAGAGGGTGAAACACGAGGAGGAGATGAAGGCCAAGGAGGAGGAGGCACAGCAAAGAGAAAGGGCGGTCGAACTGCTCATGAAGCTAAATCAAGAGACACTCGAGGTATCTGCAAAGGCCTGCTTCAGCACATATCAGGAGGTGCAAGTAGAGGGATACACTGACAACAATTCATGGCGATCAAGTAACGGGTTTGGGGGCAGCGTTGGTGCTTGCCTGCAGCGAGAGCACGCGTCTGCCCTTGCCGATCAAGAAAAGGAGCATCAAGCGGAGAAGTCATTGCTACAGAGCCGCATGTCCACCATAGAAAAGGAAATGGAGGAACAACAGAGACACTTAGATAGGAGGCCCTCCCGACAAGAAGACCTGGAAACTATTGATGCCCTCACCAAGGCACTAAAGGATGCAAACGTCCGGGGATCCAGCTTTCTACTTGGGGGCTCTAAGTTGGAATATAGGGCTTACGGCTCAGAGCGCAGCGCAGACGTCAACAAACATGTTGCCGTATTCCGGTGTGGAAAATGCTCGGCTTTGGGACAAGGGCTCTGGGTTTGATGTCAGGAGTGTCCAGATGGCCGTTTGCTTGCAGGAGAGCGTTACGCAACGTGAAGAGATCGTGCGACGTCTCAAACTGGAGCTCGTAAACAGGTGAGAATCAGGGATTAGAAGGAGCTTTCCTGACTTCCTAGTGTTCAGAGTTGCTCAGCGTTTGGTTCCCGCTGCTTTTGATGTCCTCAGCGACAGAACGTACAACAAGGTATTTGGATCCGACCCGAAGGCGGGACTTGTTAATCCCTTAGAAAGGCCCAACATTCAGAGCAGGGCAAGAAGAAGCACCGGTTCTTTTATGGCTTCCTCCCAGACAGGTCAACCTTATAGAGCTTATAAAACAATCAGGTGTAGCAATATACAACATACATGATGTAGACCCAGATCTATGCACGTTTCCTGCGGTCTGCAGGGGCCCATCTACATACGCTGATCCCTCTGCTTTGATCCGAGTTTCACTTCGTTAGTTTCGTAGACATTTGCTGTTTTTTTGCTTGCTTTAGCATTGCGACGAGGATCCCTTACTTTCTTTAGCCAGATCCCCCGAAGTTCGTCCATCGGTTTGCCTCCATGAGGTTACTTTGGCAAATTGGGGTACGAAGACTGGCCATTTATTTTAATATGTGTGTATGTCTCTGCCCCCTCTCCATTTTCGTACTACCTCTTCCTTTCCTCTCTCTGCCGCTTCCTCGTCTGTGGGCCCTTGCCTCTGCTTGGGTCTCTGTCACTACATGTCTAACTGCTTACCCTGCAGTCCTAGCTTCTGACTCTCCCGGATTATCTTTTGCGCTTGTAATGTTTGAGGTTTATCGCTTTTCCTACCTTTGGCTGTTCTTCGAGCTTTGCCTGTAAAATTACCACATGTGGTTTCTGGTTTCTTTTACTGAGCAATCTGCCCATCGGCAGTGCACTCCAGCCATATGTATTCTTCGTAGTGCGGCCTCCCCTGGAGAACTGTATTGCTAACGTAGAGGCTTGCTGCACTCCCTCTTAGGGGAGTTTTCCTTACCTGCACTCGCGTACAAGTAAAAGAACGAGCCTCACTTACAAACATGCTTAATAACACGAAGAGAGCCCTTACAAAAATCTAGACAAACGTTTTTGTTTACTTGAATAGTTTGCCAAAGCTTCTACACGTACTTGAGTAGGCGCCTAAATAGATACATGAAAGGATGATAAGATATTAAGGTTTAGTGATACGGCAAATATACTGCCAAGTTCGCATGCATAGCTGTCGACGGAGTCTTATAAGACAGATGTAAGTCTCAAGGAATTTCTAGGGCTTGTGGCATCCCATGCGATGTAGGGACACCTCTCGCCATTTGACTGATTGTGTCAGTACCTTTGTTCCGCAGTTGGTTCCTTCTCGATTCGTTCTCCGGCGGCTCTACCCGACCACTTGCATGCGCAGCATTCAATCCACCCGGGAACCTGTTCCCTGCCTTCGGGTCTTAATGTGGATCCCCGTGTCCCGAGTGCCACCAGCTCTGACATATGGCTCTAGCTAGTTAGCTGCTTTCAAGCTGCAGCTAGCCCTAATACCAAACTGCCAATTCAACTGGACTTTTAGGGCTGCCCACCCTTTTGTAGGTCTCTATCTACGCAATCCAGTGGTAGCTCATGTTAACTTGTCGCGTGTAGCTATGACGAGTAGCACCTTTCTCCAGGCCAACGGCACCCATGATCAACTAATGAAATGTCATGTTTTTAGCTGCAGAGGCGCCTGGCCCCGCCGGTCCGAATCGTCTAGAGTTTAGGACAACACGTTGTGGCCGTGTAAACCCAGGATTGATTCCTGGTTCGGACACTTTTCAGTGCGCTGCGAACGTCTTTCATAGACATTTACCTCTGCGATACCCTGACAAAATTCATGATTCCCCATGTGTCTTCCCAGCTCGATTAGCTCCTGTTTAGTATGTTCCACGTTGCTAAGTAAGCTGGAAGTCGCGCGGTGCAACTATAGGAGATATACTTGAGAAGTCTGACTATCAAAAAGCTCTTCCGCGCTGCAGAATTTGCATGTGTGCGAAGCTTTGTAGAAAGCACATGTGCAAAAACCACGTAGCTGCAACTGCTGCTACTGCAAAGATGATAACGCCCAGCTGCGATGAATATGGGTCCTACCTTCCCCCCCATACGTGAACGCTCGTGCTGAAATGTGCTTTACGCATTTTCCACGCATCTTTCCGCATTTGCACATCTACAAATATACCAAATGGTATCTTCGACTCTTTACGCATCCCCACAGCCGAGCGTACGCTACCCTCATGCAAACACCTTGCGCCGTCTGTAGGGTATTCTTAAGGTATGCTGCGGTCATCTCTGCTCCGCGTTCACATGGGGCAAAACCATTTACCCTTGTGAAGCTTCAGGGATAAAGAGCACAAGGGTGATCATGAATGGGCAAATATGGGACGGCACTAGGATTATACACGGTAGAGCACCGGGGGTCTAGGGCAGTGCTCAAGCTGTGCGTCGTTCCCACAACGCCCGCCGTTGAGGAACGTGTAGAGTAGTCATTGGGTCCCAATTATGATGCCCACACGGCATTGAACTCCAACACCGTGCACCTGAGAACGAAGCGGCAAACAAGCCAGCCTGACAGAGTGAAGTAGGGTGACCGCTATTCAGACAACGCAGCAAGCGGGCACACAGACTGAGAGACCCACAATGACACAGGTGGATGAAGAATTAAAAAAGAGGGCAGAAAGACGCACTACGAACAGGTGCACAAAAGGATCAGAAACGAAGGGAGAATCAGACAAGCGAGGCCAGATTTATTCCGAGACCGACAGCAAGAAAGTAAGGCAGAGAACATGTGGGATAGGCAAATATAGGCTCGCAGAGAGTCGGAGTAAGACTGGCGCAGACAGAGCCGCCAATTTCAGTATCCTGTTGAAAGTGCGGAGAAACTTGGAGTTCACTTTTGTTATAGCTACGGCCGGTCTGGAGCTGCTGCAGGCCCATGCAACGGTACACTCCCGGCATCTCTGGCAGAACTGCATTTACAGAGCTACTTAGCGCGTTGGCTATTCTTGAAGATGAGTTAATGCAAAAAGCTGGGGATATCGGGTTTCGGATACACGTGGCTGTAGTTCAGGGAATCTGCCAAGGTCATACTCTCCATCCGCCGTGCCGGTAACTGCAGAAAAGCTGAAAGGGGAGGCCGCCATAGCGCAAATCCCGCTGTACCAGAGGCGCACATAAATGCAGCAGGCTTTCCATTCCTCATTGAGGAGCAGGTCGAAAGAGATGCTTCCAAAGACGCAGCATCGCAGAGCAAAGCTGTGAGGCACGGGGAGATGGACAGAGGGAGACAAAGCAGCTTAGCGCACCTTGGCCGCTCAGGCCTGTATGGGTGGGGATCCGTAAAGGGAATACGGGCTCCTGTGTAGGAGCTGAAGAGACTGAGTGGTCCTCCTGCCTCTACAGCACAACCCGCAAACGAAAGTGTGCCTTTGAGATGGACGAGGAGCAGAGGAGGGGAAAAGGGAGTAATAAAGGCGCAGAAGAGATGCTAGGTGGGACGCAGTCCCAGACCGACACGGCGAGAGACACACAATGGCCTCTTCTTATTAAAATCTGAATAAGGTATGAAACAAAGAAGGAAAGAGACACGAGAGACTGGGAGGCTTGCAAGTCAGCATCTATGAGGTGAACTGTTCAAGGTAAAAACTGGAAGTGTGCTCGCACAAGGTATAGTGCAGTCATCACAAAAAGAAAGGGTCTATATGGGTCCAGAGAACTTAAGATTTCGAGCTCAAAGCTAACCTCCTCCAGAGAAAGAGGCAATGAAGGCCTCTGTCTGCAGGAATACCGACACTGCTCTCCTGTCGGTTCTTGTACCGGTACGGATCGCCAGAAGCTACAGATAGAGCAGAAAGCACAGGAAGCATTAAGGGCACAAAAGCTCCACTGCTACACCATAGTCATCGCTCCCCTGTTACCAACAGTGTTCTAAAGTAGCTCATAGGGCGACTTCGGGAAAGTGCACATTTAGTGTATGAATGGGGAACATAATGAAGTTACCCTGACGGAGGAGGCTGACAAAGAAGTGTCACATATTAAGCTAGCCAGAGGAGGAAGAAGTAGGTAAATAAAGTGATGCATCCTACCTGTTGCCCTCGCCGTACATCCCATATTCGTGAGTGGCCATCAAACCCCGAAGAAAGTAGAAATCTGAACCACAGGAATAGCAGAAAATGGCATAATGCGTACAAGAAGTAGAGCGATGCTAGAGCGAAAGGAGGTATGGAAGGCACATAGGAAAAGCAACGCATATAGCTACTTTAAAAGAGACATGCGTGCGTCGAACGCCTTCGTCTGCTTCTCCCCGCATCTCAGGACAGCATGAGCGCTTAGAGAGCCAAAGGAAGAAAGAAGGGCGATAAGCTTTAGGTGCACATACACCCTGGTACGCACCTTCCTGATCGAGACCACATAAGAGATGTAACCGGCATGCCGCTGCATCAGGAGCGCACGCAAGCCCTCAACCCGAGCATGCTAAACCGAAACCGCCGGGCACCCGTTGGCCAAGTAAACCAATCAGCAATAAGAATCGAGAAAACGTCACCATTTGAAATTGAATGACGGTAAGACGGGAGACATCAAATGCACTCACGTGCCTCCTTACTTGTGTGCATCAGGGATTTTGTTAGCTAACAACCCTGTTACTCCGTCAAACAGCTGCAGATACACCGCCCACCGATGCAGCAGCCGCATTCAGCGCAGCAGAGGCACCAATATGTGAGACAATTTTAAGCACCGGCCAAACCTTGGTGCTGAATAAGGCTTGCGTCTGTGTATGTATTGCGCCCCTTCCCCCTAAAATACGTCCAGCCGTGCTGTGCTTGCCGCCTAACTGGAAAACAGATGAAGGGAACACGATGAAGGGTTAAACGCTCAGGATTCAGTCCTCACGTGAATGCTGCCATCCTCACTCGCCACAGCGAGTACAGTCCCATCTTGGCTGGGTTTGATATCTGTAAGAGGGCCCTTCTGGTGAGGAGTTGCCCCTAGGACCCCTGGGGCCCGAAGAGAGGCGAATGCCCTGAGAGTTTGAAGGTCGTAGAGTCGGACTATGGGATGAGTCGTTCCAGCGTAAAGAAACTCTCCACAAGGATGGGCGCTGAGGCACGTTATAGGGAAGACGTCGCGAAGAGTGGCTGCAGGAAAATAGCATGAAGAAGGCGAAGGGGGGAGCCGGTTGGAAGCGATGGAGGGGGAAAAATTCGCAACAGTGGGAGACAAAGGGCTGTCATGGCAGAATAAACATCCGGAAGTTAGAAGGGAGGCATACAGCATAGGAAAAAGTAGCAGCAGAGCGACACAAGAGATCGTAATGAAGCTGGCGTTGCTCTCTGTGACATGGTTTTAGGCCTTCGTGGGGTGCTTCTGCTGATGGTGCTGCCGTGAAGACAGCTGCAACTGCGTACCTATGGGCCCCCCCGCGGGTTTGGCCTTGGTGGCGCTGATGTCAAAGAGCTTCACTGTGCTGTCACTGCTGCCACTGAAGCAGATCCGGCTGAAGCATCAGCAGCACGAAGCGTAGGCCGTAAAACCAATTGCACTTACAGCAGAGCGCTTCCTATCTGGACAGGCGAGGGGATATTCGAGATTAGGGGTTCATTTACCTGTCAGGGCTGAGAACCACGGAGCTAACAGGTCCATCGTGTTTCTGGAGGACACGTGCATTGCCTGCAGCAACGCCACCAGGAGGACTGCTGCTAGGAGGGCCCCCAACGGTGGCTCCCGGAGTCTCCCTGCCAGACTTCACAGGTAGAAGGCGGACCGACCCATCCAGGGCTCCCGCCACCACTACGCTCATATCGCCATTGCATGCAGCGCTGACGCACCCCTGCGTCGAACATGAAGGCGACACTACAAACGTATGAATGCCGGCGACAGAAGGAAGAGAGCAGGTGGAAAGGGGCTCCACATCAATGCAGGGCCCGCAGGAGCTACGGCGTAAGAATGCACACGAGGTGTTTTAGTGCAGGCACCCATTAAACAAGCTTCAGTAAGGGAATTCCCGGGATGAAACACCCTGACTTCTCACGTATTGAAAGGACGCAGAGCAGACGATTGTGGATGTGACCTGGGCCTCGAGACCCCTTGTATCAATCGCCCCTGGGGGGCCCCTTCCTTCCGAGTTTGGATAGGGGTTAAAAACAAGCTGCTGCTCTCCTTCCGTTAGGGGTGGTACAGCACGAGGCCTCAGGGGCTGCCACTGCCGCTGATGCTGATGGTGGTGCTGATGATGCTGGTGTTGCTGTGAAGCGGATGCGTCTTCTGCGAGGCTTCCGCTGCGCGAGGGGCTTGTGGGTGAGAGTGTTTCGCCCTCTTCCGTAGTTCTTGCTGCTGCTCCCGCTGCTGCCAGTGCTCCTGAGGTCCCACTTGATTCTTGCGAACCCCCTGTTATCCCTCGTGTAGCAGGATCGCTGTCCGGCGGGGACCCTCCAAGCAATAGATTTTGGGCTGTTAATGCTGCTGCTGCTCCTGCCACTTCTTGAGAGGGCTGGAAGGCGGCGGCCTTATAGATAGAAAAGAGCAAATCTGGTGGCAACGCTACATTGGCCCTTACGCGCAGGGCCCCACATAAGGCCACTGCAACCTCGTGCAACCTGAGGAGCAAATAAACACCAGGGATACAGGGCACACGATGGTGATTTATTAGCATTGACTGCTCAGTCCACACGACGGAAATGCCTCGACGGCATTTCCAGAGAACGTGGAGGGGGAAGAGGAAGAAATAAGCTGCACCAACAAAATCAACAAAGACAGCCACAATCCCAGCAGCTGTTCCGACTGCACAAAATGCCCTACTCATCGTCTAGCAGTTGCTTGGCCACTGCCTCATAGAAGGACACCTTCAGAGGGTGTAGAGAGAGAGTAGGATCGATTGCTTTCTGCCCGTCAACCTCTTTAGGCGCCGATTCTTCGCCTGCTTGTATCGAGCCATGAGAGTCCCGCTCGGGGGCCACCCGAGGAACTCCCTCCGGGGTGACGGGTGTCACCGAGGGGCCCTTTGCTGCGTCAGCAGGGGCCCCTAGCTCTTCTTTCATACAGATGTCCATAGGGTCCCTCCCCCGTGGCTGCTTGCCTTCTACAGCACCTCCCGTTAAGAGCCTTGATGCGATACGAAGAGGAGCCTATTTAAGCCGCGAATACAATCATGAATTTGGGTGAGCCCACGGTGTCTGGGGTGTCCTCGTTGTGTCTGGGAACCTTCTAGCAGTGGGGGCCTCACTGATTTAGCCCAGGACTAGAGGGCCCTCAGGGTGCGCTGTTGAAGCTAGTGTTCCTTTTGTCGTTCCCTGGATTTAATATCGGAGTGACTAAGAAGCTTATTTGCTTAGAGTGGAAAAACGCGAAATGAGGTAAAACTAACGTGGCACACGATGGGGCTGTATCCGTGGGCCCCGAACACTTTACACGAACACAAGAAAGTGGTTCATTTTTCCTTTGTCCGATTTACAGAAACGTGCAAGTATACTTCATGATTATGGCGGATGAGGGTGTACGGTCTGGGGCTTGATACTCTCTATATGAATAAAGAAGCAAATATCTGAGGCTACGTCGGCTACATTCGGTTGAAGAGCTCGTCGAACCCAAAGCGAAGGCAGCGAGAGTTAGTAGATATGGTAGTCCAGAGAGTGGCCTCAAAACTCCAAAAGCATCTAGGTATCTCTTTCCTAACACGAACGGCATATGAACGCAAAACGCTAGAGGAACACGAACTACATGAAAACTCGATTTACCTGTATCCTGGGCAGCAGTAGAAGCCGATTTCCCCTGTTGTCTCAATAGGGGAACAGAAGAAAGTACTCGATTGTGCTTCCACTAAACCTTTCACTTCGTGTGTCTGGCACAACTTTCTAGTCCATTGATTCTCCGTGTGGCTCTCAGGAGCCCAAACTGAGGCGGCAACCACTTAGTTCTTAAAGGGCTCTTACGACTAGCACTAGGATGAAAGGTAGCTTTATCGATAGAAAAGAAGAGGGCAGCTTGAGCTGAGGTGAAGCTAGTTGAGGATTCGTGTGAGGGAAGTGCCGCTGCTTTCCGCTCGCTACGGTGCAGCTCTGTATATTTACTTGCGTGCATCGAGAAGAGTGATATTCATAGGGGCGCATTCGCAAATCTCTCATCCCGTAGGAGACTAGATCTTGTTGTGTTAAGGGAGAGTGGGTCCATACGGCTTGAAGCAAGCAGCTTTACAACGTCCACAACCCCCAATAAGCAACCTCCGCTTGGGGGTACTATACACTGTATTACGCCCGCTATTTACCCTTGAATTTAGGGATACCAAATCAGATGAGCATATAGCGGGGCATTTACAGCAGTGTGTTCCAAGAGGCGCTTTCTAAGGGGTGCATTATTGCTTGTGGCTCTTCAATAGGAGCAACACTGTAAAGCCACACTTGGGCTCTCCATAGGAAACTCCTTTTAGCCTCAAACCCAATTCAGAGCACAGTAGAAAGCTAATGAGCGGCCAAAGGATTTTTCCTTAATTTAGCGCTTGCTCGTATATTCCCTTGCTGAAGACACATTAGTAGCCCCAAAACCAAAACACGGCTTGTCAGAAAATGACAGAAGATTCTTCCCAAAGGGCTTCTCCTCCTGCTCGCTACCCCTACCCCTCAATCTCCCGGCAAGAAGGAAGATTGAAAAATAGCTAGGGTGCATGGAGAGTGCAGTAACCTCCTAACGCTCCGAACATGCACAACTAGTTCGACACTGCAGCAACGAATAGCACACAGGCAGACAGCATTGATCCTTGTTGTATCAAGCTAAACAATTTTACTCATCAACACGCACGTCTTTTCCGCTTGGGCTACCCACAGAAATGCCGATCCTCCTCAACATTGTCAGGGAGCTCTTGGGGGTTCCCCAAAGCATTTGTCAAGTTTCCCCCTCTTAAAAGCCCTGGTGGGGTACTAAATCTTTACGAAATGCAAAGTTAGTGCTTCCTTAGGCTTAAATCCCCGGCTCCCATCCTATATGTAAAAGGAAAGTTTTAGTTCCGACGTATGCCAATGTATTTGAGACCATACCAATTCTCATAAAAAGGCCATTGGCACATACGCTTCGTGGGAACATCTTGGTGTCGCAGACGTGAACTTTAGCCGCACACTGAAAAATCTAATCCTGCAAACCCCAATGCAAGTGCAGTCGTCTCCTCTCTCGGTGCCACGAGCCAGTGAGAACATTGGTAGGTGTCGGAATGCACTACACGTGTGATCAAACAAGCCTTTTAGAAAAATAATTAAGGGGACTAGTGGCCAAGGTAAAACTGTTATGGCCGCTTGTGTTCCGAATCAACCCGTGGTATTACGAAGAGTGCGCCACCTGCCCTATGGGCATGAAAGTGACTAAAAATCATATTATATATTCTTATACTTGGTAGTTGGCACCCGCTGCTTGAAGGTCCGGTACCAGGCTTATTGCCTGGCCCCAGACCATGAGGTAGATCTAGATGCCTCCGGCAGGGCCAGAGCAACTATCATTGTTGCCAAAGGTCTTCCACCACGAAGCGGTTTTTCCGCCCCCCATAACTTCAGTCGAAACATAGCCTTTAACTATTCAGCTAGGCTTTCTTTCAGGAAACACTTAGATCCAGACTCAATCAAACTAAAAAGTAATTTAGTGCTTTCCAAAAGAGGTCCTCATAGGCCAGCCCGCGCCTGTAAAAGTTCTCGACATCAGGAGAGAGGGACAGCCAAAACGCAGCGACCACTTCATCAATCTGACTTTCCTTGAAAACATGCTGAAAGAAAAATGGCCTGTGTTAATGACATCAGACGAAGGTGCAACCCCTGGTAGGTAGGCAGAGGCGGGCCTGCGAACTGATGTGAACGCACTACCTCCACAGCTGGTGGGAGCGCATAACTTGTCAGTCTATTAAATGCTTGTGGATGCATCAAGGGGATCATACCAACCAAAAGGCATGGCAGCTGTAAGGATAAGAAAGTGCTCGGAGATTTCATTTGTCGGTTGGGAAAGATCTCGCTTTGCAACATCCCCATGATAGGAAACGAGCTCTCCTTGAGGCATGCTTGTTGGAAAGAGAAGCAGTTGAATGGTGGTGTATTCATGCACAGAAAGTCGTGTGCCTGCAGGAATGACTACATTTCACGCCTACATACATGCCCCAGCTCACCGGTTCTAACCTGAGATCACCTGAGCAACAAGGTTTGAGAGCAGCGAGAAGGGCGACGCAGGACAATGTATCAATGGATCAGAATATAAAGATACATGAAGCGTTGGTTGGCAAACGGCACAACGCAGAGGAACAACTGCTGTACAAGCAGTTGTCATCCGGCTTACTTGAAGTGTCCCGTCATGAGGTCGCAGTTTGGGCAGCGGGTCAGCGAGTGAAAACTGACTTGTGGGCCGTCCACATGTGTCGGACTATTCAAGGCCTCACGAGCAAATGAGCGGTAATGCTGCATGTGCCTGGAAGGGAATAGGCGATTTGACCTAGAGCCTAAGGATGTCGGGTTGTGCCAACCCAAACCAGCCCACAGCAAAAGGTGAAAGGGGAAAGAAGGCCAGATGGAGACCGTGCTCCTGAGTAAGCTTATGAAACCCCCCAACAGCACGCCAGATTATATTCAGGGGAACTAGGTCACATATTTTGGAAATGTACCCACGGAAAAAGCCAAAGAGCTTGGATAGTGGGACTGAGCCCGGAAAAGCAGGCTGCTTGGTGAGAAAAGGACGCATACCTTAGCAGTGGAAAGGCCCCGACGCGGGCTGCGGAGCAAAGGCTAGAGCCGGAGTTGGAGACCTACCACCGGTTGATCTTGCGCTGATGCAAAATTCTATCAATCATCAGGAACTGCCGGCACTATTTGAAGTTGGGCGTGGAGTGAATTTGTTATTCAGGGAGACGGCGCAGAAGTGCAGTCTGCCTGTTTACTCGTCAGTGCAGTCCCGTTCACTCAGATTTGTTAAGGGCGACAGAGCGCAAGAATCGGCGAGGCCACGGCAGGTCTGTGCTACCTCAAATCAGAATTCGGTCTTAACGGCATGGTCCGCGACTTCTACTTTGGACCCGTGCAGCAAGCTAGAAGCTGTGGAGGATAGTGTGCCAAAAGGTGCTAGGGAGATGTAATGTGGCCAACGCCCATTCCATCTGTGGTAAGCGGGCTAGAATTAGTACCTCAAAATGTAGCTGGACATAATATGTCTCCAGAGGGACACCTTTCATCCTAAACTCAATACAAGCGCAGGAAAATTGAATGAATCTTTTCTCAACGTATTTTTTTTTATAACCCTGACCGCTACCCTTGGGGTTGCCGACATGATTTGAGAGGAGCAACTACGGTAGCCGTAATTGCACTCTACAAATACTGGATGCATTCACAGCCAGCTACAAGCTGGCTTCTGGCGCGCACACACACACACAGTTGTGTTTTTTTTAATCGAGTCAACACATTTCCACCGGGAATAAAATATACAGACAAACCAGGTGACGGGTTACCTTCTGATTCGTACGCAAATGTAACTAGTTTAGCAGAAAGTGATTGTGTGTAACTCGTAGCGTCCTACGTTTTCCGTCATGCCCATTTCAAACAAGTCCTAATGCCCCCTACCTCTGGGTCGAGACCAGCTGCATGCAGGGTACACCAAGAGTTCCTGCACTATCGCCACTCTCCCGGCAGGCAGAAACTATAAAACAGTGCAGATGAAAAAGGGGAAGCGTGCAACAACGGGCAAACAGATATCGACGAGAAGAGCGGCACACGCACTAAACAACAACTGAAGATCGAATTAACACGACCGCGGCGGAGCCATGGCATGCTGTCGCCGAAGCTCTAAAGTGTGTGAATCTCCTGCAAGAGAAAACAAAGACAAATATAGAGCCTAGAGTGAATCAAACACATTCTAGTTCAGCGTGGCCTGCACGCCTTCGGAGCGGTGTGTGCGTGCTAATGCAGCTAGTGAATGCAGCATTGCCGACCTCACAGCCCCCGAAGATGCATTAGGAAGAATTTGGGAACAGCACACCAGTGAGTGCCTGCTCATAAGCTCCGAAAATAGATAACACTGTTTTTGTGCACGCAATATCCGTGGATGGGTGTAGCCATTTCAGGCAGAGCATGCGCTAGGGGAGAGCAGTTACCAAGGAAAACAAGAAATACACTTTATGACAACTAGTTTTGCTAGCTGAACAGAGCCGCAAACTTTCCAGCAGGCAACGAAGCCCCAAACTGATCCTACACAAACCTTTGAGGTGGCGCTTTTTACCCTATTTCACTATAGGCTCCCGTTTAGTGTGGCCTCGGCGCTCTCTGGTTGAAGACAACAGCCTGCAGATTTTTCTGGATCCTCCAACTCCAGACGAAGATCTTGCATGCACAGAAAAAACCTTGAGTAAATCGGAAGGTTTTGAAATATTAGAGCAAATAAATATAAGATGTCAAATACTCCTAGCCACCTCACCGCAGAGGTTCAAGCCATCCTTAATTTTTTTGATGGACAACAGAATACAGCGGCGTGTAACTGGAAATGAGGGGAAAGAAGTGCCGGGTCAAGGAACACTTCAACACTTTCCATTTTACTAGTACTTACGAATCAGCAAAGGATTTACCGATTGGCCTTTCTGTTCGTACATCTTGCTTGTTGCATGGTAGAATTAGCTCAACACGTCGAAAATCAATGCTGTATACCTGTCTGCCAGATGCTACGTGCAAATAAGTGTTAATGCTCAGAGTGCCTGTATGGTACTACAATGTGCATCCAAATCACCTTTTTCTCCCCTAATGCTGAATATCTGAAAAGTGAGAACAGATATGGTGGAGGGGTCTCTTTATAGACTAAGCATTTGAAACTAAAAGGCTGTGAAAATGGGTTTGGGGCCAATATAGTGTTTCCCTATGGAAAGTCAAGAGCGCAACAGGCGCCTGCAACTGCCTAGAGTCCGATACACGGGTATCGGATCTCACTATAAGATCTAAGTGAGCTTCCGTGCGGTGCATAGTCTTGTTCGTATTCGCCGCAATGTGAGAACACGAAGGAGGAGGGCAGGTGAACACGTCGAAGGACGGACATGCCGGTGCATATTGGGTGATCAAAATGGAGGAAAAAGAGAAGGAGGGTAAGGAAGAATCTGTGAAGGAAGGGGAGAAAATGCAAGGGAAGCAAAACGAAGCAGTACCGATACATTAAAAAGGAAAAAGTTAATGTGAGGCGGATCGATGTTGCTTAGGTGGGTGCGAAGTCAACCCACCAGAGATCTGATGTAGCGACGAGTTATTACTACGCTGTATATCGTGTTTAATGAACATACAGAGGGCCAGGCTGGCCGCAAGCTAAAGCTGTGAAGAGCTACTGTATTCTTTGCTGCTAGTTCATCGTTTGTCTTTTCCTTTTGACGATGATGACGAACCGTCTCTGCCTCCCTGGAAACACCTGAGTGCTTCTCTCTCTTCGCGTCTCTCCTCTTTTTGTCTCTTTTTTTCAATGCCCTCCCTGAAGCATTCCACTTCTCTCTTCTCACTTGGTTTCCAGGACAGGAAGTGACAGAATGGCGGAAGAAGTAACGACCTTCCATGTGCTGGGTAGCCTCACGTCGGTGTTGACGCCAAAGCTGAAGTTGTCGTTGTCACTTCCAGTCAAAACCAAGCGAATCGCGTGACCCGCATTGAACGTCCAGCTGTGTGGCTCAAAGTTCAGCGATACGGCAACAGACTCGCCACCCTCTGCAGTAACAAACCATCCCACAAATGCTGGACAATGAAGGGAATGAGGCTGGGTTTTCAAGTGAAACGGCTGAGGACGGCAAATAAGAAAAATAAGCGCATAGAATGCGGCGACGCAAATGTGACGGAGATGTAGAAGTGACGTGATCATGCGCCCAAAAGATTGAAACATGCATGCGAAGTTTGGCGAAGGCGAAGAGAGAGAGGTCGCGAAAAGTGAAGAGCTCAGGGTAACTTCAAAAAAGACAAGGGAGCCTTTCCAAGATGCAAGACACTGCACACCCAAAAAACCGAGAGAGAGGTGTACTCTAGCCAGAACTGCAGAAACATATGCCGTTCTCTTGTTTGCCTGGGTGGACCTTCCAGCGCACAGACACACGGATTCTTCAGATCGGACAAACAACTAGAAAAACTGTGTTACGCAGCACGCAAATCTGTGGCTTGGCCTACCGTCTAATGGCTTGTGATCTTGCCTAGAAAAAGACCTCGACACTCTTCCGTAGGCTCCAACGGGCAAATTTGCGGACGCCTCAGAAGGACGGTTTGACGCCATCAGCTGAAGGCACAGAGAAAAGGCGGCAGCAGCTAGCGGTACTTACTACAGCGCCGCTCGTCCTTTTTGCGAAGCTCTCGTCTCAGTGTTACACAAGGAAGAGCGATCGGAGAGCACTAAACGGATGGGAAGGAGCAAGCATGCGAAAATGGAATACAAGCTTTTACGAGCGCCCTGTAGCCCCCTTGGGCTGGAGCCAATAGTGGAAAGGGAAGGTCGTTGAAGAGTCCAAAAAAAGTACCTGTCCTTCGGTAATATAGTGTGAATATCCCACTGCAACGTCTACGTCTTCTAAGTAGGCGAATAAAGTCAGATCGTTGCAGTTTTCTGCATATATCGTTAGGCTTAAAAAGGCACTGCCGACCATCTCAATCGGCTCCAACAAGGGGTCCGTCACGAAGGAGAGAGGACGTGCCAGGAGTTGATCCAGAGAATAAGGAGACAAGGAAAAATGCTGTGGATGTCCTTGGTCAGGGCTAATAGTAAGGGGGAACTCAGGGCGCCTTTTCATTGGAAAGAGACGGTTTCCATAATGCACAGGCATTCGAAAAGGATGCTGCCCAATGATCCACCGAGAATACTCTCCAGACGAAAAGAGATACTCCACCGTGTATTCTATCGCAACACTTTGTTCGCGCTTCTTTTCCACCTGTTTTGACCACACCGACAACAACAGGCTTCCGTTTAGCAGCGTGAGCAAACTGCATAAAACCGTTGCGCTGACCCACTACCAGTCGTGCGCTCGCCGTGGGCCACACTACAGAAAATGTGTTAGGCGAAGACTGCACTCAAAGATATCTTCACTCCTTGGCCGCATCGCTTACAGCTAGTGCAGACGGCGTGCTATCTTTTGCTTTCTTCGGAAGCTGCAAAAAATAGGCATTTTTGTCTCTGCTGAAAAGCTCCCGCAATTCGCTGGCAGGATTTGTGTGTCCGTAAGAAGAGACGGCAGCAATAAGCGCAGCGAGCAAACGAGGTAACCATGAACGTGGCGTTGCTGCTTTGAGGCCTCCAGCTCTTCGAGTATCCTGCTCTTGTTTCTCTTGCTTCTCCTGGCGCTGCAAGTGCCTTGCTTCTAGGGTACTGACATCGCCGATCTGCAGAGTTTCTTCCTGCATCGCTGCCTCTTCGTACAGTCGCAGCATATTTCCATAAAGCCGCACGCGCTGGATGATGTCGTGTAATACATGCTCAAGGCCACTGGAGAAGTGGAGATGCGGGTCAAACAGATGAGCACCAAATTCAGGAGCAAGCGATGCGGAAGATCTGCCAGCACCTGAGATAGACACGGGTCAAATTTACACGACGAAAAATGGCGTGGGCTTGTGTATACCCATATATACAGCCTATCAACCTTTAAGTTCCTTAAGGAAAGTCCTTGGTACTCAATGCACCGTACGGCCACTCTCCCACCCAGCATGTTGCAATATTCCTCTTCTAGAGTGCAGCCGCCCTTCTACGTACAGTCCTCAGAAAACACAGAGTGCACAATGCCATTACGAAATCACCTTTCGAAGCGGTGGAGTGGCTTTTAATGGGGTTATTGGTGAACTGCAGATCAAGACGCTGCATGGTGTTTCCGGGTGGAAAAGTCTCAGCTGCACGCCACTCTCCACTGCCCGTCTGCATCGCACCACGTGGGGAAAGGAATGTTCAGGAGAGGCTAAGAGTAAGGAGTATGCAAACCGATTACGATGACACGGCTTACAACGCTCAGCGAATACTGTGAAATGGGCGTTTGAAGGAATGCGTTGAGATTTTACTTTTGGCCATAAAATCTTTAACTTCACTGCGTGTGGGTGCAGATGTATCTAGTGTACCTGCCAATAGTGGACGGGGGCCTCTTCCCAAATGCCTCCCCAGCATTTGTTCTTCAGCCGACAGTCGAAAAACCGCAGGACAGTAGCATACAAGTTTGTCTCAAAACAGGAAAAGTTTCCTCCAAAAGGGTCGCAGCTTCTTCTTCCCCCATGATTCCAATTACCCAAAATTAGCTGCGGACTACGCATTCAAAGAAGCACAAAATTCACTGGATAAGGAGTTAGAAAAGGAACAGATGACTCCCCGAGAAAACACAAGGTGCCTTAAAGTATGTCTGGGGCCATGAGTATGCTAGTTTTCTCTCTTTCCTGCCTTCATTACCTTTGGTGAATCTATGAACAATGTGTGCAGGCTGAGAAGGCTTATAGCTACCGCAATTTCCTCTATTTTCTCCCTTTAAAAATCCGGCTAAAAGGGCTTGCCGTAAGGGCTTCTATATTTATTCGTCTTACTGGCTCTTTGGTGCTTTTCGCTGCATATATGAAAACAATCGGATAGCACCTCGCGCAGTTGCAGAGTCACAGAAGCCCCCAACAGTGAGCACACTGACCTGAATGCCAAGCAAACAAAACACATGCGTGCCATCCATAGGAAAGTACAAATATCTATGCCAATTGAGCGGTTTTCATAGTTGTTCCGACCGCCTTTGTGAGAGCGATACGGATTACACATAGTATGATATTCACAAATATAGGCACTCAACATTATTGCATGCCTCCACTTAAGAGCGCAAAACGAGAGCTTGCTTGGTCGGTCAGATCTACATGGCGCCGCATATTTACGCAAGAAGAACATCTGACATGTTGTCGATTTAGAAGAGCAAGAATTAATAACCATAGGTGAGTTTCTTACATTGTTGTACGCGAGCTTTCGCATTATTTCCTTTGTAATTCCAAAAGAAGTTGCTTTAGCCTCCAGTTCCTCCGTGAACTGCACCTTGTCATCGTAAAATCGAAGTGCACTTACAGCATCGGTCATCTTCCAGTTGCGATGGTGAGCTCTAATGGCATTGGGTAGCTCTGCCTCGTGCCCTAAAACCCCGCTGATGCCCCCAAACGAAAACGCAAACTGCAGCAAGTCCGTATGCACACGCGCAAGGGATAAGTTGGAGTCAATTAGAGCAAATAACTTGTTTAAAACAGTGAAAGTACGTTGAAATCGCAGACAATCATTCTAGAGCCAGATGGCGCTAACTCGTGCGAGTACAGACCCTGAAACATGTGCTTGCCACCTCGTGCAGCGATGAGAGCAAAATGTGACGATGCAGCCATAGTAAACCCTGAATTCCCTTTTCATATATTAGCCCCTTCTTCTGCCCTATTTCTAGCACCTCCTCCCTCTTCCTTTCTGAACTCACTCCTAGGAGAACATGAAAAGGAAAGTGCAGTGGACTCTTCATCATGTGCCTCCATGGTGTTCCGTGGCGCTCAAAGTCGCTCGTAAGGCCGGTGTAATCATTCAAGAAGGAATGGCACATCATCCCGCCAGGTGCCACAAGTTCCCCTAAAACATCCATTGGGGTGAAAAGAGAAATAACAGCGTCTACGCCTCCACCTGCCGCCATGGACAATCCGAGCATTCCATCGTATGACAAACCGCCGCCCCCAACTTTCCCATTCGAGAACCACTCACGCTTGGCCCACTTTACCAGCTGTGCGGAATCTTGCAGCTCCTCAAAGCCAAGATCGACTGACCGAAACCCAAAGGAAGCCCCTGGATCAAACATGCACCAAGGTATTCACATGAGGTTATTTTCTGTGCCGGTGATTATGCTGCTGAAGGCCTTAATTTGGGGAGGCAGTTGTGCAGCACAAACACTGGGAAGACTGGGATTCGCAGTTCCTTTCAAGAACGAGAAATTCTAGTGATGATTCAAGGAATCAGAAAGTGGAAACAGACACGGAATGGAAGGTGTGTAGAGCGTGCTGATGAGATGATGGGCTCTAAATAGCCTTTAGCAATTTGGGCTGTGTGTTTAGAGTTTAGCTTCAGGCCTATATAATCCGTGCCTGATCCCCTCGTATCAACGACCACGACCGCGTATCCATTAGAAACAAGCAACTGCTGCGTCTGCCAGCTCCAAATGTTTAGGGAGGCGCCTCTAGGATGATTCCAAATGGAAAGGAGAGTGAAGGGCCAGTAGTGTTCGGATCTTCTGTTGTATCTCGTAATCTCAAGATATACCGGAACCCTTTGAACGGTCTGTAACAATTTTGCCTCATCCTCCAACAGCTTTTGAATTACATTTTCTAAAAAAGGTATTAATCGCACGGTCCTGCGGTAGTCCTCAGTGTCCTGCTCCTCTGCTTGTGCCTTCGCTCTTGCTGCAGCTGCCGCGGTCTGTAGAACGTGCAATCTGTGTTGCAACAAGGCCCAAGCCCTTGCCGATCCGGCAAGGGAAAAGGGAAGGTGTACATCTGCGGCGAGTTGTACCCCATCCCTCATTAATACGTATTGCGAATACAGCAGCGGCGGTTTGGAGGCCAGGTGGGAGGCATCTGCTTCAGTCATGTGCCCTAGGTCCCGTTGCAGTCCAAAATCAACCCAATGGTGGTCCTGCAAAAATATACAAAATAGCAAATGAATACGTAGACAGAAGAGGAGACAGGTGTAGAGTCAAAACAACGGCAGACACAGCTGAACACGCGCTATAACGTTCGTAAGGAGACGTCGCCAGTGAGAGACGGAGAGCGCATGAAGGAAAAGGAAATCATGTGATAATGCGTGTTTAACATTAACAAAAATGGTAGAGAGGATGGATGAGGTGGTTTAAAGCTAGGCTTACAGTGGAATTGCACGACGGAACGCCTTGTAAGTTGAAGGACGCGAAGGTCATAACGACCGCAAAAAGCGACGACATTAGCAAGAGCACTTTCTTGTTTAGATAGTGTCGGATTGCCTTGACCTGAAAAAGCGGAGAAGACGCTAGTTTAGGGGCAGAGAAGAGAATAGCAAGCGGCAGCAGATGGAAGGAAGAGAGGCTGAGCGGTCTAAATGCCACATTGCATGAGGGATCGGAAAACGGTGAACGTGGCACATTTACACCTATGGAAACCAGTGAAAAAGGTGATTTGTGCGTTTGATGTTGTATAGACCCACCTGCAGGTATTGCCCCCATGTGTCTAAAGCAAACCCTAATACTAAGACAAGCAAAAGGACTGGCTTATTTCGTCGGTCAGTTTCAACTGCTTCCATAGCCTCTTTGAGTTCTTCGAAACGAAAATCACCTAGATGCAAATGCTCAAGAGCGACATTTGTTGCTGTCTCATGGCCCCAAAGTCCTCCAGGTTTCGTTAGGGCTGCCAGATAGATATCAGGGAAGCCGATGGCTTTTAAAGTCCATCCCCCAAAGAAGAAGCTGGTAACTTGAACAACCGTGAGGGCTAAGCACACCCCAGCAATTAGATGGGCGCAGAATCCCTCCCGCCTCTTGTTGATGCTCCACTGAACAGATCCAGCGCTTCTAAGGGGACATCTGAAGGTGCTTTCCTTTTCACTGCTGATGCAGTCTACCCTGCCCTTGTGCATTTCCTCAAGCAGCATACGGTGCTGCTCGCTAGTTGCTATAGGATGCAAGATAACCCGCACCAGGTGCAGAAGACAGATAAACATTAGAGATCCTAGTACTCCCCGCATGACAAACTGCTGAATCGATCCATTGATATAGGAGAAGAACCACCCCCATACCGAGTTTTCGGGGGGCAGCAGCATTAGCGGGTGTCCAAAGGCTGGGGGTAGTCTGAGATGGGTAAAAATATCAGGTAGAAATTGAAGGAGAAGTGTATGGAGCGCAATGGACCCATAGCAGCTCATTAGGAGCTGTCCTGTCAGTGTATAAAGGCAGCTTCCCTTTTGCGGACGGTGTTCTGTGTGTACTATCCTGCATGATGCATAGGTGCTCGAGATTGTTCCATCGTGAGAGGGCACACAAAATGCCTTTTGAGGCTCTTCCCTAACAGACAAATTCCCAGCAGACTTCAAGGAGGAGCAAGCTGTCTCTGAAGAGGTGATGCTCAACGTTGTCCCTAAGGAGGATTTGGAAGGCCGATGTTCCAGGCGATGCACTTTGGCTGGGGCGGTACCCTTTCGGGGGGTTATGGCTTCCAAGGAGAAGACCGGAGAGGCGAAGGCAGCAGAGAACGAGGGATAAGGAGGGCAGGAAGAACGGGGTACAGGCTCCATTGAAGCGGGAAAAAACAAAGCGACCCCTTCACGATCAAAGAAACAGGGAGGAAAGGGTCTTTTGGGGCTGCTCTTCGTGGATTCCCCCTGGCTGTCTAGGAATACGTTTTAGAAAGGTAGGAACAAACGACAAGGGAGAAATCTGCGTGCTACTGTGGAATCAAGCAAAGCAAATGTTGAGTTTCGGGGAAGCTAAAGGAATAAATAAGCGACAGTTTTAACTCCCGAAATGAGATTTTTATGCTACAAGAAGAAATAACAGAAGAGTGCGCGAGGGGAGAAAAACAAAGCCTTGCATGGATACGGCAGAGGAACTGATGAAACGGACTACGAGGCAACTACCATCTAGGATAGTAGAGGGGTCCCCTCAAGAATGACAATAGAGTGAAGCGGTGACACCGACAGTGAGGAAAGCGGAGGGCAAAGCAGTTGGCCAGAAAAGATACTCCTTGCCTCATTTCGAGTCTTTGCGCCTACGAAAGAAAACCAGAGAAAAGGGGATCACGAAATGTAACGAAAGACTGAGTTGACACAGCTGCATGATTGGGAACTAGACCGAGCTTCCCATATGCCTTTAAACTGTAGGCACTAGCCTAGCACTCCGGAACTGATGCTTTTGCCCTCTGCCACAAGGGTTGGGGGGCAGCAAAGTACAACCCTTCGCAGAGTGCACACGATGCAAAATACACTTACATTCCTTTAACCGATACACAACCAGTGTCTCTTCTAAGCGGGGGAGGGGGCAAAGAGCTAGTGGGCGCGTGGGGTAGGAGGGGGCAGGGGAAGCGGCAATGGGACAGACAGAGCAATACACATATTACAGATGGAGGTGGAGGCACATACATACATATACATGGACAACGGTTAGAGGGCCATGGAGGGAGACATAAATAGGCGTAAAGGAGAGCGGCAGAGAAGCACCGAGGCAGTAAAGTCAAGGGCCTACCCTGCAACGCAGCCCGATCCTCTGTGCCTTTCCCCAATGTGGGCACACCCATTGACCCGTGTTATATATAAATTTTAGGGTGAAACCTTGCGAGGAAGCTGACTTTGGGCTCTAAAGGCAAACTCTCAAGCCTTTGTGTCAAAATGCATTCTGCACCTGCACTGTCACTACCGCGTACCTCTCTTCTCCACTGCTGGAACGGCAGAACTGTTCTTTTTTCCTCCTTTGAACGCCAAAAGCTGTATGTGTTGGTTTTGTTGCGGGGTACTTTGTGTTTCGTATAGATGCTACAATGTAGTTATGCACACTCTGGCTACTGACAGAAACCCAAGCTCCCTGTATGTCCCAAGGGCCGAGAGAATGATACTTTAACGGGAAGACGCTACTTAGCAAAGAAAATCAAATCAAACAGCAGAGCTATAGAGCTGCTGCAACGGACTAGTCGCAACAGGCAGCCATCGCCACCACCATCACCCACATGGTCTTGAGGCCCAACACGAGCTGAGAAAACCACTTTATCTCTCTATTTGACCATTGAAAATGTACATATTATGCAATATTGTCTACTTTACACGAACGATATACCTTCAGTTGCATAATTACGCTAAATTTCATAAAGTTTAACGGAGGGAGGAGCAGGACGGTCTAGCCGGTGGTCTGGCAGTCAGTTTACCAATAAAGCAGCGAAGAGGTCAGAGTGGAAATTATCAGTTAGAAGCAAATATAAGCCAAAATGTTTGTAGGATAGGAGGGAAATGGCGGAAAGGAGGCAGCGGATTTACGTAGTTCCTCTTTTGGTGACGAATCCGCACTGTCCTACCTCCAGCTTCGTAGTGACCCCGGGTGTCCCATTGCACAACAATACACATACACAGGTAAATATGACTGCCTTCAACCATGAAAGCTTAATTGAGAATTTAAGACCTCGCGCATGCTAAGTCTTCTTTGCAGGACGTTGTTCGAGTGGAGAGGCACGCAGGAATGGGAACAAGCAGAGGATAGCAGGAAATTTAACAGTAAGTCAATGTGATAGGTGTGAAGCAGGTGAGAAGAACAGTGTGATACCACAATAAGAAAGAGCGTGTGAAATATAGGGAGATGGAGAGTAAGGAAAGCAAAAGTTTGAGCTCCTGTACCTTTGCAGCCAACACAAAGCCTTTGGTGTAGACCATCAGCCTGCTGGGACATAACAACACTCAGCGTCTACGATGTACAAAAATAGGGATTGTAGGCGGACTTCGCCCATACAAAATAACTCCGTTTTCATTACTCGTGCCTCAATGCCGCCCTAAACTAGATTGCTTCCTGGTCCCGGCTGAGTAATTTCCAGTGCCCATTCGCCCGTCGAAAAACTTTGGGCTAAAACCGGAAAACACCGGTGCAGGAATAGCCCAAGATCCACATATATGGCTTCTTTCACGCCTCCTGGCATACCAGTGCAGTCCACAATAGTTGCAGGTGCGGATACCCATCCGTAAAGTCTTTTTAAGTCTCCAAAAGGAAGCACTCAGCACCCAACCCAAACCTCCTTACTAGCTACTGATTGTTTTACAGAAGAGCCCTTGCCTTCCCCTGTCCGAGCTGTCCACAAATTTTCATACAGGGATAGAATGACACTTAGGATACGCATAGCTGCACCCCCTAAATACTCAAGGCTCTCACAGATAGTTACACAATAACATCTGGCTAACACACACACACACACACAGTTGTGTCTGTTTGAACAGATCTAAAGAATTTCCTTCAAATATGGGAGATACAAGCAGACAAACAGATTGGTCAATTTTTCGCCAGTTCATACTTACATCTAGTTTTGAAAAAAGTCCTAGGGTGTGGCTCCCAGCATCTTGCATTTTCCGTCATGCCCGTTTCAAACATATGTCCTAATATCCCCTACCCCTTCGTCGAGACCGGCTGCATGCAGGGTACACCAAGAGTTCCTGCACTATCGCCACTCTCCCGGCAGGCAGAAACTACAAAACAGTGCAGATGAAAAAAGCGAATGCGTGCAACAACGGGCAAGCAGATATCGACGAGAAGAGCGGCACACGCACTAAACAACAACCGAAGACAGAATTAACACGACCGCGGCGGAGCCATGGCATGCTGTCGCCGAAGCTCTAAAGTGTGTGAATCTCCTGCACGAGAAAGCAAAGACAAATATAAAGTCTGGAGTGAATCAAACACATTCTAGTTCAGCGTGGCCTGCTCGCCTCCCGAGCAGTGTATGCGTGCTAATGCAGCTAGTAAATGCAGCATTGCCGACCTCACAGCCCCCGAAGATGCATTAGGAAGAATTTGGGAACAGCATACCTGTGAATGCCTGCTCGTAATATCCGAGTATAGAGAACACTTACAATGATAATATCCTGTATTTGTGCACGCAATATCAGTGGATGGGTGTAGCCATTTCAGGCAGAGCATCTGCTGGCTAAGGACAACTACCAAGGAACGCGAGAAACACAGTTCACTGGGACTAGTCTTGCTAGCTGAACAGAGCTGCAAACTTTCCAGCAGGCAACGAAGCCCCCTACTGCTCCTCCATCAGCGGCTGAGACTACATTTTCCGCTTTCTTTCACTAGAGGCTCCCATATAGTGTGTCATCGGCGCTCATTAGTCCAAGTTGGCAAGACTTCTACGACTTTCTGTGGATCCTCCACTTCCAAACGGGTCACTTGCCTGAGCACCAAAGTTCAGGAATTATTTGAGGACTCATGAAACCTTATTAGTACGTCACTATTGACTGTTCTCGCCGCCTTTAACTTCAAGGAAAATGGATTGAGTGAGACAGAGCATTGACTCATGAGCGGATGCCATACAGCCCTTGATACATCGCTGCGAATTTCTTTAACTGGTGATTTTCTGGTGTACGGAGTGAAGCCTGTCAATGCAGGACCCAATCTCCAAGCTTCGAACACACAGCCAACCGCCGCTGACCATAATTCCATGCTTATCTCTCTTGAGGTATGCGCATGCGTTCGCATGCACTAGCCAGCTGTTCTGCGAAGCCCTCCTTGACGAAAAGGGGTATTCGACCCCCAATCACCGTGCCCAGGCTTGTAATGAGCAGGGGTTTATCGCTGTAAACCAGCGACGTGAAAGAGCAACGGGTAGGCGAGTATACTGTTGTATTAATCTACCCAGGACAAGTAGCACCCAGCATAAGGAATAAACAAAAACCAAGCAGTTGATTTTTTTGTGTGCGCAAAGCGGCAAATATTGCAAAAAACTGCGCTTGGTGCGCTCAGGCTGTCCACCTGCCTCAGGATGATTCGCAGTGGGCATAGTTTGGTCCGCATACGGGCATTAAAGACATATCAACAAACTTTATATCCAGAGATGTTTTAAGAATACTTCAATAACTTCCTAAGCCGTGGTAGGGCATGAGCAGGAGAAGAAGTCAGCTAATTTGCGAACACCGTTGATAATGATGTAGATGCAATCGTGTGTACCCACATCCGGCAGTCGAACAATACGGTGCTTAGCCAGATATGCAGGAAGGATTTGCAGAAGGCAGTGGTTAGAGAACTTGCACGAGCTCACCTACTGACGAGTTGAGCGTGGCATTGCATATTTCTCTGCCACAGGACCCATCCCAGGACACCAGAAACACCGTATAAACTTGTCCACTGTAGTCTTGGTCCCATCACAGCGCGCAAGAAGCATAAAATAATGCGTTTTGCGTGAACCAGCACCGCGGAGCGGATCTTAATATTCAAGCAACAGATTGCTTGTTGCATTTTAAATCAAAGCAAGCCATCCTCAACGTTGTAGCGCTTCGTCCTCGTGCCATTCTGAAATTTGGCAACAGCAGCTGATGCATGGAAGTCAAAAGCATAAGAGTCACGCCGAATTCGATAGAATCCGTGCACCCATTCAAACAAGAGCTGTTGCGCCGCGCAATATGGATTGCTAGGCCATCGCGATAATGCGCGCGCGACCACGTTGGTAATGTCCTGCATATTGTACTATAAAGTCGTACTGCAGTAGGTGCTCAAGCCAGCGAACAGCTCTAAGACTATCAGTCCTGCCTGGAAACTTTTCGAACGGTAC